AAAAAAAAAAAAAAAAGGCTTGAGTGTGATATGCTACTGTTTTAGGGACTGAAAAAGAGAAAAAGAGCTTGAGACGAATTTCGTCTTGCGTAATTCGTTTCCCTTTATTTAAATGGCATACATATATGGCCTGAACGGCTTGAAAATCTATGCGCATTGTTCGTGCAACACGCGCTACACCCGACATCGAGATACCTTTAGTCGCTCTTTGTTCGGCGCAAAGGCGTAAATATAATTAGGCGACCGACGGCTGGGGACATTGTTTGAACGCGGCCGTATCCGAGCCGCGATCGTGTCGCACCGTTCGACCAGTTCGATTTCTTTCGTCGCGAAAACCGTTCGCGGAACCGGAGGCCGGAGGCCGCCGTCTTCTCCGCCCGAATCGTACGGCAGCCGGCAGCAACGCGCCAGTAACACGACAAACGGCAGAAAAGTAAAACTTCTGGCGTGCCGCCGTGGAGTTTTGACATTGACTCCCGGCGGCGGCGGCGGCGCGCGGCTAGCCGGCGAGGAGAAGACGACCGGACGGCCGCGGAGGAGAAAACGCAGAGGAATATTGTCCGACTCGCGCGGAGGCCGTACCGCGCCGTGCGAACGACAATAACGCGCTGCGGTACGTACCCCCGGCTACAATACTGCCGCATATCAATTGTATTGTTACCGACGCGTGTATACACGTGCACCATCACGACGAATGTGACCGGTCGAACGGATTCGGCGCAGAGCGGTTATGTATTTTTCATTTCCCCCCCCCCCTCGCCCGCCCCCTCCCCACCGCCGAATAACCGGACTCCGGAATGTTTCGAGTAAATTTCGATTTTTTTTTCGTCCGGCCGTCAATAAATTCGATGTCGTTTTCAAAAACGAACGCGTTTCGCACGCCCGCCGTCCGTCGCCGCCGCCGTAACGTTTGTTACCAATCGTAAACGCGACGCACAACTGCGTAATACAACAAGAGGGCGTATGCCCGCGCACGCGCTGTCCCCGGTCTCCGACTAACGGGCGGATATAGCGAAATCCGCCGCCGGGCCTAACCTAACCTAACCACATCACAACCCGTAATCCGGCAACCCTGTCCCGCCCAACCTAAATTCGGATCGCGGGCATTACGTCTTCCGTATTGAATTGTTGTGAGAAACGTTTTCGGATACGAGTTGCCGTCAATACTCAAGAGTCCAGATGACGTTAGACCCGCGCGTGATGCTGTCCCCGGTCTCCGACTAACGGGCGGATATAGCGAAATCCACCTCGCGCGGACCGCCGTAGTACTCGCCTCATTTCGGTTCCGGAGTGAAATCGCCCGAGGAAAGAGAAGACGATATTCCGGAGTGGTACGCGGGTTTTTTTTTTTCAACGGCGGGAAAAACGCCGTCTGGACTCTTGAGTATTGACTGCAACTCGTATTCGAAAACGTTCCTTACAATAATACAATATAGAAAACGTAATGCCCGCGATCCGAATTTACGTTGGGCGGGACGGGGTGGCCGGATTCGGGTTATGATGTGGGGGCCTAGGGCTAAAGATCAAAAAAAAAAAATACATTTTTATCAACAAAAAAACTTTAAGTCGCGGCCCGGGGCTATGGCTCCTAAGCCCCTCCCTTGATCCGGCCCTGGGGCAGAGTATAGATACCGTCACTTGGAAAATCAAAAGTCGACGGTAATGCCTACAACCACTTACACATTGTATACCATGCGAATGCGATTATGATACCGATATGAAGGACAACATTTTGGAAGAATATCGCGAAAACGATCGAATCGGATAATGCTCGGAGAACAGCAAAGTATTCACCTACACTCGACACTTTCGCGTGTACCTTACAGACAATCGCGCGGCCGAATGCGTCATAAATAATAATGTGCGGAAAACGGAATAATCGCTCTGTATATAATGTAACATAAAAACGTATATAAAACTTGCAACGGTAGACGTCGAGCGCGAGAGAGCCGGCTGTATATAGCGGATCGTCGCCGCCGAGCGGCCTCGACGGAGGGGCGGGTTGCGGAGATTGCCCATCGTGGGGGGAGAGGAGAAGCGGCGGCTTACCGTGAGCGGGCTCACAGAACACGGAGAGGGTAGGGGGGTCACGGCGTGTAAATACGGTCAAAGGGAGGGCATAACAGGACGACGGTATATTATTATTGTACATATATACGCACACAATGATACCTGTTCCGATGTGTGCGTCGAACAGCACACCTGTGTGCGTGCGCGCGCGCAAGTGTGTGTGTGTATACGCGCGTATGTGTGTGCGTGTGTGTGTGTGTGTGTGTGTGTGTGTGTGTATACGAATATCGTGTCGTCGAACGGGTTCGCCGCGCCGACGATGCGCTGAGCGCATGCGCGCAACCGGTTACATCACGACGACAGGTTTCCCCGCCGCGTAAATATATTGTATTTTTTTTTTTTATTTTTCCTCATTCCCGTTTTCCTCTATTCGGTTTCTTCTTTTACCACTACCATCTCGCCGCCGCCGCCGTTTGTAAAACGCGACCGCTCCGTCGTCGCAGAAACCGTGATCTTGGCAGTGGTCCGGTCTTTCACACACGCGCGCACACACACGCGCAAGAACGCGCGCACGCACACGCGCACACACACAAACACACACACACACACACACACACGTACCCACGTACATACATAAATACATGCATACATAAGCGTAAAGCCGCGCGCGCAGACAAACGAACGCCGCCGCAACGCTCTCCGTCGTCCGCAACGGTTCCGCGGACCACCGCGAACCCGTCGCGCTCTGCCCCCCACCGAAGGTCCGTACCGCCCCCGTTAACGCGACGATACCATTGTGCTGTTGTAGCCGACCATCAGCCGCCGGATAGGACCTTCGGGCCGCCGCCGCCCGGCCACCGAATCGTTTCCAGCCAGTCCTCGTCATACCGTACTCGCCGACGCTCCGCCGTAGCTCGTTCTGTTGTGTCGTCGTCGTCGCTGCCGTGATCGTGATCGTCGTCACCGCCGCCGCCGCCGTCGTCATAATAACGTACATTATATAGACGCAGTGATCTCGTCGCGACGTCACGACAACATAATAATATCGTTCGATCGTCGGTACCGTTCGTTGTATAACGCGTTATTAGATTTTTTTTTTACCGTATCCGATCGCTGCATACATTCGAATATTATTTTCAATAATAATTATGACTTTCTTACGGTGGTGGACGTGCCGTCGTCCGACTCTGTACGCTCCGTACTGGCGCGGTTGACAGTGCGACATCCCGTTTGACATTCGCCAACTGCGACAGCAGCAGCAGCAGCAGCAGCGGAACAATATTTATTTATAATTGATATTTTTCCATCCGCGTACGATATAATATTGTTTGCGAATTCGCTGCGAGTTCTTTGCCGCCGCCGCAATGCCGAAGATATTCCTCATCAAAAACCGACTGCACCAGCAGCAACAGAAATTGCTGGAAAACCAAAAGGGCAACGTAAATTCGTCGTCGTCCGACCCTCTGGCGCAGTCGCTGCACAACTATCACCAGGACAATCACCACAGCCGGTATTCTTCACCGCCGCCGTTCAAGCTACAGCAGCCCGGTCCGCCGCAGCCGCAGTTGTTGAAGCAGCAAAACCAGACGCCGCCGCCGCCGCAATTGAACCATCAATTGCATCAGCTTTCGCCGCCGCAGTTAAAGCAACTGCAACAGCCGTTTTTGTTGACGCAACAGCAGCAACAGCAACAGCCTACACAGCCGCAGCCGAAGGAGCAACTCCTCCAGCAGCAGCAGCCACAGCGGACTCCGGTGGTGCCGAAGACGCCGCAAGGTAATAAACACGCCACAGTCGTTATTAGAATATATCGTATACTGTATTTTATTTGTATACTCACTATAATACGCGCATCTATAATCGCGTTACTTACGACACCGCCCCGATGACGTTATGCTACGCGTACCCGTCGCGTCTTTTTATTTATTGTTATTTCCGGTGATTTTCCGATCCCGAACTATAAAAAACATGCGTTTGCCGCCATCGCGGCGTAATGCCGAACAAAAGCCCGTGTCCAAGCTCGCACGCTCTAGGAACCATATAGTAATCGATCAGACTTAGATGCGGCGGTTGCTTGCGGCACCACGTACTAACTTAGAAAACAGAAATAAAAAAAAAAAAAAAAAGACACACACCGTTATATCATTATTATTGTGCGATGCACGTCGAAGACTCGCGCGCATCGGGTAGCCCCGGGAAACTTTAACGCCCGCAACACCGGCGGCGTCGTGCCGTTCGATTCCTCGTCTTTTGTTCGTATCCGAACCGAGACACATAATAATATTATTATATTATTGTTCTTCGCGTTAATTTCGCTTTCGGTGGATACATTTTCTATACACGCGGACGTCATACATATAGAAAATATTGTACGCATCATATAACAACTACCTACTATAAGTGAATATTAAAAAAGCAGAAACAATTCGTATATACTCGAACGATAGACAGAATTGGTGCGTAATAATAACCTACGGTGTATTTAAATACGCGTGATTTGTTTAAATCTGGCGAAATAGTGATACACACACGGTTTCATATTTTTAATACCGGAAAAATAACTTTACGGTTCGTATAGACGCATTTATTCCGTATTCCCGTATTATACCGTTATGCATATACAGTATCTGCTATATTTTATTTAATATTCGAACATCACCTCCCCCCCCCCCAAAAAAAAAATAAATATTTTCCTAGTCCATATTTCTCTACGGGTGTGTTTTTTTTTACGATGTTACGAAATCGAGATGTGGTCTTTCGACAATAGGATCAAAACGAACGCATCGTCGCGAGATACGATATTTTTGATTATAGCATTTGTATAGCTCGTGCGTACATCGATTCAAAACTCGCCGTTGCGATGTCCAGAATAGATGTTTGTTTCCCCCCCCCCTCGATTTTTCTACGGCGATATATTTTTTATAATACGGTTGTCGTTTGCTATATCGTCGAAATGTACATAGGAATAACGAATTCGAGAGGTAAATTGTGACGTTCTGTAGCGTTATTATTTCGTTTCGAATGGTAAAATACTGTCCTAGATTCGGTTTACTTTTTCTAATACGATAGCCGGTTATTATTATTTATTTTTTTCATTTTTATAAATCGATTTTTATTACCGTGTTTATTATAAGTTTTCATGAAAGCGAACCGCAATTCAACCGCATAAAGTACCTACCATAGTTTATAAATTAGTTTTACATCAATACGGCGTATTATACCTATAGCGGATATTTTTGTTCGACCGTCATTAATACGGTTTTTTGGCTATATACCTGAAAACAAATTTATTTTTCGAAGAATAACGGAAATCAGTAGTAGAAGTAAAAAAAAAAAAAAAAACAAATGTGTTAATTATTATTTAATTGTTATAATACTAACATGCACAATATTCCGCGTACCGTCTTAATACGATGTCGGTCCAATTATTATTGTTGATGGTTTTGTACATGCAACAGTCGTAATATTTTTTTTCGAGTACAATGTATTATACATTATTCCGATCGGTTTTTTTGGTCCAATAACATGCTTTATACGATGATTATGATAGTTTTATTTTTTGTCGAAAATACGAAGACTTTTAATAGGATTCATTATATTGGAGTTGCAAGTTTTTTTTGAAAACTATATTCCCGAACGCTAAAATTACAGTTGTGTTACAATTACAATGTGATCTATTTTTTTTTTTTGTCTATTTTTTCTGGTTTTTAGTTACATACAGTTAAAATGAAGTTCAATGCGCTCCGTGGGAAGTTTTGCTTTTTCCTACAGAGAAAATAATATCGAAAGTCTCTATGATACAGCTAGACGAGTACATAGCTAACTCTGTAAACCATGTTTTGAGCGAAAAACAGGTCATCGTACGCTGTCCTCTCGATACAAAAATTTAAACCGATTGTATTTTTTCTTTAAGTCTCTTTATTCATAAATGTTAATAATTCGTGGAGAAAAAACACGAACGTTACCCTTTACGTTACCCAAAAATATATTTGATTTATTTTTAATTATTTTTGTACGCGTAATATATCGAACGAAAACATTTTAATGGCAAAAAACAATTTCAATGGGTTCGAATACAAAATAATATACCTACAGACATTATTCCAACGACACGAAGGCAGAATTTTTTATTTTTAAACCGTCGAATAAATGAGGTTTTTATTTTTGCCTAACAACGGCAAAACGACAAGTTGACAAGTTAAATGAATTTCGATGGCGCGTTGATATGTACAGAACGTGTTTAAAGTTGAATAAACTGACTTTTCTGCAATACATAATAATATATATGATGACGGTACGTTTCGATATGTTTTATTTGATGATTTTTACGGGTCATTGTGTCCGACGGTTTCTTTTTTAGATACTTTTCCAGCGTTCATTGATTTCACCGTTGCAGTTGGTATTCGGTTCTCATAAAAATACCCGCACAAATAGGTAACCCACGACTATTAAATTAACAATTGTATTAATTTGTTTTTCTCTTTCTCTTAAACGATCACCCCCTACACAATAATTACCGCGGAATATCATAGAACTGCAAAACATAATTTACATCAAATACGAGTCATTACAAGTATTCACTTGCAGTGTATCCAAACGAATGATGCAAGTCAATATACTTGCATCATTCGTACAGATTTTAATTCGAAATGCTCTATATATAATTGCCTTTAAACTCTAGATTGTAAAAAATCTTTTTTTTTTTCATTTATCCGGATCGTATCATCAAAAAAGGCGATTCTAAAACTAAAAAAAAAAACTGACGAAAATGAAAATGAGGCGACTTGCACGCGCTAAAATCGGTGTGTGGTTTTTTTTTATGAAAACAGCGCGTATTTATTCCGCACAGTATAATGTACGAGTCACAAAACAATATTGTGACTAATTTTACTGAACAATGTACAAAAACATATGATGAAAACAAATTGTTTGCTAGTCCGACAGGCCCGGTACGTTAATGTTATTGAATGCTGCTAGGAATTATAGCCAGTTAAATTACGTGAGGGTTTCACCGCTCGGAGTTTCGCAGTTCAGACAACCTACTTGACCGAAAACTCCGAGTCGTGCAAACGTAATTAAAATAATAATATCGAAAACGTAGTAATAACAATTCGTTATCTCATACGTTCTCAGTGTCGCGGTGACCATGGCGTTTGTCGTATGCAATTGCGCTAACCCCTTTAGGTGATTTTCAAGTGATTTAAACGGTTTATTTGACGTGTATTTATGGGTTTTTTTTTTTCATAGTTGCGCCAGGGTCTGAGATTTTGTCACCGCGCCACTGTATAGGTATTAGGTACATTCGTATACACCCACGTACCGCGGACTCCCGGTACGACGAACAGACGAAGGCGCCTAACCTAACCTAATCTAACCGCCTAACTGATCATACCTTCGATCGCTGCAACCGAAAAACGCCTACAATGACAATATATTGTTGCATTGTTGTATTACGGTCGGGTTGTGTCAAATTTCGAATGTTTCGAAATCACAACCACCGTTATATAATAATAATAATACGTACGAATGCCTACGAACGAGTTCGTCTCGTGTCCACGACACGTCGTCGCGCACGGTAGTCAAAGTAAACCTTTGTGATGCGTTGTGCGTCCCATATCAATAAATCTTTATCCGTGCCCGGTTTTCAACGCCCTGGTTTTACGCGTAACAATCGCCACTACCCGTAGTGTACGGTACGTACCTAACGTGGTTATCGGTTATAACCGATACTCGACACGGTAGGAAGTAATTTATTCGATACGGGTATCCTCGTCCTATATGCATGTAGGTACCGTGCGCGTTGCGCAGACGTCCGTCACAACTTCCCGGACGTCGACGGACTCGGAATTAAATCGTAGAATGTTATAAGCACTCCCGTTGGTAAAACAATATTACAGTGCGACTTTAATAATAATAATAATACATACACAATGTTATTGTTGCATGTTATCAATACGGTCAAACGGGTTTCGTTCTAAAAGTCCAATCTCGTGGCTATTCTCGTCTCGACGCGCGACTCGACCCGGCGCGACGGGAATCCAATGTATATACGTAGCACCGCCGCTGCTCGGTCGAACGCTTTATTTATTGTTTGCCATTATTTATTACATTTTTTCCCTCCACTTCAAATATCATTGCGGGTATACCGATTCGAAGCGGACCATCAAATATTTTAACGAACGCGAATAATCGCGTACGGACGGTGTTTACGGAAAACGAACGTGCGCAATCGAAAACTGCGCTGCGATAAGGTTTGGGTTATGCCGCGGAAACGCGGTAAACTCCAAACGTGATAAATCGTCATATCTGTTGTTTCTCCCGAAATCAATCGCGACGACCGTCCGAAACAAAACGAATACCGTACAATACACTTTTGCTCGGGGGCGAACGGTTTTTAAAGCGTCGTTTGAAATCGGTTCTAGCTGACGTATCGGCGTACCGGTGTAATGCTGAGAAAAAAAAAAAACAACACGTTCAGCCGGACGGAAAGTAGCGGCCCGACACGGCCGAGCGTTCGGCCCCGTCCCCGTTCTGACCCCCCTGGCGCCGAAATACCCGCCGGATACTTTTCATCCGTGTCGCGGTACGCGCGAAATAACATTCGGCTGTGGCGCGTTGCCGTTATTTGCGGTCGCGTTATTGCGGCCTCCCGATGACGTTAACGCGCGCGTTACCGCGACGACAACGATGCGACCGCGCAAGCGAACGGCTGTCGATTTCTATGAGGGGGAGAGGGGTTGGAGGGGGGGGGTGACGAGAAACGAAAGTGCTCGGGCCGTGGCGGCCTGGGGCTGTGGGACTCCGAAATTACGAATCGGCAGCGCGCGCTCGTGTCACCGCGCGTCCGCGTCAAAAGATCGCCGGTGTCGAGACGAAAACGGAGCGGAGCGCGGCGCGTGTACGACGGCCGGAGCCGAGCCGAACGGCTCGCGGTTCCGTCCGGCGCGCGGAGAGAAACCCGTTTTTCGGTCCCCGCGCCGTTGTAAGTCCGCGCGCGCTTTCTTCTCGGCGAAATGAAACCCGACGGTATTTCGCAGGCGCGTCGGATCCGTTGGCGCGCGCACACCAACGCGCACAACACACAATAGCGTTTACGCGTGAAAATCCGCAATCATTTTTTATTCGATCCCGGCGAACAAAACGAAACGTATGTGCGTTTGCGCATGTGCACGGGTAACGAGTTTTCGCCGTTTCCGTTTGGTTTTCCGCATCCAAAATATAACGTAAATCGTATTAATTTTTTTTTTTTTTTTATTTCTTTTTTATCGCGACAATGTTTTCGCTTCCGCGTCGTCGCCGAGAACAATAATAATAACAATAATTATCATTTTTCAACTTTACACGTACGCGTTCCGTTTCTCGTCACCGGAAACCGGTTTTCTCGCATTCCCGTTACCCCGCCGTCGTAAATACGCATTAAACGAATCCGGACTCCCGAACTTGTCCCCCCCCTCCTCACCCGCGCTGGTTCGTAATGTTATACACTATAACCAACCAACCATACTACCGCGCGGGGATTTCAAATTTTTGTTATCATTATTATTATTGTTATTTATTTCTCCCCGCGGGGATCACCCCGCGTGACGTTCGCGCGAAATATAAAAACGGTGAGAGATATTATAGTTTTGGAACTGAAAAAAAGAGAAGAAAAAAACAAGGTCAATTTCGTTTCGCTTCACGGCTCGTTGTTACCGCGGGTTCAATGTTCTGGAAGACACTCGGTTGGTCAGCAAACTGGCACAATGCGTTCCGACGATTTGCCCGTAATAATTACCGCCGTCGACTCCGCAACGGCAATACACGTCTTTCAATTTTTTTTTTTTCTTAGTGTTCTTTTTTCTTTTTATTTTTTTTGCTCGTTTTACACGCTGCTGTGATTTTTCCCATCGTTTTTTTTTTTTCTTATACGCCGTCGTCTATTCATTGTTCCGCAGTTTTCTTCCATCTCCGTTTTGCAGCGTTGCGGTTTTCCATGTCGTGCTGTATATACATACGTATAGCCGCGTATATTCGCACGGAAACCGGTGTTCAGAAACCTCAATATTCTACAATGATGATGATGATGATGATGACGATGATGATAATAACATGGTTGGTTCTACGGTGAACTCGATGTTATCGAACTGTACACCGTATAATATTATATGGTATACCGCGCGAATGACGAGTAGGAGGTACGCGCGTAAAATCGTATTTTTACTAAACTAATTACGCCTCGAAAGCATATTCACCGTTATCGCTGACATTTACAACACGCTCTCGTAAGGGCTTTTGCCACCGACCCTCCGGGTCTTAAACTATCGCCTTCCGATTTAGCGTTCCTATAGGGTTTTAAGATCTTCTATGGGTGACTGCATCTACACCCACTACACGCTTTCCGCGGTCTACCTCAGACTCTTTTCCCTGCCGACTTGCGTTCCAAAACTGCTCTTATGGTATAACGCCCGCTTCTTCTCGGAGTAATATATTCCAATTTAGCCGGCACCTAACTGATGGTGATGGACACCCGTTTGTTTCCACACAATTCCGTATTAAACTTCTATTCATTCTCCGTTAATTTGTGTGTCGGTATCACAAAATATATTCAATTTGTGAATTATCGCGGAATATATATACATATATTAGAAAGACAGAACACGAAGGTTATAAATCGATGGTCACATAATATAATATGGTTTAGATAATTCAAGCGACGCATTGTTTTTGCGAAAAAATCGCTGATCATCGACAATCGCGTTAACTATATCATTAGTCGCAGCGATAAATCCAAATAAATCGCGCGTCTGAATAGGTATTGAAATTTAATTTTACGTAACGGTTTACCGAATTTCTTCACACACGCAATATTCGTTCTAACCGAAAATAATAATACTTAATACATAACAGTTTTGTCCGTTTAGAGGTTTTTTTTTGTTTTATTATTTTGCTATCGTCGCTTTCACGGCCATAAGGCCTTGCGGTATAGAAATTGATTGGCAAGGTCTCGTCCTGGAGACACAAGCGTGTCTCTCGCTCGGACGTTTAAAAACTATAAACGGTTACCGAAAATTTTTTTAAAAAATACCATATGAATTATTATATATCAAACCGTCATATTAAAAACAGATTGTATCATGCGTTTACAGGCGTACTGCACACATTATGTATCCCACGCGGCACTGCACATGAAAAAAAATATTTTTCGAATAACATCTTATGAATGAATTACAATGAAACCGCATCCCCCTCGGACGACCGTTTTTATTATATCTACGTGTATAATAATATACGCACATCCCCCGAGATAAGGGAAAATAAAATATTATATTACTATACACCTTATTATATTCATATAGTTCGGAGGGTGAAACGGAATTCTCCGCTTTCTCTCTCTCCCTCCCCCTCTCACACTCTATCTCTCCATTTTGAGGGTGACTGCCGCTAGCAACAGGTGAACGCAGCCCGCGTTACAGGTGCCCTCGAAATCAGTGATCCTATTGTCAGTGGTTCTCATGAAACCTGTAAATTCGCCGGGCAGGAATCACCGAAGAATATTTAACGAATCACTATATATTTTCTATATAATATACTATGCAATAATCAGCGATTGTATTATAATGTACTATAAATCTGACGAAATGAACGTTTTTCGATATTATTCCGAAATCACTTGCATAATAATGGACCTGGTCCCTCTAAATCCCCATTCCCCCTCCCCCCCCCAAAGTATTAACTCGTTTTAAACCAATTGACGTGTATTGAATGGGGATGAGTTTATAACACCAACTCAGTTAATTTTAATAAAAATAATAATAATGTAATAACAACTGACATAAGCTTTCACTTCCGACACGTTTGATATTTAAGTATTTTATTACTATATTACTATAAACTACTTTAATAATGGGTAAGTTTAATTGTTAGGTATATTCCGAGATTTCGATAAATTATCAAACGTACCGAAGCGAAAACATTTCATATCTATTATCATATGACTTTCACGTGGGCAAAAAATAATTGTATCAACGTCATAATATTATTTTATAGCGATTTCATAACGTAGTATATTAATAGGTATATAATACATGAATATATTAATATAATAGATTTGACATCTGACAATACATAAATACGATTTTCCACTTGGTTTATTTTTTTTCGCATTATCAAAATAACCTTCGAAAATACAATTTTACGTAAATTATCGAAATATCATATTTTAACGTATAATTATTTCACATTAACTGTAATTTTAATGGGCACTGTAATACGAAATTTAATGTAATTGTATATGTTTTGATTGTGGGTTCCAGCAATACTTAATACGGCAAAATCATATCGCTTGTGGTTTTATTTTTTTAGTTGCTGAGCGCAGCGAGGAACGTATCGGTTTTCCATATGATTTTTAGCTTTACCAATCCGTAAACAACTATTCTTCCTTCAGAAATCTCGTTCCAAACTTTACACGACAATAGAACGTTTTGAAGCGTTTTGGATCTAGTTGGCGCATTGACGAGGTCACTTTTTGTTTTGCTTTCCAAGCAATTTTCATGGTCGGGAAAAACGAGAAAGTTAACGGCATTTACGGTTCCATTAGATATGACAATTTCATAAAGTATTTATATTAGCCTCTTCTAGACGCGATCAAGTTTTCGCGGACATTTTAGACGATTCGTATACATTTTGACGAACTGCGCGTAAAAATCACGGTATTTCTAGGTAAATATGAGTAACCGAACTTCTTCCCTCCCCGCCTCGCTCAGAATCGTAGTTCGTTAACGACGATTTATCGTTGCGTACGGATATAAACTGAACCACTACGTATCCCGCCATCCCAACTTCCCACCTACGGCAGTGGCACGGCCGTCGGCAGTATCGGCTATTTTTTTTTTTTATTGTTATTATTATTGTTATTTTTTTCGAGCATCGTTAAAACGATTTCGCCAACAATTCGCCGTGGCCAAATTCGATTATGCAATTTCGTGCGGCGTCGCCGTCGTCGGCGGCCACGTACAATGTGAAGGTGAATAGGAAACGTATACGTATATAATATACAAGACCGCAATAATAATGAGGCGATAATACTACGGCCGAGAAGAGAAGGAGAGTATCAGTGTACAATATATATAAAAAAAAAAAAAAAAATTATATTTATATATACGTATACGGAGGAGGAGGCACGCCGCGTACGCGCACATAAAAACCGTACGTCCTGAATCACTGTTATAGCCCGGTCGGATTTCTTTTGTTTCCCCGCCCCGTAACCGTAACTTGTATTATCATTATTATTATTATTATTTTATATAAAACGTGTACGCGCGTACTTGGCGTCGCGCGCTCTCTAGGTACGACAGAATAATGATAATACCGCCGCCGCGGCCGTTAGCCGACGACGCCGTAGTCGTGTACGCATTCGGTTCGTAATGAACCTGAAACGAGTTTCGCCTTGAAGTATTGAAGTCTGGCGAGGTGTGCCGGACCAAAACCAGACTACAGACCCGGACCGACCAATGCCACGGCATCGACGACGACGACGACGATGACGACGTTATAACCGCGTTTTTTTTTTTTTTCCTACCTATAATCGACTCTCCGGTACTTACGCGGTATATACACGCGTACACGTTATAAACGATGGTAAACATATTCGGCACTACCTATATAGATTATTATTCCTATTTTTTTTTTTTTTTTTGTTTTCATTTTTTAATTTCCTCTCTTCCGCCGGACGATCTCCGCGTGCGTCCGTCCGTCCGTCCACACCGCTATCGATTCCGGCCGGGCCGACGGTCTGGGGGGGGGACGGGCAGGAGAATTTGTATACCTTCTTCGTTCGTTATAGACGCTATATACACACATATATATATATATATATATATATTATAACTGGTATGTACGCGGTTACCGGTATTAGACGGTAACGAAAAGCGCGTTTTACCCGCGCGGCGGCGTCCGCGGTACAAAAAACCCGCAGCGAACGCACGAAAACCTCGCGGTTATAACATCGCTATTATCGACGACGGCGCAAGGTCGGTTTATTATTCGCATTTCGGTCGCGAACAGAAAACAATCGCTGAACGAACCGAACAACGGCGACGATAATGTTAATTAACCCTCCGCCAATAATATTGCAATAGCGTCGCAATGTCGACCGCGTCTACGATATTATGCGCGCGCGCGTCTCGAGGACGGCCGACGACGCGCGTATTACGATCGCCGGGGCGGCCGGTCATGTTCCGTAAGCGTACCTAATATTATTTTCAGACGTGCGCGGGTTACCTTAATATAAAAAAAAAAAAAAATCGTTGAAAAATTCCCGAATAACAGAATCCTTTATCCGGATAACGTGCCCGGGCGGAGGCCGTCGTATTTGTTCTCCGTTCTTCGGCGTCCTTTTGGCGGCCCCCATCACGGTCGCTCACACACAAACGACCGACTCGGTGTTCTGCGGCGCGACTATATTATTTTATTATATTATAATTGTAAATTATATATATATACATATAGGTGCATGTATACGACAGGCAGGACAATGGCACCAAAAATTCACGGCTAAAAACGATTATTATTATTTTTTTTTTTTTCATTCTTCGCATCGTAAAAAAAAAAAAATCACGAGCCGTGTAAAAAGAAATATATTATTTGCCTATTTTGAAGACGAGCCAATGGTGGTTTTATGACGGTAATGGTGTCCGTATAATATTACTGTATATCCACACACGTACGACGCACAGACAGCATATAATACGCACATTCGCCTTCGGCAACGCCGTATAACGGATGTGTACAGATACGTGGCATAAAGTTAAAACATCATGTTATTTATTATAGTTTTCGTACGCTTTTCATATTCCTCCTCTATCTCCCCGCCCTCCCCCCCCCCCCGCAGAGATCATAAATTACAATAATTAATACACGAAACTAAGTATACGTGTACGCGCCATATATATGGGCGTTCCTTAATTGAGTTTTTTTTTTTTTTTTAGTTCAGAGTTCCCAAGTGATGATGAAAGTAGTTCAAAGGAATTGTGTAATTTTTCAGATTTTTATTTTCACGCTGAATGGCACCCCACGAGTGTTGAGCCTTCCCGTTGAAAATGAACATGCTTTTAAAATGTTTAAGAAATTATAGTTAATTCCTATGCTCAGTGTATCAAAAAAAAACCGTTAACTGGTAAAATTTGACTACATCAAAATCATTTTTTTCCTCCCTTAAAGAAAGGTAGTAGACAGTCAATTCTTACCAGTTTTTTCGCATTTACTAATATCACAGGGACAAAATAAAGTGTAAAAAATTATAAAAGCACGTGTATTTTAAATGGGAAAATTTAACTCGCCATTCAGCGTCAAAATAAAAATCTGAAAATAATACAGGATTTTTTTTTGAACGATTTTAAATAAGTTTTTTTACCCAAGGGCTTGATCCAAAAATAAGAAACGCCCTAATATATGTAGAAAATCGATTTAAAATCGAGTTTTAAACGATTTTTGTTTTTATGTATAATTATAAAAATCGATTTACGAAATATATAATATATATATATATATATATATATATACTCGTAAAATATACGGTACGTTATTCGGAATAGGTATTTAATTTTTTTTTTTTTTAACGACCATGTGTTGTCATACGATATTTTGTTGTAGGAATGTACAGTTATACCTGTGATGAAAAGAACTTCGTTATTTTCGTCGTATCTATATACCTATGTATGTGCGGGTTTTTTGTTTTTATTTTTTTTGTTTGGGTGTATCATCATGCTATACCCCCACGCATGTGTATAAACTAAAGTTAAAAAAAAAAAAAAAAAAACAAAACAATTGCAATACGATATGGACAAGAAACACCTACATTCATGATTATTCATTAGGACGTACCTTTTGCATAATAATAGCTGTACACCACATACGTCGTACCTACAGTCGAAACATAACGTTATAGCCAAAACCTCGAAGGTCATTTTTTCGCGGCAGATTTCAGATGGATATAACGTTGAAGTACCTGTAACACTAGTTGCTCATATAAAATATTTCCGACGCGTACACGTGTCGGTGGTCCGTGTCCCGTGAAAAATATGCGTTCCTCAGTCACGTATTGATTGTTTCGTCCCGATTGGTTTGATTTTAAATAATGATAAAATTTAAATTACACGCACATGCATATTATTATTATTATTATTATGTACCGTCTGCGCGCACCGTTGCCGGAGTATTTTGTCCTTGAGAGATTTTAACGACCGACCATTATAGGCAGACATGAACTTTGCCTTGAACTTGGTTAATGATTTGAAATTCAGCGAGTATTTCGCACGGTTTATACATATATAGCGTTGTATTGTGTATACGTACTATTATGATTGTACACACATACACACACACACACACATGCAACCACACAAAAGTATACATGTACTGCACACGTACACGTTTCGATAGAATATAGAGAAAAAAAACGAGTTTTGCTAGTCACGCTCTAAGATTTGTTCACACAAATACATCGATATTAATTCTGAATCGTGAAAAGGCAACGTACACACTGTCGACACCTATACATATAACACAATAAAAAAATGTAATGGTCGCCTTGCCGCAAAGATCCGATTTAATTGGTTATACCGCCGAAAATCGTACGCTTTTTGCTTTTTCGAGCGTTGCAGTGAGAAAAAAAAAACAAAAACAACTGTCAGCATTACGGTGAATAATCTTTGAGGTAATTTTTCGTTAGACATTGTGTTTTTTTTTTCTGTACAGGTGGGGCCGAGTGCAACGACATTGATCGTTACGGTCGGCAGAAACAAAGCAGTTTTTTTTTCTGTTTTCCTTCCGTACCCAATAGCTTTACAGCGGAACGGCAAAATGTGCATAGATGACCCACAATACAGTATTCATTTGAAAATTCGTCAAAATTGAAATGCCACCGACGGCTTTTGCATTAATACGTCTGTGTAATCATTTTGACGCTCAAACACACTGTGAACGCAGCCTTAGAGCCAAAGAATCCGGTTAGAACCGTTCGTCCGGTAGTCGTGACGCAGCCAAACCCGGTCCTGTCTATAATAATACTGTATATGTGTTTGTTTTATATACATGTTCTACTTCCACCGTGTAGGCTCACGGAGAACGCTGTGGCGTGTATCACGAAAGTTCACAAAACTCTATTTTTGGTATATATATATGAAATAACCTTGCGGTTTAATACGAAATAGACTGATGTGCGGGTTCATTAAACGCATTTTTCAAATAGAATAATAATAATATACCTACTGTTATATTATAACTTTTACAGTTTTACTACAGAAATAGTTTTGGTGACGTACCTACAAAATTATAATACCAATAATAGTTCTATTCTATTCGGTTTAAATGGCGAAAAATAAAAGTGATGGTTATAACACGTTTATTTTCTATTATCTGCCGTCGAACATAATATTCTATAATATAATTATATATTTGGCTATGCGTGTGTGTATGATGATTTAAACAATTAACCGTTGGAAGTCAGGGTGTCGGTATTGTGAACAGTAATAAAACCTGACCTTGAAACGGTTGCTTCTTATATTTATCCCGTTTTGTGATGTGTACCGGGTGATGAAAAAAGACTATGGTCAAACATTACAGCGGTAACTCCGACAGTGTAAATCGTGGTTTTATGGTAGTAGTCGATAAAGGGTTACGCCTTTATATTTAACACGCATGTTATACCTGGGGAAAACATAACCTTGTTGCGGCGTGTTATAACGATTATCCTTGGAGCGAAGACGAAATAGCAGTCTGGCAAGTGGGTTAGTAAAGGTCAATAAAGGGTTGGACCGTCGCGTGTTATGAATGTTCGGGTAGTAGGTACATTATAAAATTTGACACGGTATATAATTTATATAATAGATAGGTACAACTAAAAATCAATTGGTTTAAAATTGGATTGTACAGTTACTCGATACATTGTCTTATATATTGTATTTTTGTTTTACAGATAAAAATGTTTCCAAAAAAGACTCATTGGACAGTGAAGTATCTGACCGAATAAATGGTTTAGATCAACAAATACGAAACAGATCCGTATCTCCGATTCGTTTGAGTAATAAGACAGCATCCGTTGAGCAACCCTCACCAACTGTATGTCCACCGTCACCGGACTGGAATCCGCCGCCAAAAAGGCGATTTATATCTACTTCGGATGGTGATAATATACCATACGGTAGCAAAGACAGTTTACAGATAACTAGACAATTGGAGCCACCTAATGTCAAAGTTGAAGAAGAAGCCGTAACAAGCCCAGAGACTGAACCTAAATTGCTACCTCCTCCTCCTCCTCCTCCTCCTCCTCCTCCACCAGCGCCCAAATGTCACCAAGTGTCTGTTATCCAAAGAACACCTGCTACTATTAAATCGCCACCCATTTGCCCGAAAAAACCGTTGGTCCAAACACCCAACACAGTCCAGGAACCTGAACAAGATGCACCAATCGATTACCATGTACCCAAAAATAAGTCCGATTTGGACCTGGAAATTGTGCGAGCAATCAAGAACAAATTTACAATTACACTACGTGGACAGTTGGTTTCGGCACCTAATGGCATCATTACTGCTGCTGCCGGACGTGGTAGAAGCAGTGGTGGCCAACAAAATGGTGGTGGCGGTAGTGGAGGCGGCGGAGGCAGTACTAACTCCAGTAGTAACCGCGGTTCGTCATTGCACTCGTACACGTTCGGAGGCGGTGGAGGTGGCGGACACACTGGATTATTGGGTAATGGAGGTTTAGGTGGTGGCATGGCCCCAGGTGGAGGTGGCATGAACCCCGGCGGCAACGGCAAACATTTCGGCGGGCCTAACAGTCCCGTGTCGCTGCCGCCCTTCCACGAGAGCCTAATAAAATCCGGCGGTAATTGCTATTCCACCCAATACAACAACCAATATCATCATTTGATGATGACCGAACAACTTTGTTTTAACAATAATGACACGGGTCAAAATCCTGCGGCCGGTAGTGGTGGTCCCTTCGCAATCGGCTTAGATGGTCCGCCCAAGCAGTATTCGCTGTTACAAAACGCTTCATCGCTAGATATCGACATTAAAGAAGACGTCGATGATTGCGAAGATCTGTCGAGCTACGTAAAGGAATCCAATGGTTTCGATACGCTAATGGCTGACTCTGAAAACGGTACTTCCAGCGATCCATTACAATTCACTGCCACCCTTACGTTCGCTGGACCCACGGACCACGACTTCCTAGATAGTCTTAACGATGCCGCAGAACTTTTCTTCAAAGAGGTAAAGTTGTAAAAAAATATTTCATTTTCATAGTTATTTATTTGTTAATTTATATTCTGTGCAACTTAATGCATTAAAAAAAATTGAACTAATTTATTATTTTATTTCAGCCTCAAGAGTGTATACCTTCTTCACTCGTGGAACAACCACTACACATGTTTAACGAACACAGAACTAGTTTTCCTGAGTCACAATCAGAAAAACGTAATTATCTTCATCAAAATAACAATAACAACAACAACAGTAGCAACAACAACAATAACAATAGTGGACAACCAGTAGTGTGCCGAAACAATTACGGTGGTTACGATTTGTCCAAAGATCGTTTATCGCATGGCAGTTTTGAAGACTCTAACCAACAATTGCAGCAATTACAAATACAAGTGCAATTACAACAACCGCAAAATGTAGACGTAAGAATTATATTATTATAATAAAACTAAATTTTTTTTTTTTTTAAAGGCCCTACAATTTTACAATATGATCAATTTGGCTTTACTTGATTTTAGAATTGTGGACAGATGATGCTATCTCCGGGTTTATCATCACTAGAGATGGACTCAAATACTAGCATGTCAGCTCCGTCACCAACCAGCGTCAGTATGGACGGTACAATGTCATCTCTTACTCCCCCACCACAAAACGGCAAGGACACCAGTAACTCAGCTCTAGATGTGAGAGTTCTCCAACATAGGGTGAGAAAGACCACCCCACCCATAGAGAAACCTAAATATACTTCTTTCGCCAGTAAACTGACGGCAAAAGTACATGTTCTTTTCTCTATTTTACTTTAATTACTGACGCCACGTCGTCTAGAACTCATTAAGTATGCTAAACTGGAATTTATGCTTACAGCTCGGACTTCCTAATGACTTGCCATTCGAGTTTGTCAACGGTGGCCACGGCATCAAGAACCCGCTGGCTAATCACGATACACTGCCGCCTCCAACAACGCTTACCCGAGCACCCGAACCTGAGAGGAAACACACCCCGGTAGCGCCCGCGACCATCGTCTCAGTAAATACACCTCCTGAGCCAGTCGAAACACATAAAAGCGGTTCAAAGTTCTGTTGCAACCTTTGTTCTAAAACGTTCAACCTACAACGTTTGTTGAATAGACACATGAAATGTCATAGTGACGTTAAGCGATACCTCTGCACGTTCTGCGGCAAGGGATTCAATGACACGTTTGACTTGAAGAGACACACTAGGACACATACAGGTGCGTACAGCATATATCAATGCATGTAGAACTATGAAACTAGAGCACTAGGTCTAAAAGAAGGGAGAGTAAAACCTAGAAAGTTGTTTGAAAAAAAAAAAAAAGGTATTCTTGTTGGTAAGTGGAATTTAATATAATAATTTTTCTTGGGTGCCATAAGTTGGACACTGTGAAACGATGTTCATAGTATATCATGAGGAAGTAGGGACAGATAAAATATAAACTAATTTGAAATTAATAACTCAGTTAAACTGACTGAAATGCCCCTTATTTAAAACGCTGACCAACTGACGATGTGATAATAATGTGTAATTTTTCAACAGGTGTCCGGCCCTACAAGTGCAATTTGTGTGAAAAATCGTTCACCCAACGCTGTTCACTCGAATCTCACTGTTTGAAAGTACACGGCGTACATCATCAATATGCGTACAAAGAGAGAAGAACAAAGGTATGCAATCGCGTTACTTTTGCTATAACATACGTACTTAGTGATTATATTTATCTGTCAGCAATGCATTAACCGTATCTAATATCATATTAAAATGTCCGTTACAGATGTACGTTTGTGAAGAATGCGGGCACACGACCAATGAACCAGAAGTTCATTACATTCACCTAAAAGAAAAACACCCGTACAGCCCGGCGCTGCTCAAATTCTACGATAAGAGACACTTCAAGTTTACAAATTCAAATTTTGCAAACATGTTACTCCAAGTACGCACCTAATAATATTGGGTTGTTTGCAATCATATTGCTAGACTGACCAAAATGTTAATTTGTTTAACAAATATTTTTAATTACACTATGCGTAGAATTTAGTTTTATAATATTGTCGTTTATTTTTAAATAACATAAATAAATACTTGCCGCCTGGTAAGTTGTAACGGTTATACGACAAAATATCTTCGGTCAAAATATCTCTAATTAAATCATAATAGGTAAACACAGAATATTTTCAGTACCATAAAAGCTCTAAGCTCAAATAATATCCAAAAAAAAAAAAAAAGGAAATTTGATAAATCCATCAAACTATTGATCATTAGAAATTGGCTATTTATAATGAAGTATCACCTATATTCTCAGAGTATTGTGATTTTTAACGGAATGCTATATTTATATAATATTGATTTTAAAATGGTGTTTTTTTTTTTTTTTTGTTTTTTATTATATGTTAAGTACTTACTACTTATTTGCGCACACGTTCCCCGAAGGTATTTCTTAGCGTTTTTCTAGCCGAACCGGTCAACAATGTTATAATATTAAAATTAATTGAGAAATATTGCACAATATAGGGTTTTTTTTTATATATATAAAATTGGTAAATTTAGGAATATAATAATATCTATGAAATTATATAGTACCTAGCGCTTTGATCACACTAATCATAACTACGCACATGTTTTATCATGTTAAGGTTAATTACCTTAAATTGATTTTGATAAGATTTTCACGGTTAATACTGTACACATAATTTTCAAATACAATAATTTTATAATGGTTATTTACAAAAGAAGACATTTTTTACGTTCATTTATGTATTAAATATTAATTTTAAGAAATACAAATATTTTGAATTTATACTATCATTATACGAGCTTATTATTCTGACGCTTTGTACCGTTTGTTAAAATATAATTTTCTGACGAAATATTGTTTAAAAAAATTATATTGTACACAATTTTTCTATTTTAAGAGCGAGCTATGTTTTGTAATCTAGTATATCGAACGTGTAGTTAAATCAGACCTGTTCATCAAAATAGGAATGTACCCAATTCGTTCAAAAAGTTTCTTTTTTCTTTTCACCCAATGAGTTTTTAATCATATTAATAAACAGTTAACGTCCAAATTCCTAAACCTTTTAGATATATACTACGGATTACTAAGAAAACTTCCAATATATCAAACATTTGTTAAGAAATATTATAATTCTGATTAATTTAATTTGATTTACTCTATATTATATATATATATATATCAACTTGCTGTTAAGTGGTAAAAAAAATGTTGAATGTTAAAATGTTGGTTTATATAGTTATTGAGTTCGAGATGTACGTTGTTTTCCACGAACTGTTAAATATGATCTAAAATTCGTCGGGTGAAAAGGAAACAGGATTTTGCTTAATTTTAACAAAAGTCAAATGGAAATGGAAAATCAAATTTTTTTACAAAACAATGTTACTCGTTGAGTGATAAAATTTCATTCTCGTTCAAACCTGCGTGTCCTTTTTTCTCGATTGGATGATGGTTTTTCATATAATTGTCGATTTCGTTGTCTAACAATATTTATTACATTTTTCTCTACTAAATGGTTATTTGAAAACGTGTTACATTAATTGCATAAATTGGGTGTGGTTAATAAATTCGACCAGTGATTACATTCCAAAAAATTATAACTATCCGCAGTGATTACTGCGGCGGAGACGATCGATTTCTGCTCATATTACAAAGACATTATGCGTAGACATTTCATGTGAGAGATATTTTGACGGAGATATTTTTTCGGATACACTTTGACTATTCACCGTTTTGGCGCGGAGAAATCATGTCGATGTTTTGGGTTTCAGGAACATGAGGGACTTACGTCCGGTTCTTTAAAACATTTATCGGAAGTATGTTGAAACTTAACCCCGTGTGTGTGTGTATTATTCGACAGCGGATAGACGTTCAGTCATTGAATTGATTTTATGTATAGAAGCGATGGTGTTATATTATTTTTATTGTTAGGGTGTTTTTGTAAATAATCATAACTATTTATTTATTTATTTTTTTTTTTTTTTTTACGTCATTTTAATTTTCATTTAAAATATAATTTAAATTGCAAACGCACGCGCGCCCGCATATTCACAATAATATTTCTGACGTGCGTGTGTGTGCGTGTGTGGGTAGTAGGTGTGCGTATTTATGAATTATGCTTATTTTAAATTATTTGTATATATCTATATATACATAATTATATACGAACGGTTGTAATAATATATGCAATATATTATCATTATCATTTTTTTTTTTTTTTTTTTTTTTTTTTTTTATTGTTTGTAAACGGTAATTATTACATTATAACAAATAGGTATTATTGTGTTATTGTTATAGATTTACTAAATTATAACGGGCGATTCAGGCAATTTGTTATTATTAAATTATTATAATATTTTCAACGGCGTAAACACAAATTACCTGCAGTGGACTGTCGATAATTCGAACGTGCCGTTATGTACGATCGGAAAATCGTAGGTATGTGATTCTGTATCGATACCTACTTTCGAGGTATCGATAGTCCGCGGCGTGTATAATAAATGATAACGAACAAATTTGTATATAGAGAAACGACGATGAATGACAAAACAAAGTATATATCTCAATAAATAAATAAAACAAAAAAAAATAAAAAAAATGAACGTAATATTATTCACAGTGTTTTTTTACGAATTTCATTCTAAATCAAACGAAGCAATCACTATATTTCGTAGGCATTAAACAAAATATTTACCGTCATACCATAGTCTTAAACGTTGTCTTGTGATCAGTGCCGTTAAGAAAATAAACTAGGTATACGGGCATCTGATATAAATAATAAACGAGACCCCCGGCTTTTTCGTGAGATTAGAGTTTAAGGAGGCTAAAAGTTGAGGCGATTTTAAGGATCCTAGTTGCGGCACTGTTTGTGGTACATGGGCTTTTATTAGAAAAACAAAAGTGTAAACAATATTAGTTAGGCATACATTTTATATATATATATATTTTATTTTATCGATGATGAATGTAGTAGTAAATAATATTTAAAAGACCGCTTTCGGGTCGATTAGTGATATCCTAATATGTTTCTAACCTTAATGGGTGGGAATAATGAATCATTTTTATTTTATATATAATATTATGTGGAAAATCTATAGAGTAAAAAAAAAATTAAAAAAAAAATTGGGATAGGAATTCGAATTTTTTTTTTTTCTAGAGTACATTATTATATTATAATGTGTATATAAAACCTGTGATACATTTCATTAATTCTTAAACACGTCCTAACTTTACTTGTATTATTATTATTATTATTTTCGTAACATTAAGTATAAGTACCTAAACAATATTATTTAGTTTGTAGGTGATTTTTACATTTTTACGTTGTACTATTTAAGTTAATTTAATTCAATCGTATAATAAAGGATAGGTACATATATAAATTATTATCGGGTTTTTTTTTTTTTTTTTTACTCATTTTAAATAGTGGTCGAATTATACGGTTCAACGCGGATATATTTTCTCTATATCGACAACGGAATATTTTATAAAAAAAAAAATATATATATATATAGACACACACCACACGATTTATCCTCAACCTACACATTTTATTTTATCATTTTAAAATACCGAACTTGTTTCCTATTATAACATTATAATATTATACGGTTCACGATATTTCGTCTAATAGGTCTAATATTATTAACACACGTTGAAAAACAATGACAAAATTCACCTTAAATTATTGCATTGGACTTTTTTCATTTAACAGTTTAATACTGTAGTTTATGGTGGTTTTGAATTTTAATTTTGTATTGATTTACTTTTTTATTTTTTTTTTATATATACATACATACATTTCTATACGTTTATGTATAGCGTTGCACAATATAACGTTTAAGTATAATAATATATTATGTAAGTGATATAATAAGGACATATTGTTATATTCCAAAAATGACTACTTATAATTAAATCGCAATACAAAAATTATAAACTGTGTAGTTGAGAGATAAACGTAAAGTAATAGGGCCGGTTTAATTTACATATTTTATTTATTTTATAATTTTTTATATTCATTAAAAATAGTATTAATAATAATAAAATACAGTTTTAATTATTAAATTATCTTTATTATTATTTTTAGCGTTATTATTATTATTATTATTATCATTATCATTATCATTACTTTTACTCTTAATACTAATATTATTTTAGTTAATACATTCTATATTATTATTTAAGCCTATATATTTTTAAGTTCTGTTGAAATTCTGTACGACTAATGTTTGTTGATTTTTTTTTTTTTCTTTCATTCAGTTATTTTAAATTTCAATAGTACTTAAATTTCAATGCTATTTACAAATATTGGAAAACACTATTATAATTGGCTGATGAGATGTTTACTTTAAAATATTGTGTTTTTTTTTTTTTTTTTCATCCCTTATACTTAAATGTATTATCCATAGACACACGCGATAAATCGTGCGTCTATGATATTATCACACTCCTATTATTAACGCGGCAGAATCGGCTTTATCGCATCGGTTATACTCTTGTGTATTATAATAATACATACCCGGCAATATTATCGTTATATAAAAATAAACCTATGCATAGGTGTAACGGTGTGAATGGTGTATGACACGTACGTGCGCATAATGATGTATAATTATTTCTATAAGGTTAAAAAATATTGTCTATCGCAATTAAACTATATTGTTGTAAAATATTTAACGGACGGTTTGACGACTTACCGCTGTCATTTTACGTCTACTTTATGAAGTCAGGGGTAAGTCATACAACGAGTATAGTAATATAATATAGAAAAAGTAATCGATTCTTTGAACGTTTTACAATAAATCTAAGAGGTGAAGTAATTATTTTGATAAATGGAATCTAATAAAAATACACCATATACCCTGTTGGCCTGACCTCCGCCCTGCTTTGAATACTAAAATGCCGCTTACATGCATAGTGTATTATGATTATTGTGTTTGTTGAATAATGATGATTAACGACATTTTTTTAATTTTCAGGAATAGATTTGATGATAACGCGTCGTAAACGGCACAGCGGCGTCCTGTGATGGCTTCTGACGGCGTTCGCAGCTAGGCTAGGAGCCGAACACAATAATTATTAACATAATACGAAAGTATAATGTTTTTTTAGAAGTTATTATTACTATATATTGGATAAAATATGAACAAAATAAAAAAAAAAAAAACTAGATTGTTCAATAGGAATTAGAAACCGATTGATTTAATATGTTAAAAAATGTGTAGTTGTATCGAAAATCGTGTGAACAGAATGATCTTGTTGATTCGATAACATTGTATGGTGCCCGAAATAAAAACGAGTGTACCGAGTGTGTATTAAGGGGGAAACAAAACCGTACGGTGAGGCCCCTGGAGTAATGTTTAACAGTGAAACGCCGCCTTTCAACGATGTTACACCTTACACGCTAATTAAATTACATTGAACGATAATAAAAACAATGATCTATGAAGACTGTATTTATATTTTATACGATAATAATGTATCGCATTGTGTACAGTTATGAATTATGTATAATTATTAAATTAATAATGTAAATAGATTATATTGAAAAAAAAAAAAAAAAAAAACAAATTATTGTTGTAAAATTATGTAGGTATAATGTTCGGTTTGTTGATTACATATAGTAACGATAAAATGCATTTTTTTAAACGTGCTCAACTACCCAACAATATAAATTATAATAGTTTGTTATGCTTATGCTAAGTTTTATCTAATTATAAATTCCATTCGTTGTATTGTACCCTATTTAGTTAGTTGAAACTCAACATTCACTTGTTCGTTTCCGAGCGTTTTTGATGATCCGTAAAATTACACTGAAAATATTGAATCGTGTAAATCACCTATTGTACATAAAATATTGAGCGTTATGCGTGATTAAATGATGTAAATTATTCGCATATTGGTTATTTTACATAAGTTACATACTTTATAGAACATAATACAGTAATGTTTACTAGAAGTTAGGTTACGTAGGTACTGTACATACTCGCATAGGTATTATAAATTGGTTTATATATATATTTGTTTTACATTATTGTTTTTATTTTTTTTTTTTTTTCACTTTTTTAATATGTATTTATTATATTATGTTCGTATTCTTCTTTTGTATTAAAGTACTTTTAATTAGTAGTTTCTAATCAAGAGGACATCGCACACCCAGTATTTAAAGAGTTGCTTAAAATTGCCTGTATATGTGTGCATAAGAAGTGTTAATGAAACGTTTTATAAAATACAAATCAATCAAATTTGCTCAAAAATAAATTCACAAAACGTAGGTATAGTTCTGTAGGTACCTATTCTGTGTCATGAACATCGCATGTATTTATTATGGCGTCGTTTTAAATAAAATAAAATGTTAATAAGGGAATGAAAACCCCCTAACCTCCAGTATAGTGTTTGAAACGCTGAGATTTATATTGTAATACAGGGCAAACAATAACCTCTGTTTTCTCAGAATGTTATACGTCCAATATCTTATTCGGGCGATTTTATATAATACTTTTTTTTTTGAACTAGGTAACATAAAACACCAAAAATTAAAAGCGTTTGACTTATTAGTTATTACTAATTGCTAATTTTTTTTTTTTTTTTTTGTCGAACTCTGAGACTATGAACGATTTTTCATTTTTATTTGTATCAAAATTATGTATTCCGAAAGTTAATATATCCCAAGTGGTTCTAGTATTCTATTAAAGACTGTTTTGACAGTCGAAATACGGGCGTGAGACGTTCTCTTAAATATTCAATTGATAAAAAATAAAATGTATGGTTTCAATTACTTATGTATAGTAGGTACTAGACAGTAGTGTTTTTTTTTTTTAATAATAAAAAAAAATTTCAAGTAAAAACTTGACAACTTTAATAATTTATTTTTTGATTATTAATGTTTTTGCCTGCGTAATAATTTAATAATTAATTTATAAAACAATTGTTTTAATTACAATTATTGTTTTCTATCCTTTTGTAGTTCACAGGAAAAAATGCTTATACAATTCTACACATCCAGATGACCATGACTCTAATAATTCAAGAAACTGTATTTCACCGAGCAAACATGTTCACATAATATACAGAATGCGCAGAGTGCAATAAAGTCGGAATTGACGTTTTTTGAAATAAGCAGTTTACCTATAGTTAGGTTACACAGGTTGGAGCACAGCGTCGTATCGCGTGTCATCGGTTCGGAAGCGTGTTCAAAACTAAGAAAACATCTTCTTCTGCAATGTGTAGTCGATTCGCAGTACAATTTATCCAAAATGTGTAATATATAGCAATATTTCCAAAAAAAAAATTATTACATTACGCATAAATGTGCAGGATTTCCGGTTACAAAGTAATACACAAACAGAAAAAAAAAAACCACATATCATAGTGAAACTCATACATTCCTCGCTACCAGTGGCGTATAGCTATCATAGGACAAAGCCCCGAGGCCCCAGAGCTCAAGAGCCTCGGAGTCCTTGGACAATAGTTCTGAAATTACATCATTAAAATAATTGTCAATTTGTATGTACCGTTTATTAATAGTATGTTAATGTTCCAAATCGTAGGTGGTAATTACAATCACAAATGATATTAAAATATAATGATAATGCGCACGATAATATCCAACGAACGGCGCAGTGGCGCGCAGTACATTTATTCACAAGGTCGTCGAAAATATAAATATCTAGGTATCCACACACCCCACCAGTCAAACATGAGTTTGGGCACAATAAAATTCAATTCCAAATTAATAAATTATTAATATTAAACGAATACACATAAGAATAACATCTGAACTCACCAGGCACCCGTTAATTTTCTGAGGGGTGTCAGTCGACACCCCAGACCCAACCCCCCCTCACCCCTCCCCCTTCCCCCCGGTGTGCGCCACTGGAACGTTGTTCGTTGTCACATAGTAATAATACTACGGCGGCCGTGGTACAGTATTGTGTCACGACCGCCCAACCTAACCGCGGTACGCGATTAAAGACGGCCGAAATAACTGTTACCGAATGCACAATGACGACGCGACGAACACGTGGACCAATAGGTGGGCGTATTTAGGTTAGACCCGTGGCGGGCCGTTCGCGACACTCGCGGATTCAGCATACCGGCCGACCACCTGTCGAAAAAAAACCCTGCCGCGACCCGTGATTATCGGTCTCACTGGTCACGGGCCGAACGGTGACCACAACCGCGGTATAATAACGATCGCTTTTAAGACAGGTTTCCACTGGACCGTTCGCGTGTACGTGCACGTTTATTGTACGGCTAATGTTTCCGGCTTGCGTATTTTTCCGATCAGATAAAAAATCATAAAAATTATCTAATACGTGTACCTAACCTATACATTGTGTACATTGTTGATAGTGAAAATAAATTTTAATCGACTTTTGAAAAGAAAAAATATTAATTAATTATATATATTTAAATGTTTAAATCTGTGATTTGCTGCTATTACCCAGAGTAGACCGTTCGAACGGAAATAGTTGAACCAGGTCCAACTCCATAGTAACAAGGTGGTACACCATGTGTTAAACACGGGTGAATATTTTCGTAAACTAAAAGAATATCGTATTATCGTCCAATCACACGACAGAAAGATCCGTGCACGTATACGTGAACGGTTCACTGGAAACCCCTCCTTTATTTCTATTGTACCGAATGTTTTCGAATCGATTTGCCTTTGTGGCATAGTTTCATAACGGTGTACCGCGGTTGCTGACACGTCTCTAAAATATTTCCCATCTGGTGTAGCACTATCGGTATAGCGTAATATTTATTCGTACCGACCTGGCGGTTTTTCTTTTCTTTTTTTTTTTTTTTTACGTTTAAAGTTCGATTTTGTTCAGCCTTCTTTATGCAGTAAAATTGTCGATTGCGTAACCGTTCCGTCGCGAAAATCGTTCGCCGAGCAGCGTGACTAACCGTGTCAAACGCTTTCTTGAAATCCGTATAAATTATCGCTTGTAAAGATTCCAAATACAAAGTTGATAAATACGAAGTTATACGTAATTACAGATCGACCAAGGGTGTTCGTGAGACATAAAAGAAGAACTGGGAGGAGGTAAGTATACCCCACTAACTAAAAACGTTTTATCGTTAAAAATAAATCTTACAAATAAGTGCTCAATAATTACACTGGAAACTATTACGAAACGATCAAGTATATTAGTGCGTATGCCAACAAGAACGCAACCACCTCTTGAACAGCTGCTAGTAACATTAATTTTGTCACGTCGAAAAATATTGTAATTAATTAAGCCTAAATAATCGTCTAATCACTATAAATTACCATTAAGCTATGTTTTGTTCAATACTATAAATAAATAATTAAACCTCGCGACATTACAATTACACATATTTAACTTAGTTCTAAGTCCTCGGGAATTTTGGTTAAAGCCAAAAGACACACCTATTGAGTATATTTTTATTATTAACATGAACAATTTTACTACCGCAGCCGGTATTTAACTTTTCCTTATCGACGGCGGTAATATCCTTGAACTTGTCCGAATTTGTATATTTAATTGTCCAGTTTTAGTGTCAATTACCACACAAATGCACTTGAGGTTGTCATTAGGTTAATGGAGCTTTTTACGGTGCAAAGGGGTCAGGTCCTATAGTTTTTATCAGGTTGGAAAAATCCAATATAACAATTTTGTGAATATTACAACAAAATAATAAAATGCAAAATTGTGAAGCCGTTATTTCCATAAACTTTACTATGCTCAAAGACTAGAAAACATTTCCTTCCAGAAAAAGTGCTACTTTTGATATTTGGAACAATATTTCTGGAAGGAAAAAAAAGGAAAAAATTTAAAATAATAAAATAATTGTGAAATGCCGTAAATTTGTCCATTTTTATTTCACGTCATTTTCCGTATTTTCCCCCAATTATTATAAAAACTGTTTGGAAAATCAAAACGCGACTTTCTTATTCACCAACCAGATACAAAATACAACAAAAGAGGTACCTTTTTTTTTTTTATCGAAGCAAGATTTTTGGTAGAAACATAAATCGTAAAAACGTAAAGCAATGAAACCGTAAATTCCACGGCGCGCAGTGCCGTAAATATTTGTCTGTTTTTCCTGTAAGTTTTTACCAATTATGAACACCTCTTGGAAAATTAAAAAATAGTGTCTTCAATGCACTCACTAGATCTGAAATACAAAGTCACTTGACATTTTTTAATTAGATCAAAATGTATAGTAGATAAGTTGTATACAAATACAAAAAAAAAATTTAAAAATGGGACAAATCATAGTAAAACCTATACATAATTATCTTGCTTAGCACAAAATCTAAAATATTAATGATGATTTTATTTCAATACATACAAACTCTAATTTGTTCTTAAATTATGCAGCTACGTCCATGTATAATTATTACATCAGTTTTAAGTGAGTATGCAGGTTGGCCAGCCGAGTTTTTTTTATATCTGTGTTAATTTTCAATCTAACATACATACATATCTGACGAAAAGTTGTTTAGTAACATAAGATTTAATTTTTAATTGTGAAAAAAATTGTATTAAATTACTAGCACATTACTTAATAAGTAATCACAATCGTAATACGGATAGTATAAATAACACTATTTTAACAATAAGCAGGTTTTCATTTTACTCTGTACCTATTACAAATTATTTATTGCGTCTGAAATCGAAAATATTAGAAATTAAAAATATTATTATTGCTAATAAACTGTTTACCGGATATGAACATAATATGGCACATTAAAAATGTATAGAATAATATCTTTTACAAATGGCCACTTTGAAAATTTTTTAAATTTAACCAAAAAAAAAAAAAAAATTATAAATACATAAAATATATAATTTATACCGGGAATTTACATTATACTACTCACGAATTATTATAATTTAAACATACTTAAAAAAATAAACGCCGTTAAATCATGACATAGGCAACTTACCGTACGTAACAGTCAATCAATCATATAAATCAGTGGTCGACAACCGGCTGACCGCGCGTCTATTATCGATATTATACGGTGCGTTTGAATTTTCAAAACGAGGAAATTTAATTAAAAACTATATCAATATTCATATCAAAATGGCTGCCGTTAGTACTTTGAGGGGACGACGAGAATTAATGGTATTTTTACAACGTGTTCTCAACGTGATAACTTCACTGGATCTTCAATTAATTAAATTGGTTAACGTACGTTCGCGGGCCGTCGACCGTAAAAAAAAAAAATGCAATATATAGTACCTAAGAGAATCGTTCATGAATAATACAAAATAAGTAACTGATTGACATATTAGCCTTCTTATGTTTTTTTTTATAATAATATCGCGTTTTAAAATAACAAATAACATGAGCGTATTATAATTTTGCGTACACTTTTAAATGATATAATTATTAGACAACCGTCCGGGAAAACGTTGGAGAGTTTACCAAAATTTCGTTGAGCGTCCATTATTGTGCACTATTTGCCATTCCTTGTGGCAATTTTTTTTTCTGTTTTATAGTAGGTATTGCTGTTGCCAGGTTAGTTTTATAACGGGTGGTGGGGACCGTTCCTTTCCATTAACGTCAATTTGGCATTCTCTGACCCGGGGGGGAGAGAGGAGGGCAGTATAAATCGGAAAAATAATAATATTCAATAATGTTATTTTTATTTGCATAGAACAAAAAAAACCAATTATTCCCAGTCTAACATAGTCGATTTGTTCGTCAGCTTGAGTGCGAACTCGTGTCGGATTTTTAAACGACAATAGACCCCAATATTCGTTGTGCAAAACCACAAATCACGATCGGTAAGTAATAGGGGAACAAGTGCATTATGAAACTGTCTAATTTACGGAGTAACAAAAATATTATCAAAACCGATGATTAAGTTTGATAATCAGGATTTTAAAATAAAAAAAATAATAGGTACACAGGAACTATAATAGAAGGATCTATATAGAATATAGAATTATAATTTAATTATTATTTTTCCGATTTTTCCGTTACTGTATAATTATTATATTTTTTTTTTTTGCGCGTTTGAAGTTTGATGAGGTCACCCGCCGACGTGCCATCACTGTTATCAGTTACCACCAGGAAACATCAAAATTCCAAACATTTTCGACCATAACCGCGTGTTTACCTGCAAATCATAATCGATCCACAATGATTTATCTATGAAATCTATAAAATCCCGATTATCAAACTTAAGCTCTTTATGTTTAGTTCTCTGTATGTATAGTTCAGAAGATACGATTATTTTTAATATTAAAACTATACAGTAGGTATATTTTTTTTGCGAATTATTTTTATCAAAAAACTTACGTCATGTCCTCGGACAGTATTCAAGAGGTATAACAATACGTAACACTTGATGGCATTTCGTCGTTTTTCAATGGCCTTGGTGACTAGAACCCGGACAAGCCGTCGCCGCCGTATAACTTATAAATAAAAATAAAAACAGACGTTTTGAAAACTATTACAATGTCGATAATAGATTTCAAATTAGTATTTGTTATTAATAATTGTCAATTAAATATATCTAACTGTATATGTATGTATGTTACTGTTTTTTTTTTAATAGGTAAATATGTGAAATAATCGGCCGCTTACTTTTAGAATAGTAATTTGAACAAAGAATGGAGTTCTCACCTTCAGTTTTAGAAATCCCATACCAAACAAAGCATACAGCAATAAATGGATTTTTATAGGACTACCTACTTTGATGACAGTTAAAAACCTTCAACTACTGATTATTGGCAAGTTATAGGTATTCATAAAGTATTATGTTCGAAATGAATAATTTAAAATTATTAGATCAATACAACAGATGTAGGTGTGTTTTATAGCTGTTTGTGTATGAATCACACAAAATTCGCATAGATTTGAATGAATACTGGTCAGGTACCTAACTACCTAAGTACACAAATTATTACGTGTTAAACGCTCGAAAAAAAGAAAACGCTATGGCACAGATAACGTTCTTCTCAATGAATTATGAAATTTTGGTAATTATCTACTATAAATATGGAAAGCGTAGGCACCTGTAGCTTTTCTGGGCAAAACGGTTTCTAGAATCGTATTACGGGAAGCAGTATGTCCTCAAGAGAGTAACTTTAGTTAGATTATGGTGTCAACACCCACCCATCCCAAATTTTTGGCGGTTCAGTGAACCGTTAAAACTACATTCACGCCGCATCTGTAATCATCCAACCACATAGTAATAATAACATTATATAAATAGCATAATATAGAATAAAGATAAGTAAGTAAAATAGGCACACAGTGTTTACAATTTTGGTGCCTACATTCGTAAATACGATTTAATCCATACCTATGCATGCAGCGCCGGATAGGGAATGTATCGGCCCACCGCGTTTTAATATTGACACCAGCCCAGAATTATACAAAATAGATCAAATTGACACAAATTTAATTGAAAACAAGCAGTTTTAAAACCGGAACTGTGTATACGTATATACATGCTACCTATAAACTATGAATTTCAAATTAATTATTACCTATAAACTCTTACCTTGTATCTGTAACTCGAACAGTTAATACATTTTGCGGAAGACTATTAGCACATAAAAAGTATACAATTATAAATGCTACTTATCACAGAAATCATTAAACCTTTTTTCCAATTTCAATTTTTCCTATTTTTTATTTAATTAAAAAATATAAAATGTTGTAGGTATTCATAACAATGTGCAATTTACACACAATACAACCAGAAAATATGTGAATGAATGGACACGGTAACAGGGTAGAAATCGTTTTTCTTATAGATTTCAAAAAAAATTGATTGTAGTTGGTAATAGTACCCTAATAAAATTCTATAGTTGGAAAATAAGTTTTATGTAATTTGTCATTTGGGTACCATTGTTACGTGCAATCTACTGTCTACCTGGGAGTGGTGTTCGACCAACACTTGTTTAAAAAAAAATAAAAAAATATCTACAATACGCATGATTATTACTTGACCTTGACATAATCATTTAGCCAATTCAACAATTTGAAACAATTCAAAAGTTACAATAATACAATAATCAGTTGCTAGCTCTCTGTTAACGTGATACGTGAAATAACTACGTGATTTTTTTTTCTATCTTACATACTTTCAATAATATCTTGAACAATAGGTTTTTTTTTTTTTTTGTACATTGTGACATTATGAGTAACAAAATTAAATGTGCATATTGTTATAAAAGTAAAAAAGATATATAAAAAGAGGCATTTCCGTAAAGTTGACACTCTGACTTTGTCCGTTCGAAATTAGTAGGTGTCATTATTTTGCAACATTAAACAACGTCAATAAAAAGAAATTACAACGTTTTTCTTATAACAGCACAATACATTAAAGTACCTACATACTTAGTTTACCATTTTGTAAATAAAATAATTCCTTCTTAATATGTTATCCAAGTCTTCTTGATCAAGATAGTTTTAATATTTTACAAATTATGATAGTTAAAATGTTACAAACAAAAATGAACAAATATACTTAGGAAACTCGCGGTGTAAGTTTATTAAATTTCTAAAATCGTGTTGCATAAACGAATATTACGGTGTTTTTCTCCTGTGAACAACTTTTCTACCAGCAATTTTACTCCGATTTACAATAATAGTCCTTTTTCTGAGAGCAAATCTGATTGGAGTGGTACTTTAGGGTGGTCATCTTTTGTTTTCCAAGTACCTAGTTGATAAATGGGAAAAACTGGGAAAAACATGGGAAAACAGGGAAGAAACGCAAGAAAAACGGGAAAATAGATACAATGAACATGTTTAAAGCATATTATTTTACCATAGTATGACGTATATAATATATTGTTGACAAAGCAACACTATCAACCAAACTCCACTCAGAATCGTTTTTTTGTTGGCAATGGTTAATCGCTGGATACAGATATACATTGCTTTCCCACTTCACTACTTTCCTAACTTCTCAGCTACAATAGTGGCCCACAATTTATTTTACATATCATGTATTTATTGACGTAATATTAATGATTTAAAAAAAAAATAATAATTTTATTTGATAATATTATTTACGAAAAATAAAATTGACATCAGTAATACCCCGGCGACTTCAGGCTTTTGTTTTTTCAGAGTATTGTACAAAACTATTTCGACATAATTTGAAAAAATTAATTTTTTTTTGCGAAATCATAAAATGTTTTATGTTGATCACTCTGTATATATCCAAACGTATCCAAACTTAAAAGAGAAATAACTCGTTAACGGATTGACGGGAATCAAGAATTTCGACATCGAAATTAATTTAAATTAATACTCCATCCATTTATGGAATTTTTAATATGCGTTGTAATTTAATAATCGACAGTAGGAAATCGTACCTAAAATCCCCAAAAATAAGGATGACCAAAATAAAATATTAATTAAAATTTTTAGAGCAGCTTGTTCATTAAATTGTAAAAAAAAAAAAAAAAAAAAATGTGATGTAAAAATTGATTACTTTTCGAAATATCGTGTATGGCAATTAAATAGAACACTTTGTATACAAATATAATATATGTTTATTTTATAATAAATTATACTAAAATAAGTTAGGCATTACCTATATTGCAGTAGAACAAATTCAATAATTAAAAAAAAAAACAAAAAAAATACAACTTTGATACAGTATCTATTCTATAAATATATATAAGTATTTTAACAAATTTTCAAAATAATTAACACATTAAATGCATTAAAGGCTCACGGGAGGGGCAGGGTGAGCAGCTGCTCCTCCTGCGGGCTAAATTTTTCTTCCAAAAACTGAAATTTCAATTATTATACTGAATTTGCAATTAAACTAATGATGTATACAATTAAAATATGCATCCACTATTAATATTAGTTCATTTAACTAATAGTAGTTGTACACACTTAGTAGTGTTCGGATTTCAAGACAAACGCCTTCTTTTTTACAATAATAATAATAGAAAAATAAATTTGTATACGAAAATGTGTTTCATTTAATATCGGTGATGATGGATGAATTTGAATCGGAGCGTAGCGAGGGATCTATTAGTTTTACCGTGATGTTTGTAATTTTTTTTTCTGTCTGTAAACAACTTTTCTATCAGAAAACTTGCTTCGAAATATAGACAGTAGCCAGTGGCGGATTTACGGATTGGCGGGATCCAGACGGACTGGACATCCCCTCCAGACACCGATATAATTTCAATAAAATATCGTCCAAAAAAAGGGGCATCTATTAACAGAAATACCTTTTAAATACATATGATTTTTCAGGGCCCCATCCAGAAAAATGTTGAAAATCTGCTACTGACTGCAGTACCTTTTCCGAAAGAGAATTTTCTCTCTTTGATTGCATCGAAAAGGTAATTTTTCGAGAAGTTTTTGAAAAAATTGGAAAAACCCCCAAAGAAAATTATTGGTAAAACGGTAAATATTTACGGCGCGCCGCTTTGTTGCCGTTTTCATTGTTTTTATTATGTTAACACAGTGTTTTCTACTAGATATATTGCTCCAATTCAAAAATGACAAGTGATCGATTTTGTTCCTTATAATGTTTCGCCACTGGTAATGTAAGTGGTTTTTGATATCTAAAGTTATTTTCATAATTTGGAAAAATCAAAAAGGGCGAATTATACGATTTTTGCCATTTTACGGCACACAATTTCATTATTTTAAATTTGTGTGGCTTATATTTTCTATTATAAATATTACCCCAATAGATAAACGTCAAAAGATCATTTTTGTTGAATTTTTAATCTAGTTGGTAAACAAGAAAAAGGTTTTTTGATTATTTTTTTTGTTTTAATGATTGAGCAAAATCGACTAAAAATAACAGAAAGTATGGGAAAAATGAAGGAAAATAATTCTTTTATTTTCTTCAATTTTGTTTTTTGAATGTAATTCACTTTAATATAATCATAAAGACTTGAAATTTTGATAGAAAACTTATAAAATTGTTTTTTCTGGACGTGGTCAAATTTTCAAAATATTTGATTCATTTTTGAGCTGATTATAAACATTTTAATTTTGCAAGTTTTGTACACAATTTTTATTTAGTAGGTACTTTGTGGATAAAATTATTAGACTAAACAGAAATGCTTGAAAAGTTAACAGGAGGTTCCATAAATAAATCAGTCATTTCTCCATACTTATTAAAAACTAGTTTTATGTGATAAACGTGTTTAACTAATAATAATGCATATTTCCTACGATACCTACGAAAATTCGTTATGGTCTAAATTTAACGTGTGCTCTCGAAAAGGTCATTTCTCCAAAATATTTAAATATCTTTATTTATATTATTTATTAACTCTGACGAAGGTTTCTAATAAATATAAAAAAGTTTTTTATTGTTTTTTTTAAATATTTAGTACCCAGTCAAAAGATAAACTATATACATATTTTTTTTTTAAATGTAGGTACTGAAAAGAAACGATATTTTTTTGTTGAACTAAAAAGTTATAAATGTTACATACTTTTTTTTTATTACTGTTTTGTAGTTTATAAATAAAATTATTAAAAAGAATGCATAAAGTATTTTATACGAATTATTATTTAATTTTATATGGTACACAATTTAGATTCGCAATTATAATCAATGTAAATTTGCAAACCATTGGAAAAGGCCATATCTCAAACACGTTTATTCCTTCATAAAATAATCAATATTATAGTAAATTTGTTTTTTTATAAGGTAGTTTAATAATTCAACCCTTATTCAGTTTTCATCTAAATTTGATGTTGATATCTAAAAACAGTTTTTTTACAATTCCTAAACATTTTCATTTCACGGAGAAATACCCTATTCAAATGTTGTGATTTGTGGTTAAAACAAATTTGAGCTTCATGTAGTATTTTTTTTTTTTTTATAAATTTTAATATCAAATTTTGACGAAAATCATAAATATTACGGCATTTTAAAACATGTAAAACCGAACTTCACTCCGAATTGGTTTACGTTATTAATAAAGTTTATCGTCGGTTACAGATATAAATTAAATAACTTTATAAACCTCACCTTCCCCATTACCCACCTACAACAGTGGCCGCACATGTCATAAGTATCCTTCTAAATGCCATTCTGATGATGATGACGATGACGATTTAATAAGTTGTAATGGTAATTTAGATAATTATTCATGTATAAGATACACCAAATAACTTCAGTGGACGTATAACGATTATTTTTTGTGTACATAAATATTTTGAGCTCAAATCCTCAACGTTTTACTGAAGACAATTTATTTAAGAACATAGTAGTGATTTTTTTTAATAAAAACTAGTTAAACAATCAACTGAAATCTATTTAATTATTTTGTAAATTTTGTAGTTGCTTTTTATAAAAATTAAATGTTCTTTTTTTTCACCACATAATACCAAGTCGAATAACGTTATCATGATTTTAGGAATTTCTATTTCGTAAATTGCGTCATGCGTTATCTGTCGTTATTCGTTTATCTATTAGGTATTAATATTGTACCGGCCACTACCGGGTTTCTCAATGGGACATGACATTCTCGACGATATGTTTTTATTTATAAAAATGGAGTAAGTAAAAACTAAGTAAGCACTCCAAATTCATTATACTACTGTCAAAAATACGTTGCAACTATCTTTTACTGGCGTTGCATTCCAAACTTGTTTTTGATATCACATTCCTTTATTGGTGTTGCATATTGTTGTAAAATACTAACACCAATTTCCATCTGATCGGACGAAGTCGGAGTGCCAACTTCAAGTGCCATAATTTAACTTTTATTTAGTCATCAAATAACTATTGTTCATGATATTCTATATGTATAACTCATGTACTATCAAATTACTATTATGAAAGTGGAAATTATTTTTTCCCAAGTAGATAAAATATAATTATTATTATTTATAATTATACATTAGGCAATTTTTTAATAAAATCCATTCAAAAACCACTCACTTAACGGTACGGATAAAATAGACAGAAAAATAGGAAAATACATTAAAACGTCATTAACATTATTAACTAGTATAAGAACCTCCAGCTATAGCATGGGTAAAACTATATTCCACAATTTAAATACCGATGTAAAGAGTAATAAAAAAAAGCAATCAATAAAATAGTTTATGAATTTGATGAGAATGTGTGTACTAATAAAATTATAAATTGTCAGTATGTTTAAAAATAATATCTTTCCTTATCTAACGCTGATTAATTTCAAATTTAGATTATGTTACAAAAAAAAAAAAAAAAAAACCATCTCCGGTACTTTTATTTAATTAAGTTGTATTTTAATCGTATACATATCTACTACATCAATAATTATTTTATACTGAATAATATTCATGAACTCCATACACCAAATACGAGCTATAGCTCAGTTTGTATATATATATCAGCTATTATTATTAATGTAATTCATTGTAATTAATAAATTGTAATCGGCTGAATAAATAAATAAATATGGTATGGAGGTACGGCTACTACGTAAATGCTTGATTTTATATGTTTTATTATTTTTATTCTATTTACTCATTTAAATTTTAAATTTATAATAATTTTTGTAATTTTGATTTTTTTTTTTTGTAATATTAAAGTGATATAACAAACATATCAACAAATTTTTATTAGGCAGATCACACGCACCTTTTGTTTGTTCTGGTATTTCTATCCAATATGCTAATCTAGCTATTAATTTGTTTCAGTGTTTAAACATAGCTACTAATAATTCCCTTTAATCAAAAAGTCACTAAAACTTGCTATTTTAATAAATATTATTATCAGTTTTCAATTTTGTTATCTTATGTACATATTATAATTATTATCACATCATTTGTATTTGTCAACATATTTAGATAGCATTGAATAATGCTAATATATCTTTGGTAAATATGTTAACGAAATAAAATTAATAATAAATCAAGAATTTTCAAACCTTACAAAGTATAATTTGATGGGCATATTGGTAAATTATACACAATGCACAATGTGTTTATTGAGGTTTTAGAAAAACTTCAAGAATTATATAATTTCTATTTTTCTAGCTTTCATTATTTTGATAGATTTCCCAAGTAGAGAAGAATATTATACAAGCATTAAAACTAAATTAAATGTCCCTACCAAAAAGTTTATAAAATATGTCCCATCTAGATGGTTAACATTAAAGGATTTATGTGCTAGAATATTATATGAACAATCTGCTGTTTTGGAAGAATATTTCATAAAATTCATTCCAATTTATGTCCATCCTTAGCTAAGACAAATTTATATCAAAAGATCCATTCTTCCTGCAAAAATAAAGTAGAATGATATAAATACATTCTTAAATGGTAAAGCCAAAACAATCAACTTCTTAACTGACCAATTTTATAATATAAATATGCAACATTTACATTGTTACGCAGTTACACTTATTAAATTAAATTGTGTGTTTTTGTTATTTGTATTTTTTTTTTTTTTTTTGCATACATTTTCAAAAAGATTACATAATATTAATTTGAATGTTTAAAATAAATAAGAATTAGTCAGGGTGACAATCAATAGAAAGAATCTAAGAATCCATGAATTTTATAAACAAGATAACTTAAATTTTTTACCTATTTGTATAGTTGAACTATAATTAGGTGCTTAAAAAAATGACTATATTTGAATTTTTTTTATAAATATATACTTTATATTTATAATCTTTATTTAATATGAGTTCTTTTCTTAATGTGTAGAACATTTTATACATAATTTTTTACAAAGAGCTCTAAAAATATTAATACTGATTCTAATATATAGAAGTGATTTTAATTTTATAAAATTAGTAAACTATAATCCTTTCCACATATTATATTTGTTATATTAATATGTTTACATTTTAGTCCACAATAAAAACTAATTTAATATATAAAAACCAAGATATAATTATAAATATAATGTTGCAAACTTTTTACTTATCAAGATTTTATTCATTTAAATAGACACGAAAAAATTTTTATTCTATGGTAAAATACTATTGTTAATTTATTCTTGAATTTCTATTTTTATCTTAAAAATCAGCTACCTATTTGAATACATAGATTATAGAATGAATTCTGTATAATACTATAATATTATAATTTATTAAGAGGTTAAGAATTAAGATTATAAACGTTTTTCAAACCACTCTACATTAAAACACACATTTTGCTTATTGTACACATGTATAGAGTTTATAATTTTTTAAATTAAAAAAAATAAATAAATTCTGCCACTAGATGGCCTCCCTCCTCGTGTAATCATTGTTGTATATTATATTCTCTAATTGACTTATGCCTTGTAGCATAGATTGTAAATATTCTTTTAATAAAAAAAAATTAAAAATTAAAAATACATTTTTTCTTTCAGTTCTCAAAATTGTAAATATTTTTAAGGTCTCTGTTTAAATTTCCAATTTTTAAATATAAATTTATATTTTACTTTTATGAAGTATTTAAATGTTGCACCCACTCAAATACACACAGGTATGTTGTCAATGAAAATACCCACTACTAAGTAACAAAACAAAGTATACACAATTTTATTCTTTTCAATAAAACTATTTTTCAAATTTAAAATACTGCAACTCAAACAAGTAAATGGCTAAAAGATCAGATAGCACACGGGATCAGTGTTTCAGAGTCTCCTTGATTAAAATATCTTATATTATTAAAATACATTTATTAATCTCTGAAATCTTATTTCTAGGATAGAACAAAACTAGTGAGACCACATGTTAATTTTGATTTTTCAATAGAAACCTATACTGTCTTACTAAGAAAAAGTGCTAAATATATTAGTTTTGAGATTTATTTTTTTTTATTTATTTAATTAAAATCTACAATCTATACAAATATTGTATAATAGTTTGATGACTGAGAAAATACAAATAAAATATAGAGATTGGCATGAGTAGGGAAATTACCAAGCAGTTTTGAGATAAATGCATGTTTGTATTTTTCATACTCTTATACCTTTATTTTTTTATATTATATTTAATTTAGTATAAAACATATCCTACCACATTAATATATAGTATTTTCGACAGGAATGCAATGAAGTAATAATAACAGTATTATTAACTTATTATGTAAATTAAAGTTACATTTATGTTATCCCTTAGCAATCTAAGTCCTATATACTTATATTTACCAAAGAAAAATGTCATAATAATATTGTAATATTTTCTTTAGATAAATTTTTATTAAAAAAGATTTTACATAATATATGATTATATTATATAGCTTTTTACAAATTAAATTGTCAATATTAAAGTTAATTAGTTTTGGAATATTTTCATATATTTTTTTCTTTAAAAATTCAAGCTCTGAATATTATTCTTAAAAATTACATTATGTGTACAAAATAAATTTACCTCAAACAGTTTTTATAATCACATATCTTTTAATAAAACACGGTGGGTTTGTTTATTTTTTGTTGTGATTTATAATCTAACCATAAATAAAAATAATTCATGATTTCCTAACAATAATCTTAACATAACAAAATAATAAATTTTCTAAATGTTCTATATTGTATTTTGTATTGTAGTATCATCAAAATGATTGTGTCCATCACTTGTACATACAATATTTCCTGTTCAGATGTTATAAAATAAAATAAATAAGGAAATAATAATTTAGTAGCAATTAAAACACAATGCAGTTACTTAAAAAAAATGCTAGGCAATAACACTGCAGCTAAAATAGAACACAGAAATGAATAAATCACACATATATTGTGTTTTTAGCCTATTTATTTAATTTCAGGGTTTTTTTTCTCTAAAGAAAATATTTAAAATTGGTGTATCAATCAGATTCCATAGCTAACTCTGTTTTTTTTTCTTTTGAATTATGGGACTTTTGCTTAGCAGGGCAGTATATTACTATCTTGTTTTGTTTTATCGTGTATTTATATTAACATTTGACCTGTGATTTTATATGTATTTAACTTGGATCATAATGTAAGTGCCTACAATATGATCTAAGGTGTCCAAAATTGTATCTCGTCAAGTAAAATGTCTGTTCTTGTGACTTATGATTTATTGTAGGTACACCTAGTATTAGTATGGGTAAATGTCGTATGGTGTGTAAATAGCTAGAGATCAATAATGTTTCATGTTTCCATTTGTTTTTTATCATCTATATTTATTTTTTAAATCTATTATAAATGCAAGTCTTAATTATGTACCTATTATACTTATGTTATTTTTATTATGTATAACTGACATGCACTAATAACCATTTCAATAATTGATTCTTAATAGTAACATCAGCAAATCTATTGTCATATTTTAGTCATACTAGTTTTGTTAAACAATCACATAATGATAAAATGGAATGAGTAAATATTGGCTACGGTTTATCTTTAGCATTGCCTATATCAGACATAACTCAAAGTATGATAAAAATAATAATTTAGGTAAACATGTAATGAAATTAACACGGGTAATTGGCTATGTTTTCTCATGTAGAAATATCTACAATGCTATTAAATGAGCCATTATCCATTGTATCACTTACTAAAATAAAAACAAACACAATAATTTATTTAAGAATTTCAGAATTAAAAGAATACAATTTCACTACTGGAAAACAACTTTTCTGTTCAGACTGTGAATAAACATCATAAAATGAGAAAAAAAAATACACTTGATAGGTGAAATAAATTGATAAACCAAGTTAGTAAAGTCTCTTTGAATTTTATTAAATTTCTAGTAAAAACTAAAGAAAGACGCTATATTATGGTATAGTATGAAATTTTAGCAATTCTATTTTTCAAACATGCCCAAAGGCGGATCTTTAATCCACTTGAATCAACTTAAATAATTTTAGTTTGGGTTTTGAAATTATTTAGTTTCAGTTTTGTAAAACTGTTTTTAAACATGTTTTAACTAGACAGACAAGTGGCAAATAGCCTAGTTTACACCTGCTGAATACTTGGTTAAAACACTCATTTTACTGCTCAGCTGAACACTTATACTAAATGAGAAAGTGTCTACAATCCTAAACAAATTTGATTCAATCTAATCAGCCATTTACACATAACAATAATATCTAACACAAATTATTTTCGGAAATATAATTTATAGATGTTAAAATATTTTTTTACTTAATACTTGATTATCAATTGTAAACACTAGTTGCAAATAATTTGCAAAATTAGTTGAATATTTAAAACTTTAAACCTATATTAATTTTAACAGTTTTGATTTTGAAATTTATCAATTATGGTTTGGATATTGAATTTTTGGAATTATTTGGTTTGAGTGTTAGTAAATGACAAAACCCGGTTTTGAACTTTACCAAAAGGATTTTTGATATGGCGATTAATACAGACAGGGGCAGGGGTAATGGAAGCTGAGGTTCCCATTAACATATAAGTGCTTAAAAAATAGTACTTACACTAAATTATATGAATTATAACTTATATTAAAAGTTAATTTTTTTTGGAATATGTTATTTTAGCCCAAATTAAAAAAAAAATCAAGATTTCATAGCAAAATAGTTAATATTTATATTTGAAAAAATATTATTTAGCGTGATTGGTATATTGGTAATAAAATCAAATTATTTTTGTCGATTTAGAAGTTACCTTGGTCATAGTATTCAGTAAAACAAAGTTAAAACAAACAAAACAAGAAAAATTAATAAGTGTAAGGGTTATAATAGTTTTAACAATGGTACCAATAATAAATAGTAGTTACTATAGGAACTAGTTACTTAGTTCATTGTTGGACTGTATAGACACCCTACTCACCCAGTACAACGCATAGTTTTTGTTATTTTTTTTTCAACCATGTTACTAACCTTTTAAATTAATAATAATTAATTATTTGATATATAATTAAAATAATTAATAAAAGACAATGTTCCTTGCCTCTTAAATTTTGTTGCTATACGTCTACTATATCAAATTTAAATATTTTTTAGCTCTGCTAACACATTAGATAAACTCATGGTTATAAAGCACCAAAATCGTGGACATAAGTATGTGGCTGTATCCTTTTGTATTTTTGTATAAGTAGAAACAATTTTGGAATTACAATATTTAATCTATATTAGACATTAAAATCTATTATGGATTAGCATTAATTTACTTCTGGGGAGTGTATTAACCAGATATTAACACTATGAATTTTCTAAGAATACTTATAAACCATACTCAGGGTTTGGAGCTTATAGCATTTTTAATCATCAAAATAAGTGCTGAAAAAATTGTTTAAATACTTCATTATAAACATTTAAAAAATTCAAATTTTTTTAGCATTTTTGAGAACATTTTGACTTCTTTATTAAACTTAAAGTAGATTTTTTGGAAAATAAATTTTAAATATTTAACCGAAGAAAAATTAATTAATTTTATCAAAAAAAATGTATTTTAAAATGTTTCTTACCTTCTCAATTATATTGAATAATCTTACGTTTTCTTAAATTATCTATTTCAAATAATTCTTAAATCATTTTTAGTTATAGCTTTACCATAAACAAAAAATTACAAAACAGAAATAAATTCAAATTTCCAGGAAAATGTCTGTTAAGCATGTCATAAGCAGAAATATGCAAAAAACCAAAAATGATTAGAAAAAACTTAAAAAAAAAAAAATGTTTTAACAAAAAAATTGAATTAGGCTAAATAAAGCATTTTCAAATTTCATATTTGAGATCATTAAGACATGAGTTTCCATAACACTCTACTAGATTTTATGTTAGGCCAAAAAAAATAAGCAAATACTTGAAGTCTTGAATCCTACTTATAGTCTTTTTACTTACATTTAACGTGGTAGGTTAGGTTAGGTTATTGGGTTGGTAGGTAATTTGATCAGTAACTCATCATACATAGGTACGTATAGTATAGTTTTTTAAGTATTAATTATACATTTTAATACTACTAACAGTTTATCAAACTGTTGCAAAAACATTTTTTTTTTTCCAATATGACATAAAAATATTGAAACATTAATAAACTGGTTTCATTTTTATTTGGCTGCAAGAACATCTTAAATCATAAAGTATGCAGACATTAGCCATGTGACGATAATTTTAGAATAATATTCTTATTACATATTTATAGAAAAATTTTACTTTGAAAGCAATTATTAATGACTACAGGTAAGGATTTCTAAGCAATATGTAGGTAAGTGTTGATAATCAATATTAGGTGTGTGAGAGTGAAGCCTCCATAAGTCAATGATATAGAAATTTAGCACACCCAGAAATAATGCTCTAGTGGCATTTATGCGGCCACCATAGATATCTATGCTGGTCACAGTCAAACAACCAGATCAATTCATAGGCGAAACTTGGGGGAGGGGATGCTATGAGTGTTTTAGCACCTCCAAGTTTAAAACCAGCACTCCCAAAAAACCCAATTAGTTTTTCCATAGCAATGATAAAATATTTGTCCATGTATTTCATGGTTAATGAGCAGAACAAAATACAAGTTTCATGTGTTTGTGAAAAACAATGTTAAAATTGTCACGATAAATTTGTACATACAAAATTGTAAATGAAAGGTGTAGCTAATTATTGTTAGTCATGTAAAGGGGATTATAGAAGCATAGCCCCCATGGGTGTTTGATTTGTCTATAATTTCAGCACCCCCCGAGTCGGTGGTCTAGTGGCGCTTGTGCAGACCACAGAGTAGGATCGTTGACGTCCATACACGTTATCAATTACTGGTCTGTGCCATGGATACTTTGCTGTTCAAGCAATGGGCACCACGTTCATCGACCGTATAAAGGGTATTTGCGTTTCATTTGACACCTACGGAACGTACGGAACAAATGGGGCCCACTGGGTATAAAACGAGTTACACTCAATATGTACGGGCGGGAAGACTATACAGAGAGGAGCGCATTTCGTACGTTTCGTTAAGTTGTAAATACGTAAAAACAAGACGGGTAACGATCGCTCAGGTCCTGCGACGCCGCTGTGTCAAACTTACCTTTCAAGGTTCTGATCATGCAATGGTGGCCGCCGGTGGGCTTTGGGCCAGCGAACACGTTTGCCGTGTGTTGAACGCAAAACACCACAAAAACGTTGCGTTATTAAATAATCATAAAACGCTACGGAATTGTCTGAATGACGTTTCGACGTGCGTCAGAAGCGCAGATTATACACGATTCTGTGGTCGACCGGAGTTCAACGGCGGCCGAAATACAACAGGCTACAGGCGCATATGGGTATATCTATACGTGACCGAACAGTCGTCAATGCTCGAAAAATATTACCGATTTATAATTAATACTGATAATGAAGTCTGTGATAGTCGATAATGATAACAGAATCGGACATCTTGCAACCATTGTTTCGGCTTCCCCGTCGAAAACAAGGTTAATAGATTCGACTCTATATCAGTGCTTCTCAAACTGGGAGCCGTGGCTATGTTGCTGGGGGGCCCGCGACTAAATTACCGGGGTTCCGTGGCTATATTACGGGGGAGGGGGGAGGCCGTGAAACATTCGTTTCGTTTGAACTATTCCATTATTTCAGACTCGAAATTAAATGGGACCGGTTATTTCGTTATTTGGTTTTATATTTATCGCCAGTTTATTTTGTATTTATACGTTGTGTTTAAAGTCGATATTATTATAAAGTTTTTTCAAAAGTGTGTTGAAAACCGGTAATTTACTATGCGTTTCAACGGTTTATCGGTGTGAAACAGTACACGTGTGTAAATTGAAAAAACAAAAAAATAATAACAATAATTAATGGTTTCGATTAAGGGGGGGAGGGGGGGGGGCCTCGATCGTTTTGCATCGAATTTAGAGGGTCCGACGACACAAAAGGTTTCGAATCTGTACGTCGTATGATGTATAGAACACGCCGCTGGGCAGTGCAACAGCACAATAGTATTGCACCTTTATACCCGCTACGCACAATCTATTAACCTTGGTCCGCTAGACGCTTGTTGTTTCGTCGGGTTCGGCCGTCGTTAAAGTTACGCTGCTGGGAGAGGGGAGGGAGGCTCGAGGTAGATAGCGATCGATGACGTCGTACGGTTGGAGGTGACCGTCCGCGGAGACGATACGGAACTATTACGGGTTATGGGCTACTATTATGGGCTATCCCACACGGACGCGAAAAATATCGCAAACGCCGCGCGTTCCTTGTACGGTCGCAACTCGTGGGTGTTCCGAGCACCGACGCGGATAACGGCGGACGACGGGCCGTTGTGGCCGACCGCGCGGTCGGTTTTCGGGAATTCGCGCGGGGAGCAGGATGGGGGTGGGGGGGGGCCCACACAGGTCTTTCCCGTGCGGCCAATGGGACGTCGACTTTTCCGCGCCCAACAGGTCGGCAATGCGGGCGATTCGTTTTCGGCTCGATTGCGGCCCGGCTGAAACGCGCACGGGTCACAATGAGCGATACGGTACTCGGCTCCGGGGATCCGCGTCCGGCACACGGTTCCGCGGTTTTATTTTCGGCCGTTCGCGCGTGATAAACAACAAACACAACACGTCGTACGCGGCGGCGGCGTATTCGGTTGTCCGCGGACGACGTTTTCGTTCACACGATACACACATACATTACGTCGTTAGGATGTTATCCGTCGATTACGGAACACAATGTAATTGTGACGTCTACAATTACTGCTCGGCAGATTGCACAGGACTAATGATAATACGGTCACGGGCGAACAGAAACGCCGTTTGGTTCAATCGAGCGCGGCATTACGTATTGCTGTCGACGGGACGGGCGCGAACGGACCGCGGCCGTAACGGCCTTTACCGTTTGATAGAAAAATACCTCTACCGGTTTTTTTTTTTTTGTCTTTCTTCCCGCTACTTTTTCTCGTAGAAACCTACGCCGCCCGCGGCGGTTCGTCTACGCGGCGCGGAGCGGAGAAAAATGTGTGTACAATCTCAAAAAGTGCCCCGCGCGCGCTCAGAGAGAAAGCGTGAGAGACGGCGCGAAAAAAAGGCCGCGACCCCCGGCGCGACCCGGACGTCGTGTCCCGTCCGTTCCGTTACGGTCGGCTACGGGTTCCGAGACGGACGGGCACGGGCGTTATTTCGAGTTCGATTCGTTCGGAGCGAGAGGCGTTTTGTCCGCGGCGGCGACGACTGATAAATCGTCTCGTTTTCCGCCCCTCCGGCAACCTCGCTACGACACAAGAGTGGCCTATCATTTTTTTTTTTTTTTTTTTTTTTTTTTTTTTTTTTTTTTTTTCCTCCTTTCCTCTCTTCGTAACGCATGGGAGAGACACGCATTCTGCGGCGGTTACCTGTACGGCCGCGTTCATGGCTATCAAGGTTTATAGATAATTATCTGCGCAGACCTTGTACGGCCACGCCGATTATGACAATCTCTAACCCCGTGCGGCGGCGCGCCGAACGTGTAGGAGAACCGGTGGATAATAATATAATTATCGTGCAGCCGCGACGCTATCGATGTGTTTCGATTGTTCGTAGTTTTCGATAATTATTTATTTACCGACGAAAAAACGTATTCGCGTCGAATGTCGAACGGGCGCGAACTATAATAAACACGAAAACGACATTTATTACTGTACGCTCGGAATATGTTTCTGCGCGCGATTAAACCTGTTTAATCACGCGATAAACGTAAGCCCGTAGACATATGACATTACAATGTCGAATGGCTTTCGCATTCGCTAGAGAAAAACAAAACGGTTTTCGCATGCGCTTGCGTGCCCCGCGTAACGATACGTGAACCGACGATAACCGGCGGACATGGCAGGACGGACAGCCGACGGGATACGGCGGTTCTGACGACGCACAATCGGCTAGGTCCAGAGTGGCACCGAGATAATAATATCCTGACGGTTCGCGGGCCCGGTTCGACTATCGATAGTTACCCGCGCCACATACCCGACGACTAAACCGACCGGCGCGCGTTTGGCCGCCGCGTACAAATGTTCGAACGTATTATTTTCCGACAATTCCGTACCGAGAACATATTGCACCGAGTCAGGTGCCCGGCGACCGCGCGCGCACGGGCCCACGCCTGCACGACAGGCCTAATACGCGAACGAACAATTGACTATTATATATATATATATTTTTTTTTTTTTTTTTTTTTTATCGAGGCTCTGTTGACGCGCCCGTGTACCGGGGCGGGGCTTCGGATACCCGCAATACTGACTGCCGAACCATTTTTATCTTTTTTTTTCCTCTTCCCCTCCCCCCGCCACTATCCGAAGGTTTCATACGACCCACGACGTGCCACTACCTGTACCTACAACACCGTAACCTCGCGGTAAATAACATTCTCCACCCGATGGGTATATTATAAATTATAATAACGTTCGGGTGTTTTCACGTTCAAAACGTCAATCGCGCGAAAATCGATTATCGACGATATTATTATTATTGTTGTTGTCGCCGGTATAAATTCCCGACATGGGAGTTGAGAACCTTCCGCCGTCGTCGTTGTACCGCGAGATTGCCGACCCGGAAACCGACGACAATCGACAGTAATTCTAATTCGTTCGTACTCGTTGCCGTTGATTACGACAACAACAACAACAACAACAACAACAACATCAGTATCGTAAACCACTTATTCGGTTAGGTTTGTTATGATAATTAATCTCGTCGGCGCGTTTGGCCATACTGAATACCGACTGACTCTCTCTCTCTCACTCACTCTCTCTCTCTCTCTCTCGACAATAATAATAATAATAATAATAATAAAAATATGAACCGAGGTTTTCATCGTGTACCCACCCACTTGTACCTACGACGAGTCGACGACGACGGAAAAATAAAAAAAAAATAATAATAATAATAATAATTGTAACGTCAAATAGGTGTACACTACAGTGTAGTAACACTACACGGTACACGCACCACACACACACACATACGTACGTACGTACGTACTATAAACGCAGCAATACGTACGTGCACGCAAAAGTACACGCGCACGCGAGTGTTTTTGTTGTCCTTTGACCGAATCGTACGCGTCGTCCAAATTACGCGGTAAAATACGCCAACAGATAAATCGTGACGACGGCAGGCCCGCGCATAGACAACGGTCGTGCGTAAACACCATTACACTTCGTTGTTTTTTTTTTTTTTTTCGTCCTCCCCCCCCCCGGAAATTCATGGATAAGTGTGTATTATTATTATTATTATTATAATATACAGTGTACCATTTATAATATATTATATTATTATAATTATATCGCGAGTCGACACAATCACTGCGGTACGCCGACGCTGCCGCCTTTGCCGTCGTCGCGTTCGCGAACACCACCACCGGCCGTCGGCCGATTTATTCTTTTTTCGGCTCTTCGTCCGCCGCCGTGTACGCACAACTACCGCGCAATAACAATATCGTAGTTCTGCCAGTTATCCCTCGACAACGGCCCGCTGAAACGCCCGAAAGGCCGAATCCTAGTGGCGCCCCTCCAAGTTTCTGTTGCCCGCCTACCCGTCAATCCGCCGCCGTCACCGTTTGTACACGAGAGCCTGACAACTCGACGCCGCGGTCGTCCACACGGTGTCGCGCGCCTTCGCCAGTACTCGGTTGCGTAAAAGGTCGAATTCGGTATGGTGACGGTTACCGCCACTGCCGTCGCTTCAGTAGTAAGTGGTTGTCGCCGCCGTGTTTGTGCCGCCGTTGTTGCCGCCGCCGCCGCCGCCGCCGCCACCGCCGCCGCCGCCGCCGTCGTCGTCGTCGTCGTCGTCGTCGTCAGTACTATTGTTACGACCGCCACTACCGTTGCCGCCGCCGCCGCCGCCGCCGCCGCTCACGCGGTCATGTAGTAGTGGATAGTCGGTTGGCCGCCCAGACACCGCCGGACGTTAATTATTAATTTACCGCCAAAAATACCGATATCCGAGTAATAAAACTTCGCGGGAATATCCGACTGTTTTACGAAACCGACTACCTACCTACCCGGCTATGCAAACACGATGGCTTGTCCGACAGCCAGAGATAACAACCCGTTGGTCAACCGTTTGGTCCGTGTTGGATACTACGAGCTGGAGAAGACCATCGGCAAAGGCAACTTTGCCGTCGTCAAACTGGCCAAACATGTCGTCACCAACTCAAAGGTAGGCCGGTCTCCATTACTTATCTCCGTTATTACCTCCGTCTCTACGTAGGATTCATTTTTCAGTTTGTAATGACATTAACGTCAATGATAAAGATAAAAATATTGTTCGTTGGATAGGTAGGCCCAATCTGTTCCGTTTATCTTGCCTGTTGTATTGCTAGTGTACATTGTGTACAATTATTATTATAGTAAACAGGTACTTTTAATTTCCTGATATTTACAAGCCTACCCGCTTTAATTGGATTTAGATAGGTACCTATCTGTGTTACGGAAATTGAACATAGGCAATTTGTACCTATTAAAAAATGTTTTATGCAGATTTTATGATTAATTTTTTTTGCTTACCTATCTAAAAAATTTAGGCGCCTATATTTTAAGTGTTAATTTTTTTATTAATTTGTAAATTTAAAATAAGAATATTAAGTTATTAATGTAGATATTTACATATCTCCACATCCCCTGTTGAGGGCTCATCCCCCCAAATGGTTTTCTGTTTACACCTTCATATTAATTGCCTAGGCACTATTCTAGTTTGGCCGATTTTCGAATTTATTTTTTCAAAATGGATTTGCATTTGTGAAAAAAAAAAGAAACAAAAACCAATAATCTGTATAGAACTGCCTTTAGAAATTATGAGTAAAAAATACTTAAAAATTAGGTAGGTAATGACTAAAAATAATTTAATATTTCCAAAACATTTTTTATGCTTAATCCATTTGGTAAAATTAATACTTACTTTGAAAGTTTTTGTACAGAAACATTGAAAAATTGTTTTTTTTGGAATTGCCTTATTCAAAATGTGTTTAACAAAATAGCTTAAAATCCCATTGTTGTAAAGTGAGTTTTAGACTAGGTTTTGGATTTACATTTAAAACATTATTATCCTTTGCAGAAGTATCAAATGGAATTTAGATTAGGTAAGCAAATACCTCCCCCCCACCCCTTTGAAGAGAACTGCACTGTGAGCACTCAAGCAATGTGAGCCATCCCCTACACCTGTGGTTCTGTACATTTTTAAAATTGTTTACAGTAACTGGTAGTTATCGCAACATAATTAATCTACAGGAACAATCCACATTTGATAATCACATATTGATAAATAATTAAATTAAAAAAAAATATTTACTCAAGTAGGTATTAAAAATACTGATTTTAAACTATTTTTCAAATTTACTTTGATTATGTAATTACCTACAAAAATTAATGATATGATATTTTTTTCAAATTTTATATACAAAAATTTTAACAGGCAGTATTTGTAAATTTTGATTTTACCAAAGAATTAAGCATTAAAAACCATTCATTTTGATAAAAATAATAATCAACATAAGTTGCTGAAATATAATTTTTCCATTTTCTATAAAGTCTGCTATCTAATATTGTAATGTGCATATAAAATAATTGTTCAACATTTAAAAAGATATAATCAATATTTAAAATTGACTAAGACCTAGAAGTAGATTATTCAATATTTTGATATTTTGAAAATTATAATTAGGTAAACCATCTAAACTATTCAAATTTAGAATAATATTTTGTTCAAAATATTTGTCTTATTCAATCATAAGTACCTACCAAGGTACCCATATTTAATTCTAATTTATTAATGACTAATTTAACTACCTAACTTTTTGGCTCTTAATACTTTTAGTAATATCATAATAAATAAAATAATAGGAAAGTACTGACATGGGTACCCTACTCTGTAATAAATAATAAGGTACAATTTACCTAATATAGGTAGGTAATCTATTTAATTAATCATTTGTATAAGTTCATTAAGTCATAAATATTAGGTACGTATTGGCTACAACTAATATAAGTAATAGGAATATTAGAAAAATATCAACATTTTTATTGAACTATAGAATAATTACTTACATGAGTAGGTACATATTTTTGTAAGTAAGTTTTTGAAATTCTTACTAAATAAAAATAGTAATTAATCTGTTTGTTATAATGGCAAAAAATAATCTTATGATATATTTTTAAAGTGTACCTAGCTTAAGGTATGTATAATACATACCTAATATTTCTTCATAAATTACTTAGAAGAATTGTTATTTCTATTATATAATGTAAATTAAGTAGGTATGCACGTACCTAATAATTTAATTCTTCAAGCTTTGCTGTATCTCATTCGAGTTATGAACCTTTTCTTTCTTTTAGAATACCCGGGTGAATACATAATTTATAAAACCATTTTTCAATATTATTTGTCCTTTTGTCCTTCAAAATCTATTAAACGATTGTTTCATAATTCCATGAAATTATTTGTTTATAATTCGAGGTATAATTTTTAATTTTTTTTTTTTTAATGGGTATTTTTCAAATACAAATTTTAATATTGCAATTCCGTTTGACAAGTGAGTACCTATAGGTACCTAACGTCTATTGTTCATTATCTAAGAATTATTTACTTCATTAATTTTCTTTCTATTAGTGACTATCTCCAATAATAATATAAACATGTTTATCTAAATTAAATGTCTGGACATAGTGTTTTACAAAGATATAAAGCAAGTTATTCTCTGTCTTCTATCAAGATGAAATTATCTTAACGTTTTACATCTGGCAAAATTGTAAGCAATAAGAAATCTTTATTACTTATTTAAGACTTCATTCTAAACATAAACATTATACCAACATTAATTAACTATTAGGTATTTAATTTATATTAACAACATTTAGCATTCAACTTACTTATTTTTATGCTCATAAACCAAGTACAATATGCTTAAGGTTAGAAAAAAAATCATCATTCGAGAAATATGAGAATTGCTCTGTATACATAAAATCCAGACACCTATCAATAAAACTATTAAAATTCATAAATATTTTTGTCCCATAAAAAAAAATCCCAACAATACTTATCTAGCTGTTCAAAGGCTAATGAAGTCACGTGTATAATAGGTATAATTATAATAATAATAATATTATTTATTTGTAACTAGTATAAAGTTATCCAAACTCCATACAGTGTACTATTAATGATAAATCATTAAAAAAAAAAAAACCATTGTTATAATAGGCACGTGTATAACTACTAAACATTATGATGCAATATTGAGATACCTAGTAAAAAGAATAATTTATGGATTATGTTTCTTTACAATTTTTTTTTTTACTCCTCATAAGTAATGTTTATTTTTTGTCAAAGTAAATCTTTTTTTCCAGGTAAAAAGGTATTATTTTTAATACGTTCTTATAGATCCAAGTAAAAAAAAAAGTAAAAATATATTCATTCATTTATTTCCTCTTTCTAATTTTATTGTTTTTTGACAGAACAAATAAACAAATCAAATATGACGAATTTTCAACTATTATTTTTTTCTAAACTTTAGGTTCAGTTATCCAAAAATAATCGATTTGCGATATTTTTATTAGTTGTCTACGAAATTAAGATTCAAATTAATTTCAGTATGGCAAATTTAGCTCATAATCAGATTGGTAATTTAAGTTATCTAAAAAGAAAAATATAGACATTCAATTTCCCTCATTAAGGTAGGTAACATTTCTATATCGATAATATATTAGAGAACAGGTTCTATTATCTAAAGCCATTTCGGTACAATAATAATCGATAAAAATATAATAATAATCATCAAAATTAGATTAATAATTACCCATATCGATATCTAAAATATATACAGAGTGATTAATCCTTGATAATACACTCATTTTCTTGGAATTTATTACCTTTTTCCGGATTTTTTTATTTTTATTGTTTGATCGTTTATAAAACCATTACGGGGTTATTGGAAATTGTAAATTTCAATACCAAAATGTATATTTTAATTAAAATTTCTTCTATTTATGGAATTTTTAATCTAGGTTGTTATTTGAAAATCAAAAGTGAATAGCGGTTTCACCCCTCAATAATAAGGGTGAAACGAATAACGGTAATATAATATTTAAGTACTGCTTGTTTCTTAGAAAAAACAACAAATTCAAAAAAAAAAAGTTAAAATCATTCTGAGATAATTCTTATTGATAATTGATCTTACTGTATGTATGTATGTATATATATATATATAGATAGGATTTAAATATTTTATAGGTGCCTATAAGTTATTCTCTCATTAATATTGTTACCTACCTAGTCAAAATTTCAATAGATCACTTGTTAAACCTTGAACTGTAAGAATTTGTTTTGTTTTTTTAAGAAAAATGATTTCGTAATAAACTAATTGCCAATTGGAGATAAGTCAATTAACTATGTATTAGGTAGGTAGGTAGGTCCATTACGTCAGCTATTATCCCCAATACTTTGATAAATCTGGTACAAGTAATACTAATTTTCACATAAAATAATCCTTTGTGTTGTATTTATTATGAAATACTTATTAATACTTTGTTGAAAAAATAAATGATAATATATGTCACAATAGAGACCGGAATTATATGCACCAACATCCATATCAACTCAAAATATGCTGTTGTGAATGTATTGAAAATCAATACCAGTTACAAAAAAAAAAAAACCACTAACAAGGACTGTTTAGTAAAAATGATCCGATTTTTTCACGCCATAACCTAAAATATATAGATTTTTTTACCAAAACGTATTTTATTTTGAAATTATCTGTGATTTTTTTCAAAAATGTGTGCTCTATTATTGGTTTGAAAAATACTGTCTTTGTTTTTGCGAAATAATCCGATTTTTGGGTGCGAGTAAAAGAGCTGACAAATATTTAATGCTAAATCTTATTTTAACCGAACCGTATCATAACCGACACATGTATCGTCCAAACCGTCGTATTTTAGCAGAAAAATATTCGATAAATATTTTGTCAGAACCTTATTTCAGCTGACACTCGGATTATTGATAATAGATATAGACATAAGACATAAGTCTTAGAACTTAAAGATAAAGTCGAACCACTTCCCTTCCGCCAGACCGCTGCCAATGTTCTTCTTGTTTAGTTGACGATTTTTAACATTTTCATTGACGTTTTTTTAGTTAGGATTTCATATAACATGTATGTACCTACATATTATATTCACAGGCTTATACACCTAGACGGAACATTCACCTCGAGGACTGGGAGACGTGGTCGGTCCGAACTGATCAAGAGAGATAGGCTTATATTATAGGGCCTAGTGTGAGAACGAGCAAATTCGCACTCCGAGGATAGCCAATTAAAGCACTCCCGTTCATTACTTCACGATTTTCTGTTTTTAAAATGAAACTCCACCCACCGGAACGCGTTTTCGTATGTCGAATGTTCAGTCTAGATGTATTATTAAGTCCATGATTATATTATTATCGTAGGCATACTGCAATTGATTCTATAGTAAACTATAACCATGATACCGAACCTGGTAATATATATCATAGACAGATAAACATAATGTATTATAATGGATAGACACCGCGTATTATACTCCTTTTGTGTACAACACCTTAGTTAAAAAAAAAAACATCACATAAAAGATATATGCGAGAGAGATAGGCCCAAACGTTACTTTTTTTTAAGGAATTCATAAGGCAATATTTACAATACTCTTTGCGATTATAAATATTTATTGTTACAAAATAAGAATAACGAAATTTCTGGATAATGTACAAAATATCAAACGACTCAAAGTTTGAACCAGAGGTAAAAAAAAAAAAAAAAAAAACCGATCGTTATAAATGCTACCGATAACGGTACACAATAGCATAACGGTGTGTTATTATTATCGGCGTATGAGAGAATCCTAAAAATCATGGGTAAATATATATGTTATACTTTAACCCACGATAAATGATTTATGCTTCACGCGGCTAATATTCAAATTTGAAAAAGTGACATTAATCATTACCAAAAGAACACATTCTAGAAATTCGTTGGTACAAACCGGTGTACCGTGTTGATTCCGATTTATCCTACCGGTACGCCAAAACGGATCGGTGGTACAGTGCACACCTGTACGCAGAAAGATGATCGGTTAAGATGTCGATGCCGATTCGTTCATACCGGTGTGTGATACCGATTCGGATATTTTGGTACCGGTTTCACATGAAATTCGTTGACCTGTAGTTGGTGCAAAATATCATTATCCCCACTATAGTCCATAGTTAATTGTTATCGCAGTGTTCTCTGAATAATTCGTACATTACTGGATTTTTTTCTGAATGATTATTCTAGTAATACAAGAATGATGAACGATAAAGTTTAACAATAGTACAATTTGGGTTACTACTATAATCCCGCGTGGCCGCTGAAATGAAAATAAAGTAGTGGGCACCTATGCAATTAATTTTATATTAATTATATATTCAGTACATACTTTCAAAAATATGACAATCTACATTGGACCAATTTATGATTGATGCCATTATTATTTTAATTATTCATTTATTAAGTAATAGTATTTTTAAAAAATGTGAACGTAACATAAAAGAAGACAATATAAAACGAATCGGTATAACGAAAATAATAGGATCAGTGTCAAATTTTTGTACGCCGGTATGTCCGAAAAAATTTCTCCAGTTTACACTGATTTATTTTAAACACACCGGGGTTTGTATCAACGAGTTTCTCAAGGTCAGACGCCTTGAGAAATTTTCCCCCAAAATATTTCTTCGATTCGCATTGGTTTGTACAAATGAATTTCTAGATTATTGTATTTATTGATACTGATTTTAGGTAGGTTTTGTTTGTTTACATTTTTGAGAATTACATGGGCCGAATAGGGAGTGCACCATCTGGTTTTATATAATCCGTGGTAGTACACAGTGTTTTGATGATTAACCTGGTTGTATTCGTTATCAGCTATGTTTATATGATTTTGATTAATAGTAATAGATTCGTAAGAACAACATGTTTATGGTTATTACAAATAATATTAATAAAAAAAGTACTGGATAGATATCTGATCATTAGTTTATCAATAACCAAACATCATATCGTTGTTCCGTTTGATTATGATATTTCAGTAACCCATAACCAAAATCGCCAAAATGACTTGTTTGTAAAATACAATAACTTGGTTCCATTTGGTTATTCGCCAAAACACGCCTTTAGACGGATTCCCAGCAGCTATCCCGTGTACGTGTACATGGGTCTACGGGATGCGCTGTGATTGGTTGTAGCATTTTAGTACATCATACTGTTACAGGATATCGCGTTGTTGAACTCGAGTCAACTTTTCGACGAGTGGTTACTAATGTTTACTGATAATCATATTATTTTGTGAATTGTGGTAATAAATGAAATAAATCATACACGGTAGGCGGAGCATCGTTTAAAATATGCGCGTACACATACAGGGGATAGCTGAGAATCCTCCTTTATAACAATAAAACACGCCTTTAGAGTAACATTAAGGAGCCGTTGTTTTCATAAATTAAAGCTAGTACATCGACTCCTTTTTTAGAACCATCATTTAATACAAATATTTTTGTTTGGTTCATAGGTACCTACCTACCAACCTAAGAAATTCAGATAAAATAATATTTGCAAATAAACATTTTGCATATTGTAGTATTTTCAAACAAAATATGATGTATAACATATATTCTATTTTATTTTAATGTTTATGAGAATTTAATAATGATTAGCCAATCTTTAAATTCTTAAAAATAAAAAAGGACAACAATATTATAGAAAACAAATATGATGCGCCACCTATAACAGGTAGGTATTTGGAAAGGTACGTTACATAAAGTTGTTTAAATTATACCTGTTAGCAACGATAAACCATTGCTCACGAACAGTTCGGATTTACATGTTTTGAAAAGACCTAATATTTACGATTTTCGTCAAAATTTGATTTTAAAACACATATAAAAAAAAATACTACATTACATTTAATTTTGTTTTTTAACCTCTAAGTACGACTTAATTATACCTCCTGTCGATGTTCAAGCATTTCTATTTGGTCAAACAATTTTATCCACAGAATACCTACTAAATAAAAATGTCTTAAATACTCTCAAAATTAAAATGCCATTAATTAACAATAATTATTAAATACAAAAAATTCTTGAATTATACGAGTACCGCAAAATAAAAAACAAACGTGAAAACTATTAATCGTCATATTTTATTTTGTAAGTTTGTACTTAAAATACTTCATAAACAGTGATATCATTTTTTGATAAAATACAGTGTACCAGCATATCATACATTGACATTTTACTATATTTTAATCTATACAAAATGGTATTTCTAAAAAAAAGATTTTTGATCTCAATTTAGTTATACAGCCATTATAATATGGAACGGCCCCTTTATAGTACTCTATGATTTATAACGACACCGAAAAAACGGTTTGTATCCTCAACTTACAAACGGGTCTTATCAGTACCGGCCTACCGACAATATATGTAGAGAATATAGGTAAATGGCTCAGTACGATTTTTGGCAGCAATAGTTGTATTCTTGTTTCTGCTAACTGTTACGAAAAAAAAATAGGTTCGACTGGCGATTGCTATCCGTATGAGGAAATGTTAAAATACAATATATATTTTCATGTCTTTATTAAATCATTATTAATACCTAGGTATGAATTTACAAATCAGTTGGCCATCTCTAGTAAGTAAGATAACTATCATTTATTCTAGGTAGGCAAATTTTGATAAGAACCGTTTATTTTATTAAGTGCCGTAACTGAATTTTGTTCGTTTTATATTAAAAAAATATTAATTTATAATTTAATTAACTATGTTTAATACATGACGGTAGTAAAAAAAGAATGTATCTTATTTTACATTTAGGTATTTAGTACAAATATATAATCGTTCGTCAATATAAAATAAGAGTAATAATTGTTAGGTATAGATAAATACCACATATTTACTTTTTATAAATATTTTAGTTTTAATCGAGATAAGCTGTTGATACTGTTGAGTTGTAAGTGTAGTTGATAGGCTGTTATTTTCCGCGAAAAATTTTAATAATAAGGTCTAATAATGATTTTAAAAATTATTTATAGATTTCCACCACTATTACGAATTGATATTTATGTATAGAAACGAACGTCTGATAAGTGATTCTAAACTTTCTCAGGTTGTGGCAAGAGCCATAGTGCGATCTAGTTTATTATCCATAAGCAATATTAATATATACAAATACATGAACAATAAAGAACAAAAATATACTAGTACAATTTTAAAAAGTTGTCGAAATTTACTATAATTTATAATCTAAGATTTGTTCTAATGTGCATTGAATTGTATAGTCATCTCTATTCATTCAACAGGTTTTAATGTAATTTATAAATAATATTAGTTATTATAATAACACAGAAGACAGAGTGTATTGTCACAGTATTATAGTGGTATCATGTTTTCGCTGGAGCGAAAATATGTAGTTCAAAATTTATCACAAATCGCTAGTATGCGCTTTGGTCAGTAGAAATGTTGGTAATTTTTCGTTAGGAACGGTTAATTGTTGCGTACAGATATACATTAAATTTCCTTTCTACTACCTTCCCAACTTCTCATCTACAACAGTGGCCCACTCACGTGCACAGTATGACACCGTCTTTTTTTATTTATTATAATCTAAATGGTGAAATTCTAATGAATAGTTCCTATAAAACGGTTTTTAGACCAAATTGTTCTCGATCGAATAGATGTGTTTCCAAAAATGTACAACTTCTAGATTTAGAAATTTAATTGTTTTTAGAAAATACTTTATATTTTGCTTGTCGGTTAGATTTGAAAAAAAAAAAGTAAACGTTTTTGTAAAAATCAGGCGCTAAAATCGTAAATACAACACTGATTTCCTATGGTTAAGTTAGGTCTATGACACTAAAGAAACGCTATTTTTTACTCATTATTTTATATAATACATATACTGACATATCTTTGATTAACGGATTTATTGTACAAAACCTGGTTGGGTAGGTAATAAGAGAAAAAGTAAAGATTTTAAACAATTTTGAAAAACTTTTTAACTTTAAGCAAATATATGTTATCTAATTTAAAAAAACACAAATATTATAAATTGCATTGATTTATTAGTATAATATTTTCTTAAGAATTTGAAAAATCAAAAAAAAAGTGCTAAGAAAGCCTGTGTCAGATGGAATTTAATAATTGGGTGTATAAAATTCAAAAGAATTTTTTTTTAAAACAATTATTTCTCTTGGCCTAAATGTCATATATGCTTGAAAATACGTCTTGAAATGCAATTGTATTATCTGAACGAGGACGATTTAGTCTTAAAAATTAACCACCTCGAGGGTAGGCATGCAGTTCTTAACAGGACTATGTGTGGACTACATCTAAACATTTTTATTTTAATTAAAGAATTAAAAAACCAGCAACTCAATTTTGAGCTTGTTATTCTGTCCCAACAAAAATGTAATCAAGCTCCAAAAATGAAAAAAAAATTACAATACGTTAGAAGGCAGATTAAAAACTGAAAAATAGCGGTAATTACTAAATAATTAATCATACAATTAAAATAATATATTCATACCTAAAATTTATGTTATAACTTATATTCGGAAATGGATAAATAACAATCATGGCATATCTATACGCGACTATCTATACCACTTCCATCTCGATTAAAACTAAAATATTTATAAAAAGTAAATATGTGGTGTTTATCTATATCTAACAATTATTACTCATATTTTATATTGTCGAATGATTATATATTTGTACTTAATACCTATATGTAAAATATGATACATTCTTTTTTTTTTTTTACTACCGTCATTTCTTATACATAGTTACATGGTTAATTAAATCATAAATTAATATATTTTTTTTTAACATAAAACGAATAAAATTCAGTTATGGTACAGTATTTATTATGATTCGCAAAATGGGTTTTCGGTAAGATGAGATTCGGCAAAATCCTCTAATATTATTTACACAAATTATTTGTCGGCTTAAATATTGTTGACTATAATATGTCCCTTCCAGTAACTTAAAAGTTACGAATTTTCCCTAGTGGTACTTCATTTGATAAAAAAAAGTATATACATTTCAACAGTTTTTCTACAAAACATTTTTTAAAAAAACTGACTACGAATTTCTGATACATCGATTTTTGTTGTTAATTTCTGGGTTACAATGGCTACAAGAACGAAAGAACACTGACTAATACTTATTCCATTAAGAACTCGGCTAAGACTCATTACACAAATAATTCACCACCAGTGTTGTATTTGTGTCTAGGAGCCCCTTAAAGCCCAATATTTATAAAATATCTTCATTTAGCTACTGATTATCTTTAGTGGAGAGATTAAATATACATAGTATTGTTTAGACAGTTGTTTTAAGTTCTGCAATAATATTATTTCATACAAGTACCTTTGTATTTTAATTCTCAATTCCATTCGAATCACCCTATTCTATAAATATTTTAGTTTACTAGAAGATAAGAATAAAAATTTTAATGTGTTAATAAATTATTCACAAATTAGTTAATAACTTCAAACTTTTAAGGAAATTTGAATTCGAGGTTTGTGAAAAACTAAAATTTAGAGTTTAACCCATATCCTGATATTATCCATATTAATTATATGGTTCTTTGCTTTGTTATATTGAATAAATTGTTTTATTTTTTTATGTGTTACAGGTTGCAATCAAAATCATTGACAAAACACAATTAAACGAGGATAATTTGAAAAAAATATTTAGGGAAATTCAAATTATGTCAAAACTTAATCATCCACATATAGTGAGATTATATCAGGTATACACAAAAATATTTTTCTCAAAATCTCTTTTTAAATTTTAAATACCCAGGTACCTATTACAACTATATTAGAAACCAATTTTTTTCCTATTAAGAGTAACTCACAGTTTACACCCGCATGTATATTTTGTCAAATTAAATAAATTAAAAAATAAAAAAATTATTAATACTATGCTAATAAAACTAAAAAGTAAATAATAATGGAAAATACTAATAAAAATATTGTCTTGCATATATACCTATTGAACTATTAATTTGTGCAACTAAATATTTATATTAACTATTTCCTTTACTATATTTATTTTTCATCTTGCTTTATTTATTTTTATTCCCTATCCCCTAAGTAAATCTAGTAATCTACTTACGTATTTATTTATTCATTTTATGCTATAATTAAATAATTTTTACTCGTATATGGGGTAAAATCATTCTTCCACATTTTTGGGAAAATGGAAAAACTGACTTTAACCGACTTATTTATAGTAGAAGACATACAAACAAAAGTTATATAAGGCATTTTTAAACATTATTTTCCTAAAGCTATATGGAGTAAAAATTGATAAAGGAATAAAAACGGAAAATCTGGCCACTATTATTACTAGTGATACATATTCAAAGGTTTTATGAAGCATTTTTAAAACAAATTTCCCAATAGTTATTATAGCTGTTAGGTAAAAACCATTTTTACATTTTCTTTAAAACTGAAAACCTAATTTTTGATTATTATATTGTTATCAAAAATATGAGTGCATGCGTCAACCAAAAATTTTAAATTTCTTAGTGTGGTAATGTAAAGTATAGAAATGATTGTATTAAATTCTGGTGTTTAGATTGAAATTACAGGTTAGTCAGTAATCACAAAGTTGCATTGCACCGAATCGCGCTTATAAAAATATATTTTATATACATATATAATTGTTGTTTATGGATATAATGCTTTAAAAAAAACATCAATTTTAAAGTGGATTGAAGCATTTCAATAAGTGCAGAGAATGCTTCAAAGACAATGGGATGTCAGGACCCCCTTCAATTTTACTTAATGATCAAACCATTGTGCGGCCTTCAGCTCATTAGCTATCACCTGAACAGTCATTTGTGGGTCAGAAAGCACAAAAAACCACACACTATCAATGTTTTGGTTGGTACATGAAGTGGAAGGGCATCATGACCCAACATCATCTTTGAAGCCTTCTCGGTTCTCAATGACTTATTTTACTTAAAAATGGATGTTTTTTTTAAGGCATTATTTCCATAAACAACAATTAACATTCCTGTGATGTTTTTCCGAGTTTCACCAAGAATTTGATAAGCACTCATTGTTTCATTTATTTATTGAACAGAGCTGTTAATTCCAAGCTGTGTACACAATAATAATATTTTTTCTATTTTTATTCATTTTTATTGATGTATAAATGATTTGAAACAAGTATCTGATCATTTAGAATTTTATATCAGGAATGACAATAAACATAGTGCGTTGGTTTTTTTTTCTGAACACTAAATACAACTAATAATGGATCTCGTGTTAAATTACCAAATACAATTTCAACTTGCTATAAATAGTTCAAAAATCTAATGTTCAATTGTTTTGAAAAGTTTTTCATGTCCATTGTTCCAGGGTTAATATAAGTATTCAGTGAATATATCAAGTTTTTATAATTATTTTTTACCGAATTACAACAAAAAAAACAAAATAAAAAATAACTAAAACTATTATTCAGGTATCAATTAAACAAAATTTATTACCAAAATCTTGAAGTTGATGATTGAAGGTTTATTTTACAAAAGTTGTTAACATCAGACACAAAAATAGACATCTAATAAATAAATCAAATTCATTCATTTGCTCCAAATCTTAAAATGTTTGTATTGAGTTTATTCAGAATCTTTTGTACAAACATTTAAAATTATATCTTATTAATAAATTAATACTAAAAACGAAAATTAAATTTATTAAATAATTCATTGGCATAGTATGTATCCAAATAAACTTGTATTATATCTGTACACTAAAATAAATATCTTATATGTTTTTGACCATGTAATATATTTAAATATTTAATATTTTTGGGATACAACTCAGACATGTAATGAGAATACAATACATAGAAGTTTTCATGATACATCTTGTATAAAATATCATTTGTTACTAAAATCTAGATACACTAAATTACTAATTACAGATATCAAAGTTTAAAAAGAACATTTCTGAGCACAGGTCTTGATGTTTTTCTCAAATATTGCACATCAAAATAATTACAGGCATTTAAAAAAAAAAAATCAAACCAACCCATGAGCTGCAACTTTTTACTTTAACAACATTTTAGAAAAACAGCAACTTTTCTTTGAAAATATTCTTCGTATTAAATTTTGTCATTTACCTATGTTTAAAATGTAATTTCAACCCAAATGCTATAATTAAGTTCTAATGTCATTTTGTTATATTGTCAATTAGTTGTTTTATTGAAACAATATATGGAGCATTAGGCCTGTACATAGAATGTGATCTTTAATTTACAGTCAGGTGTAACAATTCAAATTTATTATTTTATTAAAATAATATGTAAACATATGTATGGAGTTATGTATAAGCTATTTAAATGAACATTTATTAACTCAAAAATTGAAAAATATTTAAATTCGCCTTCAAAGAAACCCCATGCCATTATTACAAGTTTAATCATACAATTTTATCAAAAACATTTCATACAAACCGGGAGAAGGGAAGGGAAATAAGTACATACAAAGGTACCTTTTTAAATGAATTTAGTGTTTTTACTTTCTATCAAAATTAAAGACAAAAATTAACATCAACATTATTTAAAATATAACATTTTGATTTAAAAAATTTAAAGTGGCTATGAAAGATATCATATATTTTATCAGGCTGGTGTACACATATGATTAAAATGTCAGGCAATTTAAACTACTTTCTACTGTATTATTTATTGCTGCAGTGGAGCAAAAGTATTAAACTTTAATATAGGATTAATAATAATTTGTTATTTTTTTTTTGTAAAAAAACTAATATAATATACACTTTCAGGTTATGGAAACAGAAAAAATGATTTATTTGGTAACTGAGTATGCTGCTGGTGGTGAAATATTTGGTAATTTAAATTGTGTTTACATTTTAATTTACTTTTTAAGCACTATCCAGATGATGCCATACAAATGATGTTCATTCACTGTTCCCTCCCTATACGGCTATACCTGAGTCTCTGAAAGAAATTACCAAATTTAAAAGTGGTATATCTCACCAACGAGCTGGAAATAAAAAATGTCAACACCAAAATTTATTTCAACTAAAACTTCATCAGTTTATGGAATCTTTAAAATAGGTTGCCATTTTAAAATCAAAAGTCGGTAGTGATTTCATCGCTAAAAACACAAGGGTAAAAAAATAAGGGTAATGTAAAATTTGAGAATTGCATGAATCTTAAATTTCCCAAAAAGAAAATTTCAATCAAATTTAATACTTTTTGAGATTAATGAGTTTTCTGTGTTTAAAAATCACATTTTAGTACTAAAAATTATAATAAATTTGGTTCATCAACTAAAAAACTATTGTAGTTTTATCTTAATTACGATTATAATTATCATTATTATTTTTGGTTATTATATTTGAAATATATTAAATTGTATATTGATTATTGTATTATTCATATGATAAAAAATGTATATAAATTATTAGATATTTAACTTAAGGATATTAAATTAGTTCTAAAGTATTCACTTATTTGAATGAATTTGTTTTTAGTACTAAACTTATTTTAATACAATCTCACCTTGTTCTTCATACTTATTTTCGATTTTAATTTATTTTATTCAAATACTGTAATAATTTACAATATTACTTTTTTTGGCCAGTACAAAATAGTACTTGTAACATCCCAAACCATCTTAATTTTTGTTTTCGATTATTATTTACCTAACTTAACCTTAATTTGCCATGTCTGTATAGTAACTCTACACATCTTTCATAACATTCTCATCTTTGATATATTAATCTTCTATTTTTATGTCCTACTTACTGCCTCTATAGAAAAAATGGATCAGATGAAAAAATGAAATCGCAAATGTTTCATAAAGAAGTCAAGTTAGGATTATATATTATAACACATTTTTATTGTAAAATGATTGTTTTCAATAAATGTATAAAATAATAATAGTATAGTAATGTGTATCATATGTAATAATAACAATTTTATTTTGAATAATTAAGATATTTTCACAGTATATGAATCAAGTTCGTTCTAATTGTAAAAAAAATAATGTTAACTTCATGAAATCAACAATTTGACTAATTTTCTGTTAAATAGCTTTCATCCCAACTTTTGGGGTCGACAAATCTCAATGTAAACTTCTACTTGACCCAATCTTTCTCATCATCTGCATCCATTACATACACAGTCTTTCTGATATCATTCTTTCTGCTTCCAATTCATTTACCCATTACAACATGCCCAAACCAACTGGATCTATTTACTCTTGTTTTGTTTATTACCAAAGCCAATGTTTATACTACTTTCTATATATTCATTGTTCGATATTCTCTTTTCATCATCCACTTAAGAATTTTTATCTCTTCCACACTCATTTTCTGTCTACATTCCATACAACATAGTTGGTCTTGCCAAACTCTTATACAATTTATATTCAAGTCTCATTAGAATTATCTTGTCACATAAATACACAATGCACAATCATTGTCCAAACAAATTATATTTTCAATTTCTTTTCAAAGTTGTTGTTCTTTTATACAAAAAATCCTAGATACTTAAAATTCTCAATCTTACTCTTTGCATTACTGCTAATTGTCATCACTGTCTTATTATCTCTTTATCTTCATGCCTACTTCTTCCAAATTCTTACTCTATACTAGGGATGGCAAATTATTTTAACGCTACTTACCAAAAATACAAATATATAAATATATATAATATAATATAAATATTTTAATTTTTCATGTGTCCAACATTTTTTCAAGTGCAATAGATTTGCCATCCCTGCTCTATATGCTATGCTTTACTTTTACTTATCATTAAACTCTTTTTTTCAAATGCTACTCTGGATTTTTTAAGACTATTGTTAACTTCCTGATTTTTTCCTATCAAAATTATATTTTATATTTCCTTTATAATGTCATTTGTTACAATAGAGAAACAAGTAATGGCTTCAATCGAAACCCTAATATACATTTATTCCAACCCAAAAATCTTCTTTATTCTACACATTTTTTTTACATTTCTATTTGAATCTAATCAAACAAATATACTATTTCAAAACTCCTTTTTTTCTTAAGGCACACATCAGAACCTCCTTTGGAATTCTATAATGTCTTCTATAAATCTATAAAGACAATACATATGTTTTTCATCTTCTCTTTTTATTTTTCTACAATCAAACTGGTTCTTATTTATTGATGTCACTTATATATCTTTTATCTATAATTTTTGTAAGAAGGTTTATTGGATTACTAAGACAGTTTGTACAATTGGCATAATATAGGTCTATTTCAGTTTTTAAACAGCTATATTAAATCTCCTTAATTATAGAAATATCTTTAGAATTTCCCCCTTAAAGATTAAGATTAAATTTAAAACATTTGTTTAATGTTAAAAATTAAACAATATAAATAATGTTAGTTGAATTCTAAATTTTTAATAAAAAAAAAAATTGCTTGAAATACCTTGTTTGTTTCATTAAATATTTAAAAATTGTATATTTTTAATTAAATACAGACTATTTAGTTAAAAATGGAAGAATGAACGAATCTGCTGCTTGTCATATTTTCAAACAAATTGTTGAAGCTGTTAGCTATTGTCATAACAAAAATATAGTTCATAGAGATTTGAAAGCAGAAAATTTACTTTTAGATGGTGAAAACAACATTAAACTTGCTGGTATTGTGGTTATATTATTACTATTTAATTAATATTATTAATATAATTATTTATTAAATTTAAATTTAAATGCATTGTTATATTCTTTAGATTTCGGATTCAGCAATCACTTTTTTGATGGGAAATTACTTTCTACCTGGTGTGGTTCTCCTCCTTATGCAGCACCAGAATTGTTTCAAGGCCAAGAATATGATGGACCTAAAGCTGATATTTGGGTAATATTTGTCATATGTCTTATTATCTAAATTGCATTTACTCTTAGTCAATTATTATATTGTTAACATTTTTTCCAGAGTTTGGGTGTTGTATTGTATGTTTTGGTTTGTGGTTCTCTTCCATTTGATGGAAATACATTAAAAGTACTTCGTGCCAATGTTCTTTCTGGAATGTATCGTGTGCCATATTTCATGACTGCTGGTAAGTTATGAAAATAACTTATTATAATATAACATTATTTTATACATGTCATATTATAGTAAAATAAATATAGGCTGTCTTAGAAAGATATCTCTTGAATAACTCCAGAGATAATAAACATAATACAATTTTGATTTTTTTTATATTACTCACAGGGATGAGGACTACAAATATTTATTTTTGGAACATTTTAAGATAACCATTCTGTAAAGTTTATTCTTCTAAAAATTTGAATGTATCACACATTTATATCTTATAAATAGTTTCTAAATAACAGCCATTTTAAATTCTACTAATCTGTGTGAAAACCAATGTTATCTAGGGAATAATCTTACCGTGTTACTATTCATTGGATATTAATGTGTGATACATTAAAATTTTCAGAAAATAATAAAATACAAAATGCATATTTTAAATTTTTTTACTAAAAATTCCTATATGTAATATATTATGTGTATTGTATATATATATATATTACTGTATGTAGATGACCGTACAATTGTAGAACTAATTTTTTGTGTTCTGATTTAATCTTCACTAGTGTTACCAGAATAATTTTTGTTGTCAAATCTCTAACAAAACTCATTTCAGTTTTCAAACTCCGGTTTAAAATTTGATCAAACATGTACACCAAACACTGCTCAGAATTATTTTTCATTAGGAATGATTTATTATTGTCTACAAATATGCATTTTTCCCTTCTATATCCTAATTTTCTATTTTCTCACCTACAGCTGAGTGAAGTCTTACCATTATGCAAAGTATGTCCCTCTTTTTTCATTGTTTTTCCCAATTATTTTGAAAACTGTTTAGAAAATTAAAAAATTACCTCTCCAAATTCCAATGCATCAACTACATTCAAAATGCTTCAAAAAAGTAATACATTACTCTAATGCTGGGTTGCATAAATGATTGATTAAAACTCATTAATAAAGTGTGCTATGAGGTTAAACTTTTATGTAGGTAAATATCTTTATCAGTTCCATATAGTACAGTAATATTGCATAAAATGTTTAAAATGTTAAATATAATTATAATTATTTGGTTCTATGAATCTACATATATTTTTTATATATAATCAAAGTAATCAACTAACTTATAAACCCATATCAAAACCTGATTTTTTTTTTTTAATACCCAAAAAAAGTTAATTTATCATATCATTCTAATAATTTCCATGTGTCATTATGATTTATTATTATTAAAATTTGTATATGTATTATATATATATACAATAACAATATAATAATTATGATTATTCATAATACATCAATATATTTTGAATGAATTTTTAGAATGTGAACAGTTAATAAGACACATGTTAGTCATTGAACCTGAAAAAAGACTAAGTCTGAATCAAATAGAGTCTCATAAATGGATGAAACAAGTAATTATAAACATATATTTATACACTAATTGTCATTTATTTCATGTTTCATTATTAGTATTAAATTTGTAAAGTAATTGTATTTTTAAAATGATAATATATAAAGTCTAAAATATTTAATCTCGGATTATTAAAATACTACAATCATAAACTTTAGATTTTGATATCAAATTTCCATTATAGAACAAATAATAACTTATTTTAATAACCAGTTAAAACCAATAATGAACTATATTATGAATAATTTGTCAGCAAAAAGGAGAAATCATTATTCAATAATCAAATACTACTTCCCCTTCTAAACTTCAAATAAACTTGACCTATTAAGCCAGTGTTAGATATTAATATGTCAACATTTTTGAGAAATTAATCTATATCTGCATTTAAAAAATGTAAAGTTTAATTATGGTCATATTAGTCCAAAGTATATACAAAGAATAGGTTTTTTTTTAGTAATCTAGAATATAATAATAAACAAAATAATAAATATTTTATATTATAAAAATGCATCTGTGCTTAATTTTTAAACATAAAAATGTGTCATATTTATAGCTACCTGAACAAACTAAAAGACTACTAGTTGATGTAAACCCCGTGATGAATATTGCCGTTATAGAACTTATGTTACAGTTACCTGGGTTAGACAAAGACATGATAGTAAATGTAAGTGTTATTTATCATTTATAATTAATTTAAACAAATTAATATATAATAATTGCTATACATTTAATACAACTAAAATAAATTTAAAATCTGGTTATACATCTTGAGTTGGCTATTTGGATAGATATCAAATGGATGCATAAACTATACACATTGTTGAATTGTTTAAGGTGGGTACGCTTTGTATATTTGAAATTCTTATAATGTTACTGCTATATTAGTGAACAAATGATTTCTTCAATATTAAAAGAATACTATTAAAATCTATATAAATACACATTTATTATTTTTCCTTATTTATAATTTTATACAAATATAATTCCTTACACTGAAGTTTGAATATTTTTAGATCTAAATTTCTTTTTCAAATAATACTGATCCACATAATTAATTTGTTTAAATAATTATAAATTAAAATGTAATTGCTATTAGCAGATATTTTAAAATAAAACTTCATATTATAATAATTTAAACTATATTTATTATTATTAATTTTTTTTATATAGTCTGTTCAGCAAAAAAAATTTGATCATGTCAGTGCAATATATCATTTATTGGTTGACAAACTTGATACAACTATCAATCAATGCAACAGTACTAAGCAACCATTTGCTAATGAACCTAGTAAATATTTCATAGTTTTATATCCCCAATATTATAATAATAAATATAAATATCATATTTATAGAACCCAATGGATCTGTTAATATTAATTCAAATTTAATTGAAAACCTACCATTATATTCAATGTCACTTTATGCCCAAGATGGTTCAATTTATGATAGTCAGCAATTAGAAAAGGTATACCTATTACTTTATTTAAATAATAATAATTTTAGATGATGTTTAAAATGTGTTTAATTATAGTATGGTGATGTTGATATTGGAGAATCTGCTGGTTTGAATAAGATTCAAGATGATCATCCAATAACTACTCGGCGCCATACAGTTGGTCCAGGAAATGGCTTAATGACTAAGGTAACAATTTACTTAGATTTTTTTTATTTGATATTTATTTTTAGTCTGTATAGTTATATATTATTTTTAGGTAATGGAATCACATTATATAACACACCTTCAAACTGGTTGTGATGTAAATGTTTTACCAAATACAAATTTGCCTTTAAATATTCCATTAGTCGAATTTCAATCTCCCAAGAATTTTACAATAAAAGATCAACATTTATTGAAACCACCACAAGTCATGGGTGCAAGTAATATTAAGTTTCAAATAAATTTGTATAACAAATATATTATTAACATTATTTTTTTAGATAACAACTTTGGTAGACGTGCATCAGATGGTGGAGCTAATTTACAAATGTCACAAAAAATAAATTGTACATTAAGTGAACCAAGTAGCAAAGAAGATTTGAAAAAAGTAATAATTTTCAAATCATATATTTATTGAATTTCAATTACATTCACATTATAAAACTAGCATTTCTTTAAGAAAAATTTTTATCATTTTATTCATTTAATATCTATTAAATTTTGTTTGTAGCAAGAGAAAATAGATCCAAATGACTTAAGAATTGCAATAATTGATCAATCTAGTAAAGGAAATTTATTATCCGAAGAAAACCCACCATCAGTAGTATCTTGGTAGTTAATATATAAATATATGATCAATAATTATTTCTGTTATAATTTAATTATTATAGTATTTTAATTAATAATTTGTATAATATCAATATTTATAGTCGATATCCAAAAGTAATTTGCAGTCCTTCATCAAGACACGGAATGGGAGTTAAAGAAGACATTCAAACTCAGCAAACTAATTTACAAAATACTAGAACCAGGCGCAGTGGTGTATCAACTGTAACGGAAAGGCCTCCAGGTACATTGTTTTGTATAATGATACTCTAAAATACTCATATTATTCTTAAATAGCTCGAGATTTAGTTTTTTTAATTTTTATTCTTATTATGTATAACTCAAACCACACATTATAACTTGTTTTGTAAGTACTTAATATTAAATTATTTTATTTGTAACCCTAAAACAAACTCAAATTAATTTGCATTAAATAACATAATTTCTCTTCCAATTTGTTGTATAACAAATCATTTATATAAAAATAATAATAATATTTAAATATTTGGAGCACATTTGTTCAGCATATTTATTTTAAATGTGATTGTATTTTCTAAATATTATATTATATTGCATAATATTTAAATAAACATAATACAATAGTTTATAATCAACATTCTGTGTAAATAAAACATTTGTAGAGGGTAGGTAAGACTAAAGAATATAATTTGAACTCTTGAGTTTTTAGTATTATTCCTCTGTTCCTATTTTATACATCCGAGCTATTAATAAATATTTAACTTCTTAATATTATTGAAAAAAAGCTGTCATATTTCATATCATGGGGGCAGGCAACATTGTAGATGAGAATTTAGGAAATTAGGTTATATAGATGATTAATTTAAATCTTTACCAACAATAAATCCCACCCTCTCTTAATATTTTTTTTACTAATACCTATATTTCATACATTTTCCCGGTTTTTACAATATGTTGTAAACATTTCTGAGATAATCAAAATGTATAACCCCAGTCAGATTTTCTTTCAAAGAAAGTTTTACACTTGTAAATAGGGCCAATATTTCTGATGAAAATGTTGTTTGCAGATAAAAACAAAAATTTTAAAATAAATATCATTGTAAAACTATAAGCTTCTTTGCTTCACTCAGAATCTAAAAAGTAAGAAACCCATTTTTGCTCAATTAAAATATATATATAACAATATATTATATCAATAAAAATAAATTATTCAATCTAAGTGAATCTTATCCACATTTGTTATTTAACAATGTTATAAATCATGTTTTGAGTTTTTTATAAAAAAGGAAAATATTTTTTGCTTCTGAAATTAAACTTCTCTTGTAATCGTAATTATTTGTAAATAGTAAATTTTTTTTTAATGATATCAAAGTATAATAAATTATATGGATTTTGGTAAGAAGTGAGCTATATATCTTTTTGCTATTAGTAGTTATTTGGTTTTGATAATAGTTATTTGCTAATTATTAATTAGTTACTCGTTATTATAATAGTTATGATATTGTTATTCAACATAAAAAATATAAGATTTATGATAATAAATTATACTATTTATTACTTAAACAAAAAAAAAAAAAATGACTACAATGTATATACATGGTCTTCCAAATTTCATGTTGCAGTTAAATTTTTGGTGAAATACTTATTTTCCACAAAAAATGACTTAAAATCCTTTTTGAACCAAATATTCTAAAATGTAACATTGTCCTTATTTTTTTCACCCCTATTTATATGAAATCACTACCCACTAATGATGTTTAAAGATTGTATTAAAAATTCCATAAATGAATGAGTTGTCTGTGAAGGGACAAATTGTAAGTAAATGGAAAAATTAGGTTTTGGGTAGCAGCCTCACAAGCATAACCAAATTGATGATCCAGATTAATTATAAGTAAGTCCATTGTTTGGATTTGTTACTAAGTAGGTTTTAAATTCAGTTCATGCACGTAAGAATTAAAATCTAAATATTTTTAGTGCAACTTTTTGTAATTTTTGGCATTTTTTTCGATTTGATTGCAATTTTGTTGATTTTCTTCATTTATAATACAATTTTTAATACTTTTAAATGTTATTTACAGGATTTAATTTTTTATATGTTGAAGTAAAATAATGATGGGGCTGTGTCAGATATTATGTCAGAATAATAATATAATGTTTTATGCATATTGTGATAGTCAGGTTATTTCGAACTTAATGAATTGTTAAAGGACCCATACACCTGCAAACATATTGTGCAAACTATACTTGCACCATTAGTACAATTAATTTTGAATGTGTTCGAATTTCTGCAACTAATTGCACAGCACATCAAACAACACCATACATTATTTAACTGTTTATATAATGCCTTTGTTGTGCAATATGTTTGCAGGTGTATGGGAGTGTTGAAAATACCATTTGATAAAATGGTGCATATTATTTAATAAGAAAATAATTAAGTAAAAGAAAAATTATTTCAATTTTAGATATTTTTTACACAAATGAAATAATCAATTTTATTATTTTTAAGTGCAATAACTTCCAAACCCTAGTAATAAGTGTAAATAAGTATTTATTTTATTTTATATTTTTATTTATACATAAAAAGATAATTTACCCCACTAAAAAAGTTTTTTTTAAGTTTTGTATTACTTTTTTTTTAATTAAGTCAATAGAAATTAATAAGAACAAAGTGAATTGAAATACTTTAGGAGTAGTCATATCTATTGTTTCAATCCAACTAGTGAAACTAGTTTAATTTTGATTTTGGAGTAAAAGTACCAATTATGAAATTTTTATAGAACAATATTTTGGAGGGAATGTCTTAGGGTTTTTATATTCAAAATATACTGCTCAATATAATAGGTACAAAACCTTATTTTTGTTTTTAAAATATCTGTAACTTTTTTAATAGTTCATAATTCAAGAAAACACCTCTTAAAGATTGTCTAAAATGTGTATTATACAATTGTCAAGGAATATCCATGACTGCTGATAAGATAAAAATATAATATAAGTAAAAGAAATAAATAAATAAATACAAAACTTTTGTATTATTTACAATAGCTCACACTTTCATTGTTTAAAAAAATCTATGCTAATAAGATATTGATTATTTTAATAGCAATCCTTCTCTACTTTTATAAAATAAATTTTCATTTACTAATCTTTTTTCCCTTTTTTCTATCTTACATTCTTACTTCGAAAACAGTTGTTATTCAGATCATCTCTATGAGTATATCAGTTTCTCTTTATATACATGTATGTTCATGTGATGGCACAGTGTGAGATGTTCAAATAGTGCTCCACTACTCTCCCTCTATCCAAACTTAAAAATAGAATATCTCTTAATGGGATGATGTAAATTAAAAAGAAAGGTAAGATAATGGGGGACAGGTGCAGGCTACTGGTGTAGGTGGGAAGTTGGGAAGGTAGGATATAGACAGGTATTTAATGTATACTTGTAAACAATGATAAACCATTGTTTACGAAAAACCTCAATTCTGAGCAGAGTCCAGTTGATAGTGATGCTATGTCAACAATATATATGTCATATTACATTAAAATAATTAAAAAGACATTATATGTTATCTTTAATATTTGTTTACTGTTGTAATAATTTTCTCAGTTTTCCTAGGATTTTCCCAGTTTTTCAAATTTGATGAATAATTCCTGAGAAAATCAAAAAATATTCTCTCTAAAGTACCTCTCTAGTGAAATATTAAAAGTTAAAGCAAAATTGCTGGTAGAAAAGTTGAACACAGTAAAAAAGAAGACCGTAATATATTTTAACTAATATTTATATTTCTTATATTTTCCATTTTTTTTTCTCAGTTTTTTCGCATTTGATGAGAAAATTGAAAAATTATGTCTTTAAAGTACCTTTCTACACTGATTTCCTTTCAGAAAAGGTGCTACGTTTAAAAATCTGAGCAAATCTTCTGGTAGAAAAGTTGCACACAGATCACTTTTGTAAAGCTATAATTTTCTTTCTACTCAGTATCTAAAATGTCAATCAAAAAATTTATTTTAACTAAAACCTGTCTATATTGTCATCTATTTATGGAATTTTCAATAAAAGTTGAAAATCAAAAATGAGATGTGGTTTTATACTAAAAAATAAGGTTGAAAAAAATGAGGGCAGTGTCATTAATAAATACAGACATTTCAATACCCTAGATCATATACAATGGATGGCTCTCAGTAGCCTATAGATTACATAATATAATATCTTTGATATACATGTTATGGACAAGTGACCAGATGAGTAGCCTTTAGTATGAATGTGTGCCACTGGTGACTAATACATATTTATCTCAAATTATCAACATATTATAAGTACTTTATACAAATTTCAATTTCAGTTAATTACCTTTCAACAAATTTAATAATTTTCAATACATTTGGTGAACTTCTTACCAACCCTCTCCTATTTTTAATGTCAACTGGAGTGGAGTAAGAATGTTTGTGATAATAATTATGATCAGTGGTGGTTTAATATTTTGTTAAAGTATATAATTCCAAAAATAATTTTTATAAGCTAAATTTGAACATTTATCTGTAACATGACATTTGGAAAACATATACTTATATATTATATTTATAATAAATAATATAATTGTTATTATTTTATTTATATTTAATTACCTGTAGTAAATCATTTTTCATGTGAGTAACTTTATTTTTTATATTCTGAGTGTAGTGTTGGTGGTAATTTTCGGTTAGTATTAATAATTATACTGTTTTACTGAAAATCAGTTATTTAATTATTTCGAATACTCAGTTGTTTACTTTATGACAGATTTTATTTATTTAAAACATCTATTTTAATTTTGGGAAATAATTTTAAATAGGAAGTTATTGATACCAGTATTTTAATCCCAGTATGGAACTACATTTGGTTAGGTACTTGTTATAGATTTATCATTTGAATGTATACATACGGCTTACAATTATCTAGTTTGATTGTACATTCTGTTTGTTCAGTTATTCAGAGGTACCTACTATTCATTCTTTTGTAGTGGTATTTGTTATAATAATAACATTTACATCACATTTTTTTTATTAAAATTTTCAAAATAATTAAACTAGTGTACCACGTGAAAGGGATTTTAGCTATACTGGAAACATAGTAACTGATCATCGATTCAGTTTACTGTTGACACATGCTGAACAATTAATTTTTTTATCAATGAATCAAAAATGTATAAACTAATTAATTAATAACATAATCATATTCCTTTACTGCTTGATAATAATAATTTAATAATATTAATATTGTAATATTATAATTAATTAGTAAATGACAATGGTATTTAATTATGTTTTCTTCGTTTATTAATTTTATTACATTTGTTTATTATATTAAAATACCAAAGTACTGGTATACAGTTCCATACCGGTATTAACCTTAATTTCAAAATACCGATATCAATAACTCAATACCGCCAGCCCTATCAGAGTGTGTGATTTAAATGCATTTTTTTTCTCTTTAGTGTTTTTATTAGATAAACTATTGAACACAGTATTCTAGTTTTTGATTTGAATGTGTAGTTATATTTTTTTTTTTTTTTTTTTTTTTTTTATATATATAATATTAACACATTCTATTTTTCTTAATGAATGGTTTGTTTGCATGGCTTATTATTTTGTTTTAAAGTCATTAGTCCTGAATTGATACGTGAAGTAGAAGCACGTATGAACCGAGAGTATGTACCACCACAATTACCATCACTAGTCAATGTTAGACATAGTCATCGTATATCTCAGGTTTCAGTTTTGCCAACAGTTCAAGAACTACATCGACATTCAGGTATCTGAAATTTGTCTTAATGATTTTCTTGAGTCTTTGGTTACAGTTTTCTACTTAGAATTTTTTTAATTTTAACTTTCTACAAAACTGGTGAATTATATTTTGATTAGGTCGAGAAAGTTTAAAAGATGGAAGTGGTTATTTACCATCAGAAAGATATAGTCCAGTTCGCAGAACTAGTGAACCAGTTGTTTCATCCAGTGAACATCTAGAGCAGCCTAATATATGGAATATACAGCAAGAAAATATTCAACTTCAAGTAAGATTTTTTTTTTTTTTTGTACAAGTGAAATATATTTTAACATTGTGTTATTTATGAGCAGCAAAAATGTAGTGAAAACACATTGGACACTTGCCAATGGGGTGCTGCCGAATTACAAATGGGTCATACATATCATATGCAAAGTCTTCAAACTTTATCAGATAGACCTTCCTTCTTAAATCCAACAACTAATCATCAGGGTATAAATTAAATATAATCATAAACATAACTTGTTTAGATTTGTTAAACTTACTATTATTATTTTCCAGGTAATTCAAATATTCTTAGTCAACATTTACAAAATTTAAATTTACACCAAGCACCTCTTGTTAATGTTCCACAAACACAAGGTAAGTACATAGATATATTAATACAAACCTAATGGTCTTAGTATAATGAAATATTTAAAAAGTTAGTATATATATATATATATATACATTTACATACAACATTTGATTCAAAATTTATGTTACAGTAATTTTATCATATAAGTATTAAAATAGATAAAAGTGAATAATACTAGTTGTTTTTATTATTTTTTTTTTTTTTTTACAGTCAATTTTTACAATTTTTTGGGAAGGTTAACATTTGAAATTCAAATGGACCCTATACTTTTTTTGCCAACATAATGAGAAGATATTTTTAAACTATTTATTATTATTATTTTATTTCAAAATTATGCTTGAGAGTAATTTAAAGTTTTTAGAAGTTGTATTTTGATTTCACACTGATAAATAGCTAATAATGTCACTCATCACAAATCTTGTTGTGCTGCTTCTAGCAAACTACTTTTAGTTGCATTAGTTATTAACTTTTAATTGCTCTCAATCATAGTTTTGAATAAATTAATGCTACTCAATCAGTAAAATTTATTTAAAAAATATCTTCACATTATGATTTCAAAAAAAGTATGAATTCCCATTTTAATTTTAAATATTGATCCCTCCAAACCTTGCTTAAAAGACTAAAATAAAAAACCTTTTACTATACATTTTTCACTATTTTGAAAATGTGTAAGATAAAATAATACCTATAACATAAATTTTGAACCACTCAGTATATTATATATGTTTAATAATTTTTGGTATTTGTCATATGTGCCCTACCTATTTGTAGATAAACTTTTAAAACTAAAATAAAATATCTACAAAATATCTACAAGGGTTTTAACTAAAAAGTCATATTGTATTATCTTGTCTATTTTAATATTCTATTTTGTTAAACTTGTAGGTTCAATTACTCAAGGAACTCCTAATATAATTTCTAATCATCAAATTCCAGCTCCTTTGGATTTAAGGACAAATAATAAAATAAATCCTCAACCAAGTATTGTGATAGAAGATAAAACATCAGGTAATAATATCTTTTAAAAACACAAAAGTGAAATTTTATTTAAATATAATTTACTAAATGTATTTCTTGTATGATCCTGTCCAATTTGTTGTTTTTAATAAGTCAAATTATTTTAGGAATTTGTGAAAAAAAAATACTTTCAAGTCCAGAAATATCATTTACGGTAACAAATGAGGAAGGTGGTATGATGGAAGTAGACACTTTACAAACAAATCATATTGTTTCAACAGACACAATAACTTTTCTAAAGAAACCATATTATAATACTGAATCCCTGTCAGCTATGCATGAACATTTTGATGAAATCGATCATATAAGAACAGACAAAAGTACTAAAATAACAGATTTAGAGTCTTCAACATATTTAACAAAAGCACCACTTTTTTCTGATTATATATTAAAAAGAACTGCTAGTGATGCATTTGTTGTGGATTTATCAGATTTCTATTCCAATTTTACATCTGGTAATATACTTGACATTGTCAAGTGTTTGATATCATCCAATATTTGTGCATGGCCTTCAGATGATAGGCAGAACGTCTTGCAATTTCCTACAGGTTTGCAGATTGAACTAGAAGTGTGTTCAAATGACACTGGTACCAATTCATATTTGAAAATTCATCGACTATCTGGGGATTCAACTGAGTATAATAATATTTGTCATCGACTGGTCGAAGGCTATTTATCTTGTAACGAATAAATATTATTAATCACTATGTTACTTTTAAAATTTCCATGGCTGTGCTACTTTGTGAATGCAATTAATTAATATTAGTCACTAGTTTTAATAAGCATCTTTAGACTTTATACACAAAGGCCCATGCAGTTGTGAATTATAATCATCTTTATTTTATATGGACTGATTTCAATGATTTATTTTACCAAACTCATTTAAATTATTATATGGTCACATGTGTGTTTGTAAAATGGTGGCATAGAATAATGTATTTTCTACACTATTTTTGATGACCAAATTAACAAACACACTGTATATTTTAACTAAAAGTTAACAATGTAAATTAATTATGTTTCATATATTTTATTTTAAATTTATTGTTATAGTAATTTTATAATATTGTTAACTCTTATTTGATAATTATTATTAGATTCTTAAATTTAATTTATGTTATGGTATGTAGACATATTCCACAAAAAAAAAAATATATTTCAATTGAATATTATAACTTTAACAAGTTTGTTGTTAGAATTTATAAATCAAGTAATCTTGATCAAAATCGTATTTTACTCTCAATAAATGTATCAAATTTCATAATTCAATTGCTTCAGAAGTTTTAAAAACTATAATTTCTGAACCACACAAGTATTTTGAATAATTCATCATTAGTAATTTCTTGATGTTTGTTATTATTTTTTTACTTTTTTAACTTTTGTTTATTACTAAGAAAAAAAATGCATTGTGATCTTTTTATTGTTTCTTTTTTCATTTTGCATAGTCCCTAATGTACTATTTATCAAAAAGAATTATGATTGCTGCTGTATCACTTATTTTAATTTAGTATAATAAACATTACTTTATAGCCTATATATGCTCAATATCTATGTTTTGTCCATGTTATTTGTTATTCTTATTCTTATTATTCTTATTACCAATTATTATTTATTATTACTACAATGTTATGAAATGAACACTAAACGTTTAAGTTTAATATTATATTGTAGATATGTTATTTGTTATTATTTATACATTCCATTTATATTATACTGAATTTAAGTATAGAATATTGTGATAGACCAATCAAATAGTGTATTTTTTTTTGATTTGTTTAATTTTAAAGCATTTGTAAATGCACTCTTGTATTTATAACATGTATACATTTTAAGAATGCCAATATCTATTGAAAATAAAACTTATTTAATATGTTATGTTTATAAGTATGTATCTATAATAAATTATATTAAAATATGGAAGACAATATACAATAATACATTTTATCGACCAATAAACAGTTGACTGTTAATAATAATTGAATTTGAATTATATTTGTTTACAAGTGTGTTTATATTATTCTTATGCAAATACATTATAATATTCAAGATTTTCTAGTACAAAATAATTAAACTTTTGATCATTATCTGAACACTATAATTCAATAGAGCATACTAGTTAATAGTGTGCACTACTTTATTATATACTATGTATATAATATAATTTTAATAAAATAAATGAATAAACAAAAAATAACATACATAATATTTTGGTGAACCTCTTTGGTGAATTGTCTGATCCTTTTTTTTTTTTGTTATTTTGGGGTTAGAAATTTAATTACTCTGGACTAAATGGGGTACAATATTTTCCCGGTGCATGCTCGATTTGCGAGAGTTAACCAAGAGACTGCTGGCGGCTGTTCAACTGACTCTGGGAGATAACATCTAACAGTGGCCCACCATGAATCAGCCACCACTGTTGCATTTAACACAACTGTGCTCGAATTTGCATTGCCTACAATGTTCATTTTTATTATACCTGTGAGGAAAACAATGCAGTAAGTAATATCTTTTGAGAAATCTACATTTAGACAAATCTATAGAATCAGTGTGAGGTTTTATTAGAGTACTTATAATATAACTAATAAAAGCATTTAATTAATAATTAATACATACATTGAATTAAAAAAGGCTTCGCCAGGAGTGTTATCGATAACTTATAGTATTATATTTCATTTTTGATTATTGAGCACTTGCACAATTTTAGATTTTCAGTATCTATGAGTAATATATTAGTTTTACTAAGATGGATAATTTTTTTTTTCTCTCTGAACAACTTATCTACCAGAAATTTTGCAATGAACATCAATTTCTAGGATATTGCTGATGTTAACCAAATTTTGCTTATTTGGAACATTAAGAGAAGTCAATTTTAAAATTGTGTTTATAATTATCAAAAAAAGAAAACATGTACCTTATATGATTTTTGTTATTTTCGATCTTGTTTTTTTTTTGTTATTCAGTTAAATACAATTGTAGAAATCTGAATTTTTCACAGAATACTTCTATTAGCTATTTTCAGTACATATTGATTACCTCCACTACCTGATTAAGGCCCTAAATCGGGGTTTTTTCTGATATAAGTTAGAGTAGTTCTTTTGGCTCCCTATTATATAACAGGGGTCTTATATGATTATGTTTGAACTTACAGTAGTATGGGATCTATTTTCACAATACTCCACTGCTGCCATCATTCATTACAAAATTACAGCTAATAATTATTTTGAATTCTGTACTCTCCTAAGGGAGGCAGCAATAAGGGAGTTCCTTAACCCGCCTGCCCATATCACTGTATATTTAATATTTTAATGTTTTAAAATACTTTAAAATATATACTGGCCTATATAATTATTGCATGAACTAAACTAAGATAGTGATATGAGAAGTGAGTCATCACATAAATAATTGTACAATGAAACTAAAATCCTTTGTACATAATATGTACATGTAATATTAATCTTTGCTCATAAAAATACCTTCATACCTGGTAAAAAATATGCAAAAGGAATATTTTAAATGAATACCAAATAACCTTCTCAGAGATATATTATAGCCTATGTACAATTACAATCTCAGTTCCTGTGTTCTCAGTTAGGTTTGAAGGAACCTTTTCTTGTTTAAAACAAGTCAAAAATGATTTAAGAGTTAAATTATTAGATTATTATTTTTCACATTTAAGCATTTCAGAAATTAAATAATTTGATACTAAACAACTTAATATTAAAGATGTTATTGATAGATGTACATCAATATACATCAAAACAGACAAATTGGTTTAATTTAATATAATAATTGATAACTTTTTAATATTATTTTTAGAATCATGAATCTATAGGTATATATGAAATATTTATTGTTTAACACCCAAAAAATGTACTCATATAAGCTATGTACTTTTATATCCTCAGCATTAACCTTTGTTTTAACAAATCTATAAAAAAAACTTTCCTACCAGAAATCTTGCTCCAATGAAAGTATAACAAGAAATAATGAAATTTAGTAGGTTAGTGAGGACTTCTGTATAGATATTCCAACCAATTTTAATAATAATTGGGGATAACCAGAAAAAAACCAGTGTATGCACTATGTGTGCATATATTTTGAAATAAAACTTCTTATGCTTAAACAGCTAGATCAAATTGTATTGTGTTGATAAAAATTGAAATTAAATGCCTATAGAATAACATACAATACTGTTTGGATATGAATATTATAAACTTCTTGCAGTCATTCAACAGATAGAATATTAGGTTTGTATTGGAATAAAAAAAAATCCAATTGAAATTGATTTAATTTATTATCTTTATTATTAATTTTTTTATTCTATTGTCACAAAAGATATAATGGGCTTTTGACTATTGAAATAGCAGTGACATTTTTATTTACATTGTATGCATATATGTGTGTGTGTGTGTTAGTGGTGAGAAAAAGTAATTCAAAAATCTGAATTCTTGTATTTAATCCTGATACATTTAATTTGCTCAGAATACGTTATTATCTGCATTTATATAAGTAATGTATATATTTTCGTAAACAGGGGAATGACCTTGATAACATATTAAAATTCAAAATTTTAAATGACCGGAATATGTCGATGATTGCATTCATAGATATAAAAAAGGTAAATACTGAGAGAGGGGTTCGACGACTGGATATTGGAAAACTCGCTGTGTCACTAGTGTGTGTGACTGTGTGAGTGTGTTAATAGCTGATGTGATCACAGGGCGTCCCTGTTAACAGACGATCGAGGCTGACCGATCTTGAAATTTTACTCCCAGCATGCGTAAAAAAGTTTCACTTCAAAAACTTAGGAAATACAGGGAAAGTTTAGGTTATTAATGATTTCGTTATTTTCAATTTTGGTTTTTTATTGTAGATCGGTTAAAAATTATCTTAGAGCTAACATTTTCAAAAAATACTTAGTTTTTTCTGGAGTGAATTTTCAATTTTTTGCGATTTTTAAAAGCTATTTAAAGGCATTTTACATTTTCTAGTGTTTTTTAGTTTTTATATGGTAGATACTATGTAGATAAAATTATTGACCAAACAGAAATGCTTAAAAATTTAATACGAGGTTCATTATAAGTTGCATTTAGTTGTATTAAGTTGAGCTAATACAGTAAGTTCTTTTTACAATTAATAGAAGATCAAATAATAATCATACAACTTTTTATTTCGTTAGTAATGATTTGTTGTTACTTATAGATATAAATTAAATAACTTTATGTATCTATCCCCCTGTCTTCCGGACCTTTTTTTTTTATAACTCATGTATCTAATATTATCTATAGTTATAAAATTAGTATTTCCTTAGGCCTTACCAAAAATTAAATGACCTCTATATGACCCTCCTTAAGAAAAATTGTTGACAAATCCACTGCAGGGCAGGCCCACATATATATGTAACTAACAAAACTATACAATGATTAGTAAAAGTAATCATATGTCTACCATACCTAACCTAACATGCAGTTGCCTACAGGATAAAATCCCACCCGGGCAAACCGTTTTATTTTAAAAATGTATTATATTGTTATGGTAAAATGGTATGCCATTATGCGTGAAAAAAGTATATATAACTGAAAATCAAAAGGGGGGGGAGCAATATCCTCTTTTTTCCTTGTGTACTTGCCCTGAGTTTTCCTGGCCCGGGTTATGGACCCGATAGCCTGAATACTCGTCCTGCCCTTCCTTTTCGTGACTTCTTCAGAGCACGAAAGCGTAGATGCCACCGGCCTGAACGGTGATAGAGAATACTATAGATTAGGTCTTCTGCTGTTGAGAAAGACTGAATGCCATGGATTAAATTAAATAAGAACTGGTCATGTCTGTCACGATCCTTAATCCGATGAGGGAGGTCAGATATTCCACATAAGAGGCCCTGGACAACGCTGGGGGGTGATAGTCCTGCCACCAAAGAACGCTTTGGCTGCCTACGAGTTAGTGTGAGCAAACAAAAAGTGTGCTCAGCCATGCCCTATGAGTGCTGGCAGAGTACTGCCCCATGCAAAACGAGTAGAACCTGAAGAATCCGTGACATTATAGAACCTGATTGACGTGGAAGATGAAGTCCTTAGGGCATCGCATCACCTCATCTTCAGGTCCAACAGAATCATGTGTTCAGACGGCAGCCATTGCTTGCACATTTCCTTCTAGCCAAAATAAGTATGATGTCACGCTTCACTCTCTGGATCTCCATGGCTGTCTTAGTCCTTTCCGGGTCGCTCATCTTCGAATCCTCTTCCTTTTAAGGCAATTATATCTTCAGGAGTTTCAACGAGAAATAGAGCCGCATCGGCAGAGACAATGATTTTAGATAGTTAGACTTACGACAAGTAGCATACTTGATCGCTCTGTTAACCCACATAGGAGCCACGTAACAACAACCTACTGTTGACCATAGACATGGCAAAGCCCCTTTGGACTAAAAGGACATTCTGAGGTTGGGCATGAGGCGTCTAATGGTGAAAGCGGCTAGTCGATATCGTGCGGAAATGGTCGTTAAAAGTAAGGTGTAGAGGTCTACTCGATGTGGTTTTGCTAAACCTCAATGTTTAGCATAGTGAGTCGTATTTTAAACACGCACACATCCATAGCCAGGGCCATATTTACGCAAGGACATTATGGGTATTTGTCCAGGGCCCATGCGGATCAGGGGCCCACCTACTGGATTTAATTATTCTTTTAATTTGAATTAACCCTTAAAATTGAAGAATACCAAAAAAAGTTTACACAATCGAAAATACTTGTAAAAATATAAATTATTTTTTTCAGTTTCATACAAAATGTATGGGTATGAGATCAGAAATATTCGTATTAAATGGACTATTATTCGTAGACACAACGATAATGCTTTGTTTACACGTGACGAGTACTCGGTCGTGTCACTCGTTATGTTGCTCGGTCTAGTACCAGAATTGACCGAGTCATCGTACTACTCATTGTATTTGATTGGCCGAGTGACTACCCCACTACCAAGATTTTACTATACTCGGCGTGTCTAAACCGCTAGCCGAGTGCAACGTAGTAGTAAACACTTGTTATCAACACATTGTTGTTAATACTAATCACCTATCATTACATATCTGACTAAATTTGTTAAATTATTTTACTGTTTATTACTTATTTATTAACGCATTTAGCAAAATGTCTACAAAGTGGGATTGTAAAACCACAACCAAATTTATTGAAGATACAAATCGTATGATTGTTTGTGAAATTTCAAATCTTCATCTTACAAAAATAAACATAAGCGTGAATCGGCTTATAGAAGTATTGTTACAGAAATGGCAATAGAAGGATTTGGTGTTCCAGAAGTAAAAACAAAAATAAAAAATATTCGTTCCACATATGCTCAGGAAATTAAAAAAAATAAAGGAATCTAAGAAATCCGGGAGTGAAGTTGATAGTAAGATCCATTTGCTGGTCCAAATCCGCTTCCTCTTTTCTGTATTCAACTCATCTTCCAATAATTCTATCATCGGAGAGATTTGATTTACGTAATCCTTGAAAAATCGTTTTATTTTACGACGACGATTCATACTTAAATAAATATTTTTGATGAAAAAAATACAACTACAGGTTAAGATGTCACAACTATATATTCACAACTACTGAACTACTCGTTACACGACACTCGGGTAGCTGTTTAGACACGCCGAGTACCATTCATCTTGGTAGTGGGGGTAGTCGGCCCATGAATAGAAACGGTTTCTATTCACTTGCCCGCTTATTTTACTCGTCCGAGTACTAGTTCCTTTAGTTCATACGGAACAGTGCTCGTCCGAGTTGACTCTCTCGACCGAGTACTCATCACATGTAAACAAGGCATAAGGTATATAAAATTGACCGAGCGTAATTTTAATAGATGTTATGTAGTGCATACCGCATACGCTATACGGTGTATTCAACTAAATGGTAAAAATAACTTTTTTTGGAATTATACTTTATATTATACGTTATACTGAGCTGTAATAACAACAAACGTGTTACGTGTGTTACATTGATACAGAAGTCAGTAAATATTGCTGTAATCTTACAGTATACGTAAAACAGTGTGGCAGTGCACATTGTACGAATACGAATAAAACGATTTTATATTTTTGTAATTTATTTTATTATTATTAGTACGTTGTAGTACATTTTTAAAAATGTTACCTAAAAAATTACCACAGTGGCTCAGCTAAGCGAAAATTAAAAGAAAAATAGGAAGAATTTAAAAAATTACATGGTAATTTAAATAAATTTGTTTTCACAATAACTGAACCATCTTAAACAGAAACACCATTATCTGTTAAAAATTCAGAAAGTAAGTATCTTAAAATATTTTATAACCAACTTTGATATTATACGTGTATTATTAATCATATATGCCATACCTATAGTTTTTATAAAATTAAAGATTTGGTTTTGATATTTTTACAGTAAATTCGCAAAATACAAGTTTAGAAAATCTTACCAGCCATGTTGAATTAATCGATACAACAAAAAAATGAAGAATCCACAAATTGTAGGATAAGTTTGCATGAAAATAAACTTGTATCTCAGATTAATAATCAAACCGATACGCAATTAAATACTACTAATAATGAACAACAAAATAATTGGAATCTAATTCATTGAAAATTACATCACTGCAAGCATTAATTTCGATGAAGTTATTGATTCATTTGCAGAAAAAAATGCTAGACAATTTTTTTTTAAAAATTCTGAAGATTTTGTAATATCTACATTCGAATACCTACTGTTTAATTTACTTTTAAAAAAAATTTGTTTTAATTATGAAGATTTTGTAAAAAGAGTGCCTACATTCTAATATTGTTTTATTAAATATTAAGTATTGACTGGTTATTATATTTACTAATTATAATTTAATTTACAATTCATAAAAATAGGCAAACTTTATCTTTTTGTCCCGGGTCTAAAAAATTCTAAATCAGACTCTGTACCATAGCCCAAAATATTACTATCCGAGTGCAATCAAATATCACATTTTATTTGAAAATAAACCCATATTTTGTTAGCAAAACCATGTCAGGTAGATAACCAAAACAACCACCTGTAATTCGAAGTAACCCAATTGTAACACTCGTTGAACCATTGGTAATCCATCGTATATGTACAGGTAGTCGAGATAATCGAAAAGTAACCAATTATCAAAAAAATCTTTTTTGTGCTATTTTTAGTAATTTAAAAGTTTTAATATGGTTTGATGTGGCTACAATTTTTTTAAGCTTCTCAAAAATACTCCAAAATTAATTACAAGGCCCATGATAAGTTGTTCTTATGCCGATTCAAAAGATATTAAAAATCTTTATCGCGATTTTTTTGATAAAGATACAAAGTTCAGATTTTGATAAACATAGGTAATATCCACGGCATTTAGCGTATTATTTCCCGATTAATATAAATAAAATGTTTTTGGTCAATCGAAAATTTGACACAGGTTCGTCAACTACTAAGTACAACTACTTATTGAAAAAAAAAAAAATAAGGAGTTATAGATGTAGAAGTATTATTGATTATAATTTCGGAGCATATTATTATTATGTACACTGACCTGTGGAGCTGCTCGGCTTGACCAGCCATATCAACGTCGTATACACGGGGAGCACTTGTAGCACGTACCTCAGTCTGATCAATATGCCCCTAGCCATGACCATTATTGTTCGCATCTATACAATAAAAATGCATAATGTTCAACGAAAAAGGGACTCCGAAGCGCATCTCTATTACAATACTGTTGCGTTGCGATTCCAACAAATATAAGATAGGTAAGAACAAGTTTGTAGGAGGTAACTATTAAGTACCCATTTACAACATACAACGATTATAATGAGTATAGATAGGCGTAGGAATTTTACATTATACGTACAACTACAAAAACGATGTAGTAGATCAGAGTGGTTGGCAGCAGGAATAACAATATCGCGAATGATATAGTGCCCACGTACAGCTGCTGTGTGGTGTAAGGTGTAGTTCTTCCCGGCTGTGGATTACAACTCCGGCCCACGAAGAGTTTCGCCAATATCATTAGACTCTTCCGTTGCAAGTTGTATAGCCTTTTAACCATTAAATATAACACATGTAAAATAGTAATACTAGTACAAACTACTATATCACATTATTCTTAAATTCTGAGTGGAATGTAGATGAGTGTACTGGTTTTATTATGATGTATGTTTATTTTTTGAATTATAAATTATTATTTATTTAATTTCTAGTGTCTGAAAGCAACGTTTCTGCCAGAAATTTTGTCCCAATTAAAAACTGACAAACATTTTTTTGTTGCACTTTGGATCTAGTTGGTGCATAGTAGGTATATACATTTTTTGATTTTCTAAGGGAAGGGGTTTTGATAATAATTGGGAAAAACAAGGAAAAAACTGGAAAATTTACAAAATCTATTATTTTCAATTTTACTTTTTTGTTAATTCAGTTAAAAATGTATAGACATGAAGTTTTAGAAAACTAATATTTGTTTTTCTAGCCGAAGTAAAATTTTCAAAAACATTTGAGCCATCTTTGGGTTATTAATAGAAATTGTAATTTTGCACGGTTTTTTTTAAATAATTTTTATTCTGGAGGTCAGTGATTCTCAACCTTATTTGTATGCTGACACCCAAAAATAGCTCTAAAAAAATTACGACACACTTTCAACAATTAATAAAATAAAATAACACACACAATGCTCAAAACACGTTGATTAAGACAGAGAACATGCTTATTTACGTACCTACGCATAATGCCAATGTGTTTATTAGGTTATTTTTTAAACTGATATTGATTTATTTATTTATTGATTTACTGTTTGATGTACAATATTTCAATGCACATAAGTGCATACCTTGAAAGTTATACATATATTGTCATTTATACTTTACATATTATTTGCACCATATTTAATACCATTTAGTGAATATAATTCTGGTTTTTAATGATAACTTTATCCATACCCTTTATTCATTTAACAAAATTTTGGTTATTAAATGGTTAGCTATGTCTATAGTTTAAGTGTTGATTTACTACTTAATGATTATATCTATATCTAATATTATTTTAATTGTGCCTACATATTATATTATGAAATATTTAACTCTCAGTCTTCAACACATTACACAACCAATCATTACTGAAGGTAGATAATTTTAACCATAAATCTATGAATTTTGTTATTTTGTATAGGTATAAATTTAAAATAAAATAATTTATGGTTTTAAAGAATCGCCAAACCTATAATTATTGTGTATGCAGCCTATATCATAAATTCATTCTCAATATAATTATTACTGATTAAATTACTTAGGTATAAAAAAAAGTTCTTAATACACTTTTAAATAATAATATTGAACATGAATTATTAATTTTATATTTTATACACTAAATTTATTATTAAATTGTATCAAGGTAAAAAAACATAGATTTTAGTATCATTTGAAAGGAACTTTCTAATATATTTTTAAAAGAAATGCACTAAATTTTGCTCTATAGATCAGTAATGATTACAAGAACACATTATTTGGGTCTTTTATTTTGAATTCAACTCTAATTAAGAACAGTTTAGTTTTTAAAATTTTAAGTCATTACCATTTTAATAAAATTATTAACAGAATTAAATTAAATGTATGCAAAGTTTTTATTATTTGATTTGATTTTTATTTTATTATAGCTGGTAAAAAAATAATAATGTAAAGAATTATAATAAATAATTAAAGACAAATAATACCTACAAATTTTAATATACAAGTAGTGTACATTGTATATATTATATAGGCTATCCTAAGAAGATATATCTCTTGAATATCTCCAGAGATTATAAAGATAGTCAAATTCTGTTTTTTTTTTTTTTATATAACTCACAAGGGATGATATTATTAATTCAATAATAGAGTAAAAATAAAAAATAAATGTTAGGTAATGTAATTCACCAATTTAATTAGTTAAAACTTAATATAATATGTTTCTAATAAATTTAAAAAACAAGAACATTTAAATAGGTATTGAATTAAGTAAGTAAAATGTAAGTAGGTACTAGAAAATTAATAAATTTAACATTGATTAATTTAGCACTGGTACTGAACAAGAATCCAGAACATAACCTCCACAGACAAAAATCTCTTCTTTTTTTCATGAGCATACATGAGCATTCATGAGTATATATGTGGACAAAATCTTAATTAATAAGAGTAAGTATACATATACAATGGTTTAACATTTTTATTTTTTTAGACATTTCTGTTTTTTAACGACTTAAAATTATTTAAAAGAAAGAATGTTTTTGAAATGATAAAGGAATTACATGGATATATTATTGTTTATTGTTATCCTATATACAAAAGTTTTGTATTTGTACTTATTAACTAAAAATATACACATTATATAAATTTGAATTGGCATTTCCAAATATCCATTTAAAGATAAGCATAATAAAATGAAATAGACCTAGATAGTAGACCTAGGTTGGTGGTGCAGGTTGTTGTAGTATAATCCTAGAATTTATCCAATTTAAAAGATAATATTTTATATACACCATAAAAACAATTGTTTTCTAGTCAAACTTTTTAACATTTATGTGCTCTGATCAAAATTAATATAAGATAATTTAAATTAAATTAAATTAAATTTTAGACTCATAATGTAATTTTTACTTTTAGTTATTATTTAAAGGTACAAAAAATAATTAACCTCACCATGCTGCATATACATAAATGCAATATATATGAAAACTGACAACTGCTAACACATCTTCTAAGATTGCTATTTGATAAGATAATCCAAATATGCCAATAAACACATAAACTTGAAATGTCAACTCCAAAAATGGACGACATATAACTATAATAAAAAATTTATATTACATATATTTCTAGATTTTTTATCTAATTTAATCTTAATTAAACTCAATTTATCTCTATAATTTTAAATTATACTAAGGTGAGTATTATATATATATATATATATATATATATATTTATAAATAATACAATCTACAATTGTTTAACTAGAGAAAAACTCTTCCAATCTTTCTACAAAGGATTTTAATTATTCATTTAGAGCAAGTACACATAATAAAATTAATTTCAACAATCGGTAACAATTTTAAATATAAAATAATGTTTTAAAACTAATTTACCTAATTTAAACTACATTTTTTTATTTTTGCTTAAGTTGATATAAACAGATATACTTACTTAAAAATGACCACCAAAGATTGACTAAATAAAGAAAACATGTCCCTAGTAAACTGTTCAAAGGATCATTTAGTTTTAATCCAGCAGGACTTCCCATAAGCCATTGTAATGTACCTTGAAGCACTTTAATTGCATGCTGTAAATCAAAATAATTACTTTTAATTTAATATAATATAATAAATAAGTTCAAATATGTTAAATTTAATTACATGTGAAATACTTGAAATATATGAAAATAGTTCATTTGATGATTTGAATGTGGTATTGAGAAGGTATAAAACTGTTATTCCAAAAATTGCATCACAAATACATGCTATTAAATAATTTACTGCTTTTTCTTTTGACAAAATACGTTTTTTATGTGTGAGATTTTCTAAGAACCACACATAATTTTTGATCACACCTAATATATGCTTAAATAATGTCAGTTGAAAAATGGTTAACTGAATACATTTTATTTCAAAAATATTTATGAGTACATTAAGAATAATTAATAAATATTTAATAAATCTTTGAAACGTTATCGTTTTTGACTTTTGATTGTGATTCTGAATTTGATTAGTATTAGATAACCATTTTGACAGCATCGTGAAACAAATGAACTTTTGGGAATCATTTTCATACTCAATTAAAGTACCATAGTCATATAACCTTGAAGGGTCATAAATTACAAGTACAAAATGTTCAAATTGCTCAGGTAATAAACTAGCGTTTAAATATCCATTATTTTCGGTTATACACAAAATATTTGACAATTCTTGTTTTGAGCACCGACAACTAGTTTTTGTAAAGTGGCCAATCGTCTGAACTTCACATTCTGTGTTTATGTTTTTCATATCATGTGGTAATACGAAATAATACTTGACATTTTGTATGAGCTTAGTGTATCCAAATAATTCAACTGTAATGTTACTTGTTCCCAATAAAGTAGTAGGAAAAAATATTACTTGTTTTTCGAACATTTTAATATATAACGAACAAATTGCATTACGTATAAATTATCTATAACGTTATGAGTAACTTTATATATTTTGTTTCATTAAAAGAGCAAGGAAAGGACAAACATCATGTTTATATGTAAATAAAAAAAATTAACTTAGTTATAAGAATAAAATAAAGTTTAATTAAATTTTAAATATTACTGCCATCGAAAACTGTTATCTTATCTTTATCATATTTTTATCCAACAGCACGGAGCATAGATTAAGAACAATTTGCAATGTGATAAACTGTCGCATGTGGACAATTAGTTCACATAGGTACGGAAATTTACAACTACGATTTTTACAATGATTATAATGTTTTAACTTTATACACGGTATTTTAAACCATAACTTTGTTCGCTTCACGTTTACAGTTCGTTTTAAAAAAAAATGTATAATTATTTTAAAAAAATCTAACATAGCCAATAAAACTTTATTGTACTTATTAACGAAAATCTATAAAAATGAGAATGATAAATCTTTCATTTAAATTCGCAGAATATGATTTTAACCACCTACATTATAATTGGTCCCAAAATAAAAATATGTATATTCTTATACTCATTAAATACCTGAATTGCTTTGGATTTCAGTTTTCTAATGTTTTATTATCTTAAAATCAATCTTATTATTATTTCATATTTGAGAATAATTTGTTTTATCTTCAAGTAATATTTTTCTTATCATTTTTCTTACAATATTAAGATAGTTACTAGTCTGTTGACATGTCAGCAATCGCGATGCTTGCTGATGTGTTCAAGAAAATTGTATATAGGGCATCATGAATTATAATAAATAAATTGTCGTTTATAATTTAATATTGAACTTATTTTAATTTCTGCATTCATGTAGAAATATATAACACACTATGAACAAAGTAAAATAAATCACTTACTTTATTCCTTGCAAAAAAATACATTTAATTAATAGCAATGGAAAAACTAATAGATGATCGAGTTGTTAAGTCCAGAAACAAAAAGCAGACGAAGAAAAATAAGTCTGATAGTGTTGAAAAGCAGGTTTGTTAAACCATATTAAAATAGTTATCTAATACAAATATTTCACTCTGATATTTCAATAATAAAATATACCTATTTAGTTCTACACTATTTACCTATAAATATTTCAAATAAAATAATGTGAAGTATATTAATCTATTAGTCTAATAGTGGTTGGTTAAATTTATGTGTCTAAACAATTTTTTTTTCTAGGAAAACAAAGTTGAATGTATTTCTAAAAACCATGACGTTAATGAACAAAATTTAATCAATAAAGAACAACCTGATATATTTAATAATTTTAAAATTAATATTGAAATAAATGTACTGGCGGTTATACTATTTTTATCGGCTGTTTCATCACGATTTTTCAAATTAAACCAACCTAGAAATGTTGTGTAAGTATTTTTTTTCTTTTGTTTAAATTTTATATACTAATGCATGATTTTAGTTATTACCGACTTTAATATACACTACCTATAAAATATAGACATATACCTATTTCCGAGCTTATTTCATATGTATTAACTAAAGCTCAGATGTTTATGACTGCATATTTTCTGGCAAAATCAGAATTATACCCGAATATGAAATAAATTTGGTTCAGAAAGTCTAGATTTAAAATATGCAAACCTTTTTTGCATATATTTGCATATTTAACATTTTCGATCATATAAATGCATATATTGATTATTTCTAAATTTAGATACAGTAAGTTCTCGTTACAACGAAAATCGATACAACAAAAACCGATACAATGAAAAATACCGTTATAACGAAAGTTGTAGAAGTCCCCTACTGAAAAGCTACTTTAACAATGTTAAATGAATCTCAATGTAACAAAATGATTAATTTTTAAAAATCCCGGTACAACGAACTATTTTTACAGGTTTAAATATATTTTCCCTTCTTAAAATTTAATCTAAAGATATCAAGCACACAATTTAATGAAATTATAAAGTCATTAAATTGCCATTATGTGTAACTGTGTTATTCTACTTCAACCTATTGACCAAGGTATCATCAGAGCTGTAAAATCACGCTACAGAACATTTTTGTTACGTCAAATTTAATGCGATTTAGAGAAAAATATCCAAAGAAAATGCAATGTGAAGGAAGCTATCAAATGTATACGAGGAGCTTGAGATGATATCAGTCAATCAACGATAACTAACTGTTGGAAACATGCAACCACAACCAAAGACGCCAATTCGGTTTCAGAAGTGACCAAATATGATGAATCAAATACGCACAACACCCAACAATCTGAGTTAGAGCAAATTTGGATCATTGCGGAAAAGAAAATGTCGCTTCCTGACAATGTAAATTTAGAAGATTATCTCAGTGCAGATGACAACATTTCAACATGTTATGAACTAACCGAAGTAAATATCATTTAATCCATTAAAGACAGTAAAGATGAGGCCACCGATGAAAGTAGTGAAGATGAAAAAGCTGTGATGGGAGATGATGTGCGCAATGTCACTTTATCAGAAGCCTTATCAAGTTTGGAAGTTATGTGAACATTCATTTCATCACAAAGTGATGTGCCGGACTTCATATTTACATAATAACATTCACCAACTACAAAATTATTTACTTTCTATTAAAACAGCAAACCTTGTTCAAAAAAGAATTGTCGATTATCTGTAATAAAGTTATTTTGCAAATTATTTATATTTGAATAACATAGTGTTTTTAAATTTTTTTTATTCAAATTTTCAAAATTTCATTACAGCGAAATTTCTGTTAAACGGAAAAAAAATCGGTCCCTTGGAGTTCATTGTAACGAAAACTTACTGTATATGCATATTTTAAACAATTTTAAATGTAATATTAAAAATTTGTACGGTAACTATTAACCAAACACTTTATATCATTATGTGTAAGTAAGTGTTAAGGCTATCAATAAAAATTGCTGGCATACCTAGTTATTTATATACCTACTGTAAATACATATGGTGGATAGTTTACAAAAATATAGTGTCAGTTCGTTGAAGATCTTTCAAATTTGAAAATTTAAGTAAAATAATTTTTATACAGTGTAATCCTGAGATTTAAAGTATTTAATCTATGTAACATTTAATTTTTTTTTTATTTTAAACTAATATTAACACCTTTTTTGTGTATATTTGTTAAAAATAGGTATATTTAATACATTATTCTGATGAAAATAAATAAATTATAAAGAATATAATTGTATATTTTAAAGAAATTTTGGTCATTAATATCCAAGCTTCAATAATAATTTATTCTGATGAATATATTTTGATAAATTATATAAAAATCATATGAAATGTAATAATTATAGATTTGACGAACTACATCATGGAAAATATGTTAGTTTGTATATGAAGCGGACATTTTTCTTTGACACACATCCACCTCTTGGAAAACAACTTATAGCAGCCGTTGCATACTTAAGTAATTATGACGGTATGTACTATATATATGATCCTATACAATTTTATTTTGAAACTCTCATTGTATGTTATTTTAAATATTCCACCTTGCATTTAAAGTAATGTTAGATAAACTTTAAATTTAAGCAAATATTATTGTTAAAATAAGGTGTATTTTGATACAAATTCCAATATTTTACAAACAAATAGATGTGTCTGATGAAGCATATCATGGTTTTGTTTTACACTTGTGACTCTAACTTCTGTATATCAGTATCAGGTTCAAATCTGCAGATTGTAGGTTTATATTACACCAAGTAAAGAGTGACATGCAACCAAATATTGATAAAATCCTTATAAAAAGAATATAAAATCTAAATCTAATTTTCAAAAATTATTAACTCTAATATTAAATAATAAATTGTTTTAATAAATACAAATATTTATTATGTATTATTAGCATATTATTATTATAGCAAAATATTATGTTATTATTTAAACAATAAACATACTAAAAATGGTCTAAATCAAATATCTAAGAATACATGGATACATAACAATTAACAACAAATATAATTTATACTATTTATTTAATCTAATATATTTATGTTTATTAAACACAAATATTATAAGTGTATCATGAGTATTTTAAATTGAGACATATATTAGGTAATTAATGAAAATTAATATATAGTTAACAATTTTGAACAATTTCAACAAATTAATAAATCTAGCTATGTATACATACAAAAAAAAAAAAATTAATTTACTTAATACTGTTATTTTAAATTGACTCACAAACTTTAGAAGTAAAATCAATATATATCCAAAGCGATGTAGCGGCTAAGTAAAAAAATATAGTATAGTGGCCACTAACGTATAGTAATAGAAAACAGAGTTGTACCATTGAAAAACTGCTAATTTGTGTTAATCCATCAGCCAGTTCTACAGGCCAAATGGCTGTATAAGGTCATATAAGGTATCAATCGATCAGAAATATTGTATAGATGGAAACAGGGAAATTCGCAAGCAGATTTGTTATGTGGATTAAAAATTATAACCAAAAATGTTCAAGTACTTTCAAGTCAGATTTTTCGTATTTGACAAAAATATCGTAAAATATCTACTCTCCTTGCTGCAGCAATGTAAAATATAATTATCCCAATCAGTCCTGCTACTTTCGGTTTGGTTATTAGGTTTATATTTAAGGACCATTTTTTAATTCAAAATTCATCTTCAGATTTAACAAAGTCAAATAACATCAACTTTTTTTTTTTATAAATAAATAGCTAATATCACACCAAAAACACTTTGTTATAACTTCATGTAAAAAAAAAATCTTATTTAAAAATAATTAAATTTAGCAATGATTAAATCTTTAAAAGAAAAGATATAATATGAAAATTAAGTAAAAAGACATTTTATAATATTACAAATATCGTGAACTACAAATAAAATCAATTGTAAACATAAATACTTAGTCAACATATTGTTTATAAATTATTAATGTATTTACAAAATTTAATATAGTGGTTAGTTATTTGTATTTATTTAAGCATACTTACATGTCCTGCCAACTAGTTAAATAATATGTTGACTAAGTATTAAACTTTACAATTGATCTTATTTATCTCATAGGTATCTCATCATTTTTTTTAACTTAACTTTTTTTTTACACTGAGTTTCTTTTTTAAAATTCCTTTTTTGAAATGTTACAGTTATTTAAAACCGATAAATTATTTAAATAATTGTTCCTATTATATTTATAATTATTCTGGATATAAGGTTCAATTTATAGTTTAATAATAAATACTATTTAGTTATTTTTAAATGACTGTTATATTTTAAAAAAAGAAACACATCCTCTTTTCCTCTGAAATATTGTTCCTATTTAATTTTGTAATAGGTGCTTTTACTCTAAAACCAAAATTTAAGTAAATTCTATGCAGTCTGCATAAGGTAGATTTTGCTATATTTCATGTTTGGTTAAACTGAGACAGCGCATGGGGGTATAGTGTCCTCTTAATTGATGACTGTCAGGGTTTGATAGACTCCAATTTGTTCTTCAGGCATTCTCTTCATTGAACTGGTTTTCAATAAGGTCTTGCTGTTAAATAGTTAGGCTTCCTTGACTTGAGTCTCTAAGTACAATTCATGGGTGTATCTTTATGTATATTGGGAGTTTATCACTAGTATTATAGATTGACTACTGATTATTTATTTGCATTGTCTACAATCCTGATTCAGTTACAAAACTGTTTTTAAAGGATTTTGACAGATTAAGTCAAATATCCTACGAAAATAAATTTTGAAAATTCAATGATTTAAATTCTTGCCCAACCCTTGAGCTGTCAAGAGGAAGCGGTAGGTACTTAGGTTGCATCCCTCTGCAAGGAATTTCATAGAATTTTACGGAGGTGGTTCAAAATGTGTATTATTGATATTTATAATTAACGCATTTTATTATTTAGATAACTGAGGAGTTCCTTATTTATTTATTTTTAATACCAATTAATAATATTTTAACTATAGTTGATAAATAGATATAGATTAATAGTTATTTCTTCTTTTACAAAAAACCCAATTATTTTAACCAAAATCGTTATTAAAATAGAATTATATTTTTAGGTCAATTTAAATTTGAAAGAATTGGTAGTGAATTCAGTGATGATGTTCCCTTATTTGGTTTACGTTTTGTACCGGCATTATGTGGTAGTTTAATTATTCCTGTTGCATATCAATTAATGATAGAACTTGGATGTCGACATTGGTGTGCAGCTCTAGCTGCATTTCTTCTTCTCTGTGGTAAATAACCTATTATTTTTGTACAATATACCCAGTATAAATATGTAATATATTTTTTTCAGAAAATACATTATTAACACAGTCTCGATTTATTTTGATGGAATCAATATTAATATTTTTTATATTATGTGGATTATTATTTGTGTTAAAATATAGAAGATTGAATATGAAATCTCCTAATGCCTTGGTCTACTTAACAATTGCATCTATTTGTCTTACTATGGCTACATGGTAAATTAAATAATTTGTATAATTTATTTTAAGATTACACCTGTATTATTTTTCTACAGTGTGAAATATGTTGGATTTCTCTCATGGCTTTTGTGTATTTGGATAATTTGTCGAGATTTCTGGGTTAATCATTTAGGTGACAAACGCCTATCGGATTTAACTGTTTTCTCTTGTGCAACACTACGATTTATGATTATATTTTCAATGACAATTTCTGTTTATTTTTCTGTATTTTTCATTCATCTTGTCATCTTAAACAAAGCTGGTCCCCATGACAGTGTTATGACCAGTGCTTTTCAAGCCAGCCTAGAGGTATCAAAAGTTTCTTATAAGTTTTATATTGTAATTTAATTAAGCTATTTTATTTAGGGTGGACTGGCATCTATAACTAAAGGTCAACCTCTGCATGTTTCACATGGATCACAAATAACATTAAGGCACACTCATGGAAGAACATGTTGGCTTCACTCTCACACTCATGTGTATCCCATTAAATATGCAGATAAACGAGGAAGTTCACATCAGCAACAAGTTACATGTTATACATTTAAAGTTAGTTTTATTCTACTTATTATATTTATAGTTATTTTACAATATTATTATTTACATCATTTAATTTTATCTTAATGATTTAATTTTTTATCATTTATACAGGATGTTAATAACTGGTGGATAATTAAACGACCAGAGATAAACACATTAGCTGTAGAAAATACGAAGGATCCAGATAGTATTAAACATGGTGATATTATTCAGCTTGTGCATGGTATGACAAGTCGTGCTTTGAATTCACATGATGTCGCAGCACCAGTATCTCCACAAAATCAAGTACATTGTTAATTTGTTAATTTTTTAATTTTTTAAATGACTTTTTTGTATTCGATAAAAAATCAAATTAAATAACAGAATTAAAATATTTTGATTAATTTACTCTGGTAAGCATGGCTTGTAGTGGGGTAAATAAGCAACTCTTTAACAAAAGTTTGAAAAAACAACAGCATAAAGAAACTGGAAGGAAAAAGAAAATTTTAAATACAATAATAAATATGAATTGCTATAAGAAGTTCATTTTCTAAGTAATTAAATATTTAGTTATGAAAATCATTTGTATTAAGATGTAAAATCATAAAATTAAACAGTTGGATTTAGAAAATCTATGACATGTTGATCATAAAATTGTTGTGTACCAGATGTTAATGCCAGACACTTTAATTGCATGCATGTTAATAACTTGCTTACTATCAAATTTATTATATAGCGAATTGCTTGTATAGAGATCTGACAAAAAGTATATAAAGTTCTATATATTTTTTGTGGAGGACCTATTAAATCTTTTTTATTTTAACATATTGGAACCATTAGATTTTGTTAAACTTCTAAAGGTCTCACTGAATTATTTTTACAACCTCCCCAGACTATTAAACCCAAGATTAAACAAGTATTGTAATAGTACTCATCATTTCAATGGATAAAATTGTATTTTATATCTTTATCTTAAAGACAATATACAGTGTCCCATTTGATAAATTTTTCTTCCACTATTAGTGTTAAATTTGTTTTCAATTTTTTTTTTTAATAGGTTTGTCTTTCAGGGAGACATTGATTTGGAGAAAAATTAATTTTTTTTTCATCCTCTGAACACAAAAAAAAAATAACTTTATTTATTCACTTTAGAAAATTTTCAAAACACCCATTTTGTATAAAATATTATTAAAAAAATTTAAAGTATCACATATTTGCATGTCTGATGAATAATTCCTTAGTTATAGCTGTTTTAATTAGGCGTAAATACAATTAATTTTAAATAAAATAACATATGGTGCAGTAAGGAGTTAATTAGCCTTGAAATTCTTTACCTTCTATTGAATATTAATTGTTTTCATTGCTCTTGTTGGGAGCATCAATCAGAGACAATGCGAGGAGCATGGTTAGCTAGTGGGAGGTGTTTTTATACTTGTGCTGTCCACTTCTCTGCTCACTGCCACTGAAGTGGACTGAATGTAAACAAAAAATAACTTAGTAATATTCTGATTAGTTTGTTGTGATGAACAGTATTAAATGCTTTTAATATATTTAAAACAAATCACAGTTATCTTCTCATTATTGTCGATTTTCTTTTGTATGTCAACTCAGTAATTAGAACTTCAATTGTTCTCATGTGATGCGATGGCCAAGGGAATAAAGATTTATTTATATATATATATATATATTAATAGGTAGACTAAAATTGAAAGGATGTTTTTGGTTAAATCATTTTTATAGCATGGTGAGATTAGCAGTCCTATTATCATCTATTATTTTATTCTACAATAGTTATTAAAATAGATCCTGCCAGCTTTTTCAATAGCATTAATAATTTTCTAATTTTCCAAAACCAATTACAACACACTCATTTACATTAGTTGTACTATACAGAGTAGACCAATTGTTCTCTTTTAAAATACCACTCACCTGACTATATCTTATACTCTTAAAATTTTTACAGTCATTTCTTCTTTTAGAATTGCTTTTTAGTAAAGCTATTAATGTGGAAAAATGGTCAGTTTGTACAACACCTGCCTCAATTTGCTTTAATTTTGATTCTTAGGCCCTCAAAAAAATATTATCTAAACAAGAGTGATTACCTTTATATTCTATTAGATATATTCATAAATGATTTAAAATCATATTGAGCGATTATATTTAGAGAATCATTATCAACTTTACCACTAATGTCATTATTTATATCGCCTATTATAGCAGTATAGTCACTATCTAAATTACCCCATAATCTAGTCAAATAATCGATAATTTTGTTGGTTAGTGATCTGTATATACAATAAATATCTGTAATTTTTGCCATCTATAAGAACTGATCAGTGTAATATATTATACTCTTCATAATTATACTCATATAAATTAACCATTAAATCAGTTTTAACAAAAAATACCATTATTTTGGTTTCACTCTTTTAAAAAAAAAAAATACATTTTTTAGCCAAAAATTATGTGCCTATAATCTATATTATGCCATGTTTTGTTTAAAAGAAGCATATCAATTTAACTAAATTTTTCAGTATCTATGAGAAATTAAATTTGTTTAGGAAGTATCCTGTTACATTGATTACAATGTAACTATGCCTGCTCAGAATTTGTGGAAAGTGGAAATAATCAATCGTGATCAATTTGGTGATGTTTGGCAAGCTATTAATTCACAAGTAGATTCAATATTTTAGTTACTAAAACATAATTAAATATTATATTCATAATATTAATTACTTAAATAAACATATTAAAGGTAGTGCTGATTCATTTTAATTCAACACAAGCATTGAAATTTAGCGGTAGACAATTACCAGATTGGGGATTTAATCAGCATGAAGTGGTTACAGATAAAGTAATATTTCAAGATGATACAGTGTGGAATGTTGAAGAACATCGGTACACTAAAAGTAATTTAATATTTATAAGAATAATTAAATGTAGTCTAAAATGTCTAAAACACCCACATGGTCATAGGTGAAAATGAAAAAGAAAGAGAACGAGAACTTGTTGCTGCTGAAATGATACCATCAAAAGGAACAAAACTAGGGCTTTGGGAAAGATTTTGGGAATTACAATACAAAGTAATATTTTCTTCTCCAAATACACAAAATGTTCATTCACACATGTACAGCAGTGAACCTCTCGATTGGCCATTAATGGTTCGAGGAGTAGCCTATTGGTTAAGTGAACATGATAATGTTAGTTAATTTAATTTAGTGCAAATAAAACAATATTAATTAATGCATTATCATTTATTTTAATATTAAAAACAGGGACAAATACACTTATTGGGAAACATTGTGATATGGTATTCATCTACATTTTGTCTACTGTTATATTTATCATTTTTTGTATTTTATTTACTAAGACAAAGAAGACAAATTTATGATCTATCTTATGGTATGTATAATAAACTAATAAATTGAAAAATAATTAATTAGTAAACTATTCTTTTCCTAGATGAATGGGAACAATTCAAACTAATTGGTGAAGTATTAGTTGTTGGATATGGCTTAAATTACATACCATATTTTTTTATTGATCGTACATTATTTTTACATCATTATTTACCTGCTCTTGTCTTTAAGATATTATTATGTGCTGCATTTATACAACATCTAGCAAATATTTTTAGGTATATATTTTAAAATCATATTTCTATTATGAATATATGTATACATACATATATATATATATATTTTTTTTTTCACAGGACTAAGTTGATGCTGAGATTTATATTTCATTTAAGTCTTTGTGTTTGGATTTTAAGTGTTATGTATGTATTTAAAAAGTTTATTGTCTTTAGTTATGGAACATCCCCATTAACATCTAAAGAAGTTTTTAAACTTCGTTGGAAAGATACTTGGGATTTCATTATTCATAAACCATGAGTTTATTAAGTTTAAGTTAGTGATTATTATTTTAAGAAATTTTAGTGGTAGATTGGCTATGCTGTTGGTATAAAATTATCTATTATTATTATTATTATTATTGAATTTCTTCCTTATCGAATTGTATAATTTGATATTAATTTTTTTCCTGGTATTGATTTATTTACTGTTTGTTTTAAAAATATCTAATTATATTAAAAGTATTTTAATATTATTACTTTAGTTTGAAACTGCCAATTTATCAGTTAAGCCAATCTGCATTTAAATTTAGTGGTAATTAGTCTCTCTAATAAAATTATGCTCTCTATTAATTAGTTTAATATTTATTCATCAGTATTATTTATGTGTATTGTGTTATAATGTTTTTCTATAAAACATATATCATGTTTAGGTATTGTTTCTTGTCTTTGTATTGATTAAAATAATTAATTTTTTTTTTTAACTTTTAATTTTAAATTCAACCTAAATAATTTAATCTTAAAATCATTTCAAAGATTTATATATAAATAAAATTTTTTTATTTTGTTGATTCATATGATACACAAATTATTTACAATTCTACAATTCGTAAATACATTTTTAGATCTATTAAAAAGATTTTGTCGACATTAAATGCTTTGGAAAGAGTTAGTTAGGTATTCTTCACAGTATTCAATACTTCAATATATCAAATTATTATTATTACATCTGTGTAATAAATACTCCCTAATGCTCACTATCCCTATATAGTTAGTTAATTAAAAATAGTGTGTTAAGTTATTATATATATTCTCCCTCCTCCCATGAACAAAATTATACAGGGTCTTATGTAAGAATTAATTATAATACTTTATATTTGGAATGTGCAATACTAATAAATACCAACCTGTTAGTGACTCAATAAATCATTTTAAATTTTGGTCTATTGGTTAGCTCAATTTTTATTTTGCATTTAATATTGATTTTTTTTTTTTACTACAATAAAATTTTACAAACTATTAGTGTATAATTTACATAAATGACAAGTAAAAATTAAAAAAAAAAAAAAACTAATAAACATTGAACAATTTTTTTATAATTACTGGTTATTTCCAAAATATTATCTTAATTTATTTAACTGAAAATTTAAAACATATTTTGTACTTTTTTTTATTCTCTGTCACTATCAGACTGTAACTAGATCTTAATGTTAATAAATGTTTTATTTATGTTTGTACTACTTATATTATTTTTTTTTATAGTAAGTTTTCAAATACACATTTTATAAAATAATAATTTACTTATTTTAAATATAAAGTATTATTTTTTGTTAAAGCCATATATATATATATGTGTATGTGTTAATTTATGTGAAATTGTTATTCCTCTTTTATAATTTTTATATAAAAAATATTTTATACAATAATCAAAACATGTATTTTTATTATTTTGTTTTTTAATTACCTAGGAATGTACCAGTGTTGGGAAATTTACTTTTAAAAAGAAAATTATTCCTGTTCCTTGTTCCTTAAAAAAAGGAATTTGTTTAAGTGATCTTTTTTTTATGAATACTCATATTATTACATATTTGTAAAATAAGATACCGAGAACAGTTGCAGCTACTGTTAAAATTACTACTAAAAAACTACTAAAATTAGAAACTATTTTTACTTCTTAAAATCTACATGTTTAAAATCTTATTACTTGAAAGGTTAATGAAAATGTATTACTTGTAAAATTGTAAATTTGACATTTATCATTATCAAATAGATTATATTGTTTGTTACCATTTTAAACCATTATCACGCGATACCGTTTATATCACGCTTATATATAACTAAATTAATAACTCACACCAACACTATACAATTTCTAAACAATATTAACACTTAAATAATATTTCATTTTTTTTTCCTAATAGAAAGAACAGAAATTTGCATTCATGTTCCACATAAATGGAAACTCTTTCCCAGGTCCTCATTCCTATATTTGAAAAGGACATTTTTTTTCTTTACTGATTCAATAATAAATAAATTAAGTAGTTATTTATATTACATGTATACATTTAATATATAGTTAATATTTAATTAATATACATTTATATATATTGACCTGCCAAACTCACAAGTTATAATATCATAATAGTTCACAAAATGGAAACTTGCTTTAAATCCTACTCAGTGATGGTGCTAAGCACAAAACATGGCCCACCTTTAAAACTATTGGCCCACTATCTCATATTTCTGCATTTTTATTTGAATGTATTAAAATGTTTAAAAATGCATACTAGCCTATGATACGTACTACATGCACTAAACAGATAGGATGGTAAGTTATAAAAGAAGAGAGTCATCATATAAATAATTGTTTAACTAAACTGAAATCCTTTATACAAAATTTAATATTAATATTCTTTGTTAAAAAAAAATTCAAAATGTAAAAAAGTACCTTCATACTTGGTTAAATACTTAAATATATATTTGATGAGAAAAAATATGTACAAATAATTTTTAATGTCTGAAAATGAATTTTTTACTCGTATATTACATCGTAGATAAAGTCATAGATGAACTGTATAGAAGATGTATTAGTCTATCAGGTATTTTAATTGGTATATAGGTTCATTAGAGCTACAATCATAATCATTTTTAAATTATTTCTTTTTTATTTTATACCAGTTTTCTACCAGAAATTTATACTAAATTATAGAAAGAGTTTCCTCAAAATGACTAAGCCTTTAGATAAACCTCCTAAAAAAGTATAAAAAGAAAAATGGAAACTCTTTCTATTTACAGATAAAAATAAACTGGAGATTTAACCAATGGAATCCCTGTCACCAGGAAATGAACTTTACTGGTCAACCTGGAGATCCCTAAACAGATTCAGAGTGGAAGTAGGCAGATCCAAAGATAAACTAAAAAAATGTGATATCCTGAAGGACAACTCTACAGCATGAGAGTGTAGTATTAAACAAGACATGGTACACCATCTGAACATCAAAATTTGCCCATCCTCCTATTCGATGGAAGACTTACTAGCAGCAACACCAAATGTAATCAAAGTGTCAAGATTCTGATCTAGGATAATCTAACACAAACACTATACCAATTACATTGGCAAATAAGTTACCCTAACTCATTAACTGTATCAATTTATATCTATATAACCTTACATTATATTTAAGACTAATTTTACATTATCAATTCTATATTTTATATTTTATTTTGTTTTTATTTCAACTGTATATCATCGTTGACTTTCATTGACTTTATTATAGTTTAATAACACAAAAAAAACTTGTGAACTTATTTTCTTTATTTTATATTTAATTGATTAGTAAGAGATTTGTATTCAGATATTCCAAACAATTTTCATAGTAATTCAGAAAAACCAGTACATAAACGTTTACAGCTTTTAGCGTTTAGAAAGTTTACAGCATTAATAGTTTCATTATTTTCTATTTTGGTATTTTGTTGTAAATTGGTTACAAATTATCTCTGAGGTAACATTTTCATAGACAATGGACGTTTCTCTAGTACATAATCATTAGTATTTTTGGAAATAAATTTAAGTTTTAAAATTTTCAAAGGTTATAAATACAATAAAACTACTATATTCATTGCTTGATTTGGAAGAGGGAGTCCTGCTTCTTTTTCTTTTTTTTCTATGAAACGGCACGCTATAAACACAACATTTACTTATGAACTTGTAAATCATTAGTTTTTCTGATACAAAATATATCTATAATATTTGTACTTACTTTGGAAAAAAAAAATTATTTTCATGAAATACAGTGATAAGAAATTGTATTATGCACACGACTAAAGATGAAAAGGTATATCTTTAATCGTAATTATGCATTACAAAACAAAATCGATAGGTAGAATCTTTGACCACATACCATTAAGGTTAATGTTAATGATACCGCTCATAGGCTTCAAAAAATTACATTGATTACCAGCCGATGAAAAGTGATAACAAAAAATCAAAAAACTGAAAAATAACTGTCAACACTCATTGGTCACCTATGATAGCCTGTGTATAATAAAACTATAATAGTAAAATAAATGGTTTAAGTCGTTTAAGGTTTTTCGTTAGTTGTTATTTTAAATAACTAAAAATATCAATAACTCCGTTGAACAAAGTTAATATTGTTCTGGTGTGATGGATGGCTAGAGAGGGTGTTGGGACGAAGCCCCCCACAGTAATGTGAGTGTTAATTTTGTCTGGAACACTTGTCATCCAATATCCACTCAGTCCCCCTTCTAGTTTTTTTTCCAAATAAAGCACTGACTATATTATTATAAAAGTCTGAGTAATATTTCCAGTATAATGGTTGTTCACGGACAAAAAATAATCACATTCTAGTAAAATCCATAATATAATAACCACCTAATATACAGTCTAGCTCAGGATTTAATAGATAAATAGGAGCGTTTTTCGAACGCCGATTTGAATTTTTTTTGGGGGGGAATTTTGAATTTTAACTCGCTTAAAACGCAACCGCCCTATTGTTCAATTGTAAAAAAATGAATTAGCAGTAATGGATTGGTAAAAAAATCGTGAATTTTCAAGTATTAAAAACAAATTCAGAACCCGCAGAATTTGTCCCCGGATATGTCCCTGCAGGCGTACGCGTAATGTTTTACTTCTTCCCTTTACCTTACCCTCTGTGCCACTGTACCGCGTCACGTGGCCGACCACCCTTCGGCTGCAACTCGCTTATTGATCCACCACCGTCCGCTCGTGCGCAGTCAACGCCGTCCCGGGTCCGGTCATCGCACAGACGCACTCGGCCACAGTGTTCACCGCGATCTTCTATTCGGCAGACGGGCCGCTCAGTGTTCGGTCGAGTACATTACCATTTGCGATAGGCGACAATTATATTGAAAATATCTGCACGTTTTTGTCGCACGGCCGTGCGGGTAGCGAACGAGTAACAGTTTATGCGCGCGCGCGCGTGTGTGTCGTCTGTCAACTGCCGTACCGGTTACGGTTCATTGTGTAGGTAAGTACCCATTACCTATACGGCTGTTCCTGGCCATGCCAACTCGTTTCGTTATTCGTTATTACTCGAACAGAATAATAGTGGATGGCCTGCCGTTTAGCCGTTTTAGAAAAAAAAAAAAAACCACAGTCTTTTGCATTCCGATTACTGGATTGTTATTATTTCTAGCGTGTTTATGTGCAACTACTCGTTAGGTAAAAGGTGCGCAATTGCAATTGATATTACGACGAATTTTAAATTGCTATGGAAAACGAAAAACAAAATATCAGTAATCTCTAACACAGAAAAAAAAAAATATATCATAATTGACGCAGGGAAAAATGTCAAGGGGGAAAAAGATTGAAAAAACAAGAATGAATATACCTGCCGATAGTTTTTAATAATTGTCAGATTGAAATTTTTGATTCCATAATTTTCGGTGAGCGGGGTAAACCCCCAGGATCCCGATCTGCGTCCACCGCTAGTATAACCTTAATAAACTGCAAATAGTACAGTGTAATATACATATTTACATAATTGATAATCTTAATCTGCAGTAGCTATAATCTATCTATTAGGTACCCGCTACTTACCGATGTATAGATAATACCTATTAGGTATATATTATAATGAAACTAGATGTACATACATACATATAATAATATTGTCGTGTTAATTGTTAATCCGAAATAAAATGAAAAATTGCGTTGTTAAACGTGTTATATACAGTAGTATAGGTTTCTAGTGTGATATTAGAGTAATTATTAGATTATAATTCAATCAAAAACCCTGCTGTGGCCGCAGGACCGGCTTAAAAAGTATCGATGCTCTCTGCAGACATTTTTGCGGGGCTATCTAGCTATCTAGATTGCGACTAAACATGGTGTCTTTAAAAGTGTGGGTCTCTGTACGAATGCATAGCTTGGACTGCCTTCAAGCCGTCCCTGACTGTAGGTAGTAATAGAGCAATCATTTGGCACTAACTTAAAAGAACGAGGAATATATTTCGGTTTTACATAGTATCATTTTTGTGGTAACTTATTTTTGTTCATACCTAATGGGTAATTTTTTTGAATAATTAATAAAAACAGATGAAAAACGAAAATATTTACCGCAACATCATTTCTGGTCAAAATCGTTTTTGTTGTTGTAGGTAATCCAGTATAAAATAATTATAGAGATCTGACATTTTCACCAAAAATACATTTATTTATACCTATATACCTATTAGCATTTTCTAGACAATAGGTACCTACCTAAAGGCTTTAATTTTAGGAAAATTTTGCCTGTTTCGTTTTTTTTTTTTGACACTACTTACTTAAAATTGTTTAGATTTTTTTCGATTTATGTAAATAAAATTGTTTCGACTTTTTGAGTTTTAACTAGTTTTAAGCAAAATAATTTTTGTCGAGTATACATAAGTGATTAATTAAATCGATCATATAACAAAATTTCGTATTTTTTATACCTACCAGGTATTAACTTACTGAATAAGTAATTGACTAGGTATCTATCTAATAATATTCTTATAAATTACTGTCCTTATAAAATATTGATAAATAATAAATACTGTCCCATGTCCTAATAACAATTGCAAGATAAACAAGTACCCGTGGTTAGGTAGGTACTTGATAAACGTAGATATTAAATACCAAACTTATTTAAAATATATCCATAAGCAATAAACATCTGAATGACTATTAAAATAGTTATTTTACCTACCTACCTATTAAACATGTTAGACGTTAAACGTTGTGACGTTAGTATTGGTACCTACTTAATTACAAAACAGTTAAATATTTATCATAACCAAATATTCATACAACATTATTTTCTTGAACATTTTTAAAATTCCTATTTAAGTCATCTATGAATTTATTTTTACTTGATCATTAGTTGAATAATTAGCTACTATTTTACTTCTATACAAAAAAAAAAAAATATAATAATATATAAATTCTATCACTGAAAGACAATTTTATTGCGATTGTCTCTTATTTCTGCAGTATAAGCAAATAGATCTTATCGGCTGTTATTAGATATAACTTGTTTGCGAGCTCAAATCGGCTCTGAAAATTCTTAGCAGCTATGAAACAGAGACAGTGTAGTAATGTCGAAAAGGTATTCACGTATAATATTATTATAGCCTTTGCCAGATAGCTGTTTTACCCCGACAAATGTCCGCCAAAGCAGCTAAAACTCCAAGTCAACAAGTTTTGTTTAAAAATAGTAGGTAGGTAATTGACCTAGGTACCTACCAACATTTATTGTTTTAGCCATGGAAACATATATTATAGTTCTTCTGTGTAGATACTGTTATGGTATTGATATATACGTAGTTTGAATAATTGTACAAGTTTAAAAAATAGGTAAAAAAAAAAAGTATAAGTAAGTACCTACCTACAGATACCTATTGAATAATTATTTTTATCATGATGAAGTCGTAGATCTGCAAATACTTTTAGTCCATTTGATCAATTTTTCCTGTTAATAATATTTATTCATTGTTGTGTTTTCTACGACTTATTCAATAGGTATCTGTAGGTAGGTACTTACTTACACTTTTTTCTTTAACCTACTTTTTAAACTTAAACAATTATTCAAACTACGTATATATTAATATCATAACAGTATCTACACAAAGAAACTATAATATATTTCCATGGTTAAAACAATAGATGTTACTAGGTCAATTACCTACCCACTATTTTTAAATAAAACTTGGTTGATTTGGGGTTTTGACTGCTTTGGCGGACAAAGCAACAGTATTAAGCGAACTCCGCTCACAATCGTTTTTCGTTAACAATGATTAATCATTGCGTACAAATAGGTATACATTAAATAATTTCCCCTCTAACTTCCCAACTTCTCACCTACAACAGTGGCTCACCCAAGTGCGAAGTGTGTCAGTCTTTTTTAATTATATTTATTTAAACTTTCATCAGAAATAATATCTTTAAAGATATCAAAAAGTACTAAACAAAATAATTAATAGGTATAAGGAAGGTGATAAAAGCTTTTTTCGCTTTAAAAAGTGTGATCTTTTTTAAAATCAAATAATGTGATGATAGAAATACAAAGTATATAATTTAAAGGTATTGACATAACACCATAGCGAGATATATCACTTGAGAGAAATCAATTTGGAGTGGCCTTTCGTCGTAGTTTTTATCAAATTAATTCGAATTAAATACATATTAAATACCTAAACGTCCGTATCAGTTTTATTCGAAACAATAATATTCGGAATATTATGTTCGTTGTATAATATGGATCGTAGCAGCTGTAGTTATGGCAACCCAAGATATCCATGGATAATAAAGAAATCTTTATTTTTCATGCCCATTGTCTTTACCGCACATAGTATACTTAATATTGATAAGAGATAACAATTGTTGTAATACAGGTGGTCAATGGTTACCGACTTGCGTAACTTTTGACAACCGTGCTTTGGAAGTTTCGACCAAACGTTTCGAAACGTTTCACTATTCGTTCGATTTGGTTGTATTGGTAAATTGTAATTTTTATCATTGATTTTTGTACCCATCTCCGCAGTAGTAGTAGTTGTAAACCGAATTTCTGTTTGTGTATTAATGTAGGTAACTATTATTTATTTTATACGTTGTGATGATATTACATAGCTTCTCATTTCTTTTAATATTATTAATTTATTATAAGAAACATTGACACTTATGGTGTAGGCATTCAGAACAAGTATGTATTCATTTATGTTTGTATTTTTCGGTAATTATAATAGGCTTGTGGCAATGGAACATTTGAAATATTTCTTTATAAGGTTTTTGAGTAATTATAAAACTACTCAATGTCTATATCTATTCTATTTGCCTGCCGTCTGTAAACTGTTTACAATGTGTAAGCGCGAATGCCTATCAATCAAATGTTGAAATATAATTTGAACTTTGTGATTGATATAATTATATAAAATAGTTAGGGCGTCTTCTTGCTATTTGAAACTAATTTAAATAATATTCACATAGGGATTAAAAATCGTTGTTTTACTGTGTTAATCTCCGATTTTGATATTTTTCTTGCTACCTATATGATATTATTATTTTTGATAAGTATCCTCACAGATAAATGATTTTGTTATTTGTTTAATTTTATTAGTATTTACCAATTCAAAATAATTGTATTATTAAATTGTCTGTAAAGAGCTACACTTAAACTTGTTGATCACTCATTAAAATAAATAAATGATTTATATTAAAACCATTTTTATACCTAATGTTAATAGGCTTTTAGATCTAAATTAAATCTACCGGCAAACAATTTTTTTTTTTCATTAAATATCCCGAGCTAAAAAATGTTTATTGCGTTTCAAGCTATTCTGGTCATCTGGAGCAAATATACATACAGGTACAGATATGCATAGGTGAATCTAGAAATTAGATAAGGAATAGCTAAACAAATTAAAATGTATTTTTAGTACAAGTTAAATTTATATAAGTACTGTTTTTAAAGTACCTTCATGCTAAGTAAGATGATTTAGTCCGCATATCTCACTTTTCATTTGTCTCTGCAGCTAATCAGTAAGCATATTATTTATGCTTACTTTATATTATTTTATAATGAACATTGGGAATTATGGAAATACCTGCATGTATAATGTAATATGGATTAGGTTTCTTAGAGTAAAACAACATGTGCATTGTATTGAACTAGATCCCAGGTTGCCTGGAAATTTCCGGGTAGGCCTCTATATAAATTAACTAGAAACATCTGGCAAGGTCAGGTGATGTAAATGAATAACGAGAGTAAATGATTAATCTAGTTTAGTGCAATAAAAGATATGATTTATTAGTTTTATTAAGCTGTAAAATAGGGCTCATGATGCCTTTAATAAGCCATCAAGGATTACAGCAGATTATTTAGGGGCATATATAATTTGTCAATAAGTTGTCATAAGCTGCAAAAGATTATCAGCTAACTGAGCTATTAGTGAGGACCCTTTCAAGGGAAAGTATTTGCAATAGAAAGTGATGAAGTAAAATGGGGCTATTATGGATTGCGTAGAATACATTTTTCTCATGCTATTTTTTTAAGATAGTCCTACATTGAATGTATACTCTTTTATTTAGCTATAATATCACACTTAAGAAAAAAAATTTCCCTGTCAATAAAGGTGTATTCATAATATATCAATTAATTACTGTTACATTAACATTAATACTATTTTTTATGCTATCATTTGCAATCTAAAATTTTGTTTAATTTAGTATGTATTTGACTAAAAGGAATCCTGATTATATTTAGAACACCATCACTATCATATTGTTTTAATTGTTTCTTGAAAAACTTACTGTTTTAAGGTTTGTGTTAGGTTTTGTTGGGTATTATCCAATAATATATCAGTTGTTTAATAGAAACATTTTTCTGAAACCCGAATTTGTAGTAAATATCCAACATGAAAGAGATGCTCGGTGGATGCAGTGTATGTTGTGATGATACTGGATGGACTGAAAACCCCTTGGTGTATTGTGATGGGCCTAATTGTAACGTTGCTGTACATCAAGGTAAGTTTGCTGTTTTAAGCACAGTAGTTGTCTCATTAAATTATTTCGTGATTCCTAGTACTTTTAAATGTCAATTTTTAGTAAATTTAAAAAAAGTATTATTTAATTTGTTAAAAATCTTAAAATAGCTTGTTATGGAATTCGGACTGTGCCAAAAGGTGAATGGTTTTGCAGGAAATGTGAAGCATTTAAAGAAAAATCTATTAAAGTGGTTCGTTTAAAAACTTGAGTGATTTTTAACATTCTCCTTTTAGAGTGTAAGAAACTTATGGCATTAATTTCAGAAATGTGAACTGTGTCCATCTAAAGATGGTGCTCTAAAACCTACTGAAAATGGTAACTGGGCTCATGTTGTGTGTGCGTTGTATATACCAGAAGTTACATTTATGGATGTTACTACTATGGAGCCAGTAAAATTGAGTGCAATACCTCGTGATCGCTTTAACAGAGTAAATAATTTTACCAAGTATCAATTATTTTGGTCTTAGTAGGGCTTGAACATTTAGTTTTCAATTATTATATAGTTTCAAAAAGAAATTATTATAATTTTTTTTTTTATTTACCTATAGTAGTTCAGCATTATTTAGTTTATTGCAGATGTTTGCATTTAGTTACAAAGACATTAAAATACACATGCATGTTAAGAATGATTAAAATTTTTTATTTCTTTAATTAAAAATTAAGCACTTAATAAGCAAATAAAATATTTTTTATAAATATAAAAAATATTATTTGGAATACAAATTTGTTTTAAATATATTATAATAATAATTTAATACAAGAAATATTTGAACTACTTAGTTTTTAATATGCATATTAATATTAGGTACCTATATTAACTTGTGGGAACCCTTGAATATATATAAAATAAGAATTATTATAATAAATAAAGGTTTTTGATTAATCATTTGAAATTATGATTAAAGTTAAATAATAAATAATAAACATACTTAATGGCTTAATGGTATTTTAGTTTATTATTGTAGACAGTTTTTGCATGGCACTTTGCTTAATATTTCACAATTCCAACTTTGGTTTATTTATTGGTGTTAGCATCTGTTTTTTAAATTATTATTTTTGAACATTGGACATACTTAATCTTCTGTTTCAAGCCCTTGTTTTATTTAATTAGTATAGCTAATTTTTCTAGAAACTAATATAGGTATTTTAATTTTGTTATACAACCACAAGAATGTACAAGGTGACTTTTTAAGCATGCTCATCGTATTTTTATTGTTAAATTGTGTATATATTAAAATTATGATTTTTGGAATTTTTAAGTGTAGTTAAAGACAATATATTCGAATATTTAAATATTTCATAACATTTAAGGAATATCCTTTGGGATACCAACTACGTTTTTTTAAAATAAACCTTTATGCTTAAATGCAAATTGTACATAAATTAAATGATTTTTCTGGAATATTTGATTTATTGTCATCAAAATTTAAATGAAAAGTTTCTAAGTTCTACTTTAAATACTAAGAATAATATTGTATTAATTACATTTTAAATGGATACAAGTTTAATAATAATAGTTATGTAATATAAAATATTTGTTAATAATATTTGTTATTACTTAGTCAAATAAATAGGCTTAAACAATTTTTAATATTACAAAATGCTTATGTATTAATATTGAACTTAATAATTTTCAAAAAAAAAGTTAATATTCTTTCTTAATATTTAATGTAGAATCACTCGGACAATTTTTGTTTTAATTTTGATTTCAATAAGTTCACACTTTCAGAAAAATCATCAGATTTAAAATGTGTATTAAAATATATAGGTTTCATTTAAAAAATTAAACGTGGTATTACCACAGGATATTTCTTAAATGTTGTAAAAAATCAAAATGTTCTCAAATATCATTTTGGGTACACTTAATGCATTAATTGGTTACTGATGCCAATTAGTGTCATAAATGCATCAATAGCAATGTATTTGTTGTCATTTAGCATTCAATATACAAATTATGTGAATAGTTAAGTATTGCTTGTGCATTGCTGAATAATATTTGTTTATTAATTAGCATAATTAAAAAGTTATGTACACACTGGAGTGAAAACTGCAAAAAGACACACAGTCAACATATTAGAAATTACAAAAATCAGGATTTGAATACATACATAATTAAATGATAAAAATGGGTGAACATACTTAAAAAATCACCCTGTTAAGTTTATTCAATATGTGTGTACATTATTAATAGGTATTTGCAAATTATTTATTAGGTTTATTTGTTTTAAGGTGTGTTATATATGTGAAGAAAAAAATAAAGGGACAAAAGTAACGACATATGGTGCATGTATGTCATGTAACAAATCTGGTTGCAAATTAGGATTTCATGTGACATGTGCTCAAAATGCTGGTTTATTGTGTGAAGAAGCAGGAAATTATTATGATAATGTTAAATATGTAGGATATTGTAAGCACCATTACTCCAAGTTGGTTAGTATTATTATTTTAAAAATTAATTCAAATCAGAATATACTTGTTGTGCTATTCATATTTGACAAATATTTTTAGAAAAAAAGCAACAGTATTAAACCCATTGCTCCATATCGACCTCAAAACCAATCAGAGAATTCATCATCTGATTTTACTCCAGAAAAAGAACCACCAATAAACGTACATATAGACTCACAAAATTCAAAACCAAAAAGAAAGTTGACCATCATTAACAATTTTGGTAAGAAATAATTAGACTATATTTTTAAAATTCTGAGTTGAGTTGGAAGTTGTTAATTCTAAATTGTGATTTGTTTTCACTAACACTTTTGAGAAGTAATTAGCAATCAAAATTATTCTGGTAGAAGTATTCATAAAAAGAAAATTAACCAATGATAATACCAATTACTTTACTCAATTTTTTTTAAATTTCAAAATACCTTAACAATTTGTTAAAACATGTATAAGCGAGAAAATAAATAAACTCATTTACAAAATAAAGTTATTTTGATTACTTGTACAATTCAGAAAATAATCCTTCTAAATGGTTGAAATTTTAACCAATATTCTGATAAAAAAATTACACAATTGATAAATTTAATATATATTTTATAAAACCTTATAATTTAAAATAATAATTATAGTCAATATTTAAACATGGACAATTTTTATTCATGGTTAATACTGTAATGTGAAATGTATTTATTTTTTAAACACATTCAATCATTAATAGTTTAATGCACTTCCTTTAAACCAAATTCTGCTATGATAATTAATTTTTAATACTGTAAAAATTATTTATTATGTATACCTATTATTTATGTAAAAATTTAATTTTCTTTATATATATATATAGTTTTGCTGATAATCATGATAATTTAAATTAAGATTATTTTTAATTTATAATCCATAACTCACACCCGTTAGGTGATAAATTTGTTAATAATAAAAAAATTAAAGATACTGCAAGTCGCAACACGCTAACTGGAGATCAAAGAAAAACAGGACCACATATTGTAACTACGCACCCATCTGGAAATTTAGTCATTTCAATTGGGACAAAAACTGAAAATAAGTCATGTACTAGTAAGAAACAGTGTTTTGATGATTCTGAAACAGAAGTAAAACACACAGCAAGATATCATAAATCTAAGAATGCAATGAGTATTGTCAAGTCTGAAGATGACCAAAGCTCAAATGACTTAAAAGTAATCGAAGAACCAAATTTACATCATGTTGAAAACAAAAGTACCATAATACAATCAAGTTAGTATAATTTAATATTTTTAGTCATTTAGAGTATAAATATAATATGAAATATATAGTATGCCAGGACTGAATTTTTCATTCAATATTTTTCGAAAAAGAAGAAGAAAATACTCATGTAAAAAGATAGTTTTAGTATTCACATTTTTAAAAATATTTATCATCAGATTTAAAGTAAAATAAAAATCATCCAAATCAATGATAAAATTGACTTAACAAAGAAAACATGTATGTATTCAAATACATTTTTTGATCCTATACAAAAAATCCGAGCTAAATTTAAAAAAAAAATGCAACTTATATTGTATATACATACAATGAAAGGGTTAAAACTTAAAATCTAATCAAAATGTGTTTTTAAGTATTTTCCTTAAATTCCTCAAAACCACATGCTACTGGACAAAAATATTTTGCATTACCTTTAAAAAGATACATTTAGAATTCTGTACTTTAGAAGTATTAATAATTTATGCTCATTCTTATAAATACATTTAACATGATAAGTTATGATTACTTGTACTTTATTTCAGGTGGTCAAGCAATAAATTTATCTCAAATGACAGATACAAATGCATTGAAAAAAGAAACCAGTGTAATTAATTCTCCTTCATATAATAAACATGTTACTAAAACAGAATCCATTGATAAAAATATGTAAGTCTAAATAACATTTTGGTTTTTTTTTTTTTTTTTTTATGAAAAGTTACATTATATAATATGAATTTAGATATAAAAATGGTGCTAATGCTCCTCACATGTTGGGAAATTCATTGAATCCATCATCTAGTATGGCACAAACAATGGCAGATACTTTAAACGAGGAAATTGAAACACATAAAATGTTTAATAATGAAGCCTGTTCATTAAACAGTGCCCAAAAAAACATGTTTGCAGGTCCACAGATACACCGAAGGAATCCAAGGTCTTCTCAAAATCAACAGGTCTGCACATTAAATATTTAGTTAAGGTGGTCACACATTAAGCCCTTGGCAACTCTCAAATTTGAAGGGAAAATTATTATGATTATAATTTTATATCAGTAATTACATAGCTTTGAAAAATCAATGAATTCTTATTTAAATGTAATTATTATTTTAATTAATTTTGTTACATTTTTGATAAAAATGTCTTGAAGCATGTCTGAATGGACAATATCAAGTATTTTATTATCCGTTTGATGTTATCATATTTCCTTTGTATATTTTGTGCCTGACAGTTGATATCTTTATAGTGTATATAAAAATATAAATACAGTTTCTGATACCATTAGTCACACATATCTAAAGCTACATTGAAAATTCTTTATGTTAAACTTCTTTTATATTTTGTTATGTATATATTGACAAACAAATTTTGTAACTAATTCAACAGGAGACATCTCAGGCCCAAGCATCAGGTCCATCATGGTCTTCATTTACAAATGGAATTAACAGCAATAGCAATCAAGCCTTAGAAGATTTGCTTGAAAGACAATGGGAGCAAGGTGGAGCATTTTTGATGGAACAAGCTCAACATTTTGACAGTAAAATATTTTTTAATATTACAAATTATTTTTATTAAAATATTGATTTTTAATATAGTTGCATCATTGTTAACTTGCTTATATCAGTTGAAGAGTGAAAATGTTAACTTGGAAGAGGAACTAGATGGTTATACAAGACGTCGTGATCATTTATTAGCTGTTAATGCACGACTTGCAATTCCACTTGCACCTCAAAGTAACTATTCCTTGTATAATAAGTGTATCATTTTACTTAATTATTTGTTGTACATTTTAAGTTAATAGAAATCAACCACAATGTCCTCCTACTACAACTATGAACCACCCTGAACCTCCTGTTCCAATTCAACCACCAATGCCAAATTATCAACCTAATTTAGGAAATATTGATTCTTCATTGCAACATAGGTATCAAAATCATTCAATGTTCAACAGGTATACAACTTTATTATAATTTTAATATTTTACCTGATTTTAAATTTAAAAAAATAATTAATTTCCAGACACCCAGGACATCATTTTCCAAATAATGTACCTTCCCAAGTAGTCAACCGTGGGAGTGTTGCCCAAGAGCCAAGACTAGACAACAGAAGACAAGTTCACCAAAATCTGGGAGTATTAAATCCTAATCCAATGTACCAAGCTACTGCACAACAATCGCATGACTTATCTGTAAATATTTTAATAAATTTATATAATTATTATTAAAACATATTTATACATTAAATGTGTTCTCATAGTTGCCACATCATCAAATGGGCACAGATGGCCAACCAAAGCATAGTTGAGAACACGCTAATTGTTCATGTTCTCAGTGCACTTCACTTTTAGCTGATTATGTCCTGGAACATATAACATAAAAATTAATTAAATGTTCATATTCTAAAATTAATTTTAAATTATTCTATAATTCTGGTTGAAAACATGTTTAAAATTGCAATGTAAATTATTCAGGATCACTATTTTATTATATTAATTATGTATTATGTATTAAACCTTAAATATTATTTATTTATCAACTACAAAGTTCTACAAAAAAAAAAATTAAAAATATAGTTGTTGAATGTTATATTGATTAAAACATTGTATTACTTGCCTTTAATGTTATGTATTTAAGTATTATACATATTACTATAATTTATAAAGGATTGTAAACTAACTCATTTTTTTAACATTATAAAAATGTGTGTGGTTTAGATTTATACAATTGTTTGCAAATGTTGGGTTAATAATATTTTTTAGTGACACTAAATATTTTGGCCAAATAACTTTGGATTTGAATTTGGTTTCTAGGAGGTGATGGGGAGTACAAAATACTAATTTTAGGATACATTGTATAAATAAATTACTTTTTTTTTTTAATATGTACACCTATTTTAAATATCAGATTCTAAAAGTTTTATTTTTTCTAAATTGTCTGAAATATAGGTACCTAGTTAAATAAAGCTATGATTTTCTCTAAATTTTTCAAATTATTTAAAACATGACTTAAAATGTGAAGAAATTGAACTACTGTTTTATAATAAAAATGATTACTTAAAATAATTATAAAACTATACATACATAAAAACATATTTACCTTTTTAATGTTAACTCAATCCTAAAAAATGTGTTTTCATTTGAATAAAGGAAGTTTTATTGCTATAGTTACAAATTTAAAATTTATCCTAAAATTAGTATTTCAGTACTTACTTTTTATTACCTTCTGAAAACCAAGTTTAAATTCAAGGTTATCCAATCATACATATTTAGTATTGTTTAAAAAAAATGATCAACTATTTTCTAAAAATAGTTTAAAATTTTTTTTTCAGTTTGTGTTAAAAATGACTAACTACTTTATAGATTAAATTTATTTGGTTTCTTAGTTAATGGTACATTTTTTAAATTTAATTAATGTATGTTATATTTAAACCTTTCTGATAGAGTAAAGAATGTCAATCATACAAAGTTGTAAAAAATACCTATTTTAAACCACTATTGGTATATTTAAAAGTGGACTGCCTTTACAACAAAAGAACAAATATTTTAGTTAACTTGTGAACAATGATTCAATTGTTTAAAAAATGTTCTGTGTTATATATTTGTGTATCATAACTAGTATATCACTTTTTATTTTGTTCATTATTATATTATCTATTTGTAAATAATCAATAGTAAAAAAAAAATAACATTATGATCTCTTTCATACATTTTAACTAAAATTTAGACTAGGGAAATGTTTGATATTATTTGTTTAACATTATTTAAAAACTAAATTATTAATTTATTAATAGTTCACAAATAACAGTAATCTTACTATATTTGTTTAAATAATCTAAGGATGGGTGAGCATGCATTTGCGTTGTAATTATAATACAATTGTGTGCGCTATATATTGTATGGCAAATGTGAGCAATGAGAATTATACTTAACTTCCTTGATTGTGTATGTATATAATGCATAGTTATAGTGTTTTATATTTAACATATAAAAATGTACAAGGCGGATAAATTTGAGGAAACAGCATTTCTTCAAAATAGAATACTATGCATGCTCAGGTGTGGATTCAGCTTAATGGTTTAAATTTCTTTAATTAAAATATATATGTATATATTATGTTGAATTCAAATTAATACTTTGACATTATATTTCAACATTTTGCCAAATAATAATGACATTAAGTATAAGTTACATTCACTGAATTATTTACATTTTTTTTTTAATATTAATATATTACATTTGTTCTTCACAGTTATTGTTAAACATTAAATCTAATACCATTGCTAAGTTAAATTATACTAAAACTAGATGTAATGTTTGTTGCTTTACTTAGCCATATTTAAACAAATGTTCGGTGTTTTATTATTATCATTACATGTTATACTTATAATATATTAAGTAGTTTTAGGTTTTAGGTTTTTTTTGTTTTTTGTTTTATCTTCTTTATTATCATTCAATTTATGAATTTGCTATTTTATTATCCATAATTAAATGTATTAGTGAACCTTTTTTTCATAGGCATTACAAATATTCAAACTATCATGTATTACTCTATTTTTATAAATGTATAAATCTGTACCTCAGAACCAGACTTAAGTCACATTATTTTTTCACAAAGAAACTAAAAAAGGGCATATTTTTTTCCATCTATCACGATTTATACTCATATAACCCTGGTAAAATTATAGGAGTATTTTTAACAGACTTCCATTATCATGGCTTGATGATGAATATGCAAAAAATGTAATAATCTAAATAATAATTTTTGGATCTAACTTTATTTGATTCTGAGGTACAGAAATGCAATGATTTTCTTCTCAATATTGTGTGTATTATATAAAAATTCAATAAATAAATAATTTGACAAGTGGATAATCACTTATCTTAATTTTCTTATCTCTCTATTATGGGAAGGATCTTCAAAACTATGGAGTATCTAGAAACTAAATTTACAACATTTTTAAAACAGACTATAAAAAGTATGAGTTTGAAGGAACTGAACAAGATGCCTATTGACAATAAACAGTAATGTAATAGGCGAAGTTAAGAGTTTTAAGTACCTACCTAGGATCTATTCTACAAAAGAACAGTGACTTTGAGATTATAGGAAACAGGATTATGTGGAGGGTAGCAGCAGTTGTTTTATGTATAAAAAAAATTCTAATAATACTTTTATTATTAAGTTAGTTCTACAAAATTGTAGTGAGATCCATTAGGTTATATGGCTTATAGCATTGGGTTGTGAATAGAAAAATAAAACGGTGAATGAATGTAGCAGAGATGGAATGCATAGGTGAATGAGAAGAGTGATGAGAGAAAATAGGATAAAGAATTAGTATAAAAGAAGGTAGCTTAGAATAGCTTGAGAATGCCAAGCAAGGAGAGGAATCTGAAACAGTAAAAATTGCAATGATAGAAAATTTAGGAGGAAAGAGAGGTAGAGGAAAATCGAAAAAAAGATAGTTGGACCCAATTGAAAATAATATAAGGACAGCTGGTGTATGCGAGGTTGAGAAATTCTAATTTCATCAAATTCCTTTTTAGCTGACATTTTAATTTGTGGACTCCTATTTTGCCAACAACCTTTTCTTTTGTTTTAACTTATCAGTGAAATATGTTGCTTATAGCTATGTGTGCTGCTTGTGACCACATCACTTCTATAATAGATACTACTACTTGGACCAAAAAGAAAATATAAATACCTAAAAATAAATTATTTTGTTTTTTTTTTTGAAAATAAATTAAAAATGGTTTTGGTTAAAATAATAACACATTCCTTAAAATTACCTATTTGATTAATTTTTAATCTTGCATATTATTGTTAAGAACTCTGTTCTTCACATGTAAAGTTTGTTAATTAAAAATTGAGAATTCTACACGATAAGATATGAAATCAGTCGTCGCATTATGTATACTCACGTTAAGGCCATTAATATGGGTGTGGTTAACCGATGACGTTCCCGTGCAATAACAGATGATACGTGTTCATGGGTCAAAGGGAAAACGTGTTTGGGTACGGACGACGTGCCACCAGTAGAAAACAGCGGCAGCGTCCACCACATAGGCCCCGATCGAGGCGACTACCATATATAGGGAGACCGTAATCATCACCAATGAGGACTTGAACTCAGTCAGGAGTTGAGACAGCTACATCACCACCGACGCACGAGAAGGAGGAGCATCGTCACCTCGACACCAACCCGTCCAGTTATTTCTTTAATGTATTTTTACTTAATAATTACAACTAAGTATTGACCCGAGTCTGGTGTCGCAGGTTCTTCACTTATAAATATAACTTGTCAACTGTGATTTGTTTAAATTCTAAAAAAAAACCATTCGTACAACTAATACACATGTACATCTTCCCATCGAAAGGCTGTGTTCAAACGGCCCGTAACATTATGTATAAGTACTTTATTTGGCTAAAAATACATAATTATAAAATGGATAAATAATACAAGTACTACAAATAAAATAAAATAAGTGTATAAATAAAAAATGTAGGTACACAAATAAAATAAATAAATGAATGCGTCCTCTGAAGTATTATGACAAATATATTACGTGACTGGTTTCGCATTAAAAATTCATCATCAGGTATATCACAGTCAAAATATAAAACGCGACTCTACTATATTAATTTTATTTATTTACGAGTATTAACCATTTTAATAATTTTGTTTTTATTCCCTGAATGGTTTAAATATTAAATTACTGACATGTTTTATAATAATCTAGCACGGCAGTGGTGGTACAGGATAAGTAAAAAAAAAGACGTTTTAGGATAATAGTGACGGGTACAGCCACTGTTATAGGTAATTTAATGTATTTCTGTTAGCAACAATAAACCATTGCTTACGGAAAAACAATCTGAGCGGAATTCAGTTTATAGAGATACATTGTCAATAATATATATGTCATATTATAGTAAAATAATTAAATAGGGTTTCTTTTTGAATATGACCTCTTTAAAGTACAAACTAGAGACAATTTCCTTGCAAGATTTCTAGGAGAAAAAATGTTTACAGTACAAAAGAGATAAACATCAATGTAAAACCAATACATTCTCCACTTCATTAAAAATTAAATGACGCTATAACAATTTATTTATTTTTGCGGCCTGAAGATATTTTGTACATACGTAAATTGCGGCCTGGGTATAATTCTGTATATATGCCTACCTAAATATTTTTTATCATGCGTAAATTAGGTTTAAGGCTTCTTTTGCAAAATCAATATTTTCCTTCTCATTTTTCAGACTTAGGAATGATTGGCAATATAATTGTATAAATATTGATATGATTAAAAATATTGATTTTGCTGATATTATTAAAATTAAAGTTTAAAGGGTCTGTAAAAATGTATATGATTAAAAAATGTATTATTAAAAATGTATGATTAAGAAATTGGTAAAAATTTGTTAGACAATTCCCGTACATATTCTAATCTAGTAATTTTTTTTGCTTGCAATTCAAACATTTTGTCATGTATACATTTTTCTTTTTCGGTCATTTTTTTGCTTTTTGTTCCCTGACTTCTCAATGTGATATATGTATCATATTGCATGTTTTTTAAAATGTTAATTAAATTGAATATATTTGGGTATAATGAACTGAATGAGCTATTTAATTTTTTATGAAATGATTCACAATTATTTGTTGTGCACATCGTTGAGGATACGAATTTGGCCCAATTTTGGAAACTCTGTATCGTTGGTTAAATATGTTTCTAATATGTAGTCAGTAAATTGTACTATCCTATTATTTTGTGGTTGCAATGCCATTATATCATACGCAAAACAATCTACAACCATATCATGACTTAAAAAAGGAAGTCCAAAAAATAATTAAAAAAAATTACTTATATCGGTATTATTGGTTTGGTAATCATTAATTAACCCCAGCTGCTGTATTTTCCTGTACCAACCGATAAAAATTACCCATATTTTATTCCGCAAGTCATACATTTTTCGGGAGATGATACTGCGCAATATATACATAAAAAAAAAAACTAATGACATTTTTATTAACACAAAATATATGTATTATAATAACAAAATATATTTTTTTTTAATTTAAAGGGTAGCTACCTAAATAGAAATCATAAGCATATGTAGTGTTTCTATTTTGAAAATGTATATGAACAAAACATAATGAAGCGAGAAGGACAAACGGATGAGTTTTCTTTAAAATTAGACTTTTACTGTCGCTGACAATCGTGTCATAATTATATTCACTGCATATAATTCTTTGAGTTAGATATAATCAACATTTTCTGGTGCAATTATTCAGGAATAGAAAAATTCTAAGTCTTTAGGGAAGTTGAATCGACTTTTAAATCATTCTTTCGAAATTTTAGGTAAGCCACTTTAGTTACTATACTTCATATGGACAGTCAACTTTTGCAGACGTTTGTAAGCTAAACAGGATCGCGCCTTCTGACATGAGTGGCGGATAGTTCATCCCGAAAATACCGTTGGACGAGTTTACGCATCAAGAATGTAAAATCTTTACTAGTGTACGGTGTCATTTGAAACCTTTTGGACGATATCATGTGGGCTATACCGATCAGTGCGGCCTTTAAACGTTTGACCAGGCATAGGAACGTTGCTACGATACAAAATACCGATGGTATGAGGTTTAGCGGTGGCGGTAGTTCGGTGTTCACAGAAAAAGATAAGAACACTTGTGTTCTGCCGAAAACCCATTCTATGTACGTGTTTCCCGAGAACCTGTTGAACGCATTGGTCATGGTGCCTCTCAGCATGTTCACCATGATTACAAGAGCGACGATTTCGAACATAGTGTACAGTAACGTGCCCACGGCCTGGGTAAAATAATGATTGTTGGCCAGCTCTTTATTACTGCAGTCGTCGTCGTCGTCGTCGTTTTCCACGGTCTCAATCACCACCGAGCCGGCAGTCGACGATGTCATACGAAATATGCCCCAGAAGAGGACTTTCAACGTCGAGTAAGTGTTTACGAACGCATCGTCCTGTTTGACTTCGAATCGGGTGACCGGGTCGATTCTGGTCATGCCTCCGTAGTACTGATAAAATCGGCACAGACCGGCGGTGAACGCCAATATAATTACACCGTGCAGTACAGCGAACCGTTCAAAGTAGGTTATCATCTTACGCAGGCACACATACATAGGGCCCAGGGTGTAATTTAGCTGGTACAGGAACATCAGCTGCAAGTACGACATCACCGTGGCCACGGCCAGCAGACCCTCGGCGACCAAGACCGGGTCCAACGATCGCCAATATTTCCGTTCTATCGGTTTTCCAACGTAGTTATTGCTGTCGTGGTCGGTCGTCCGCGCGAACGTACTTGTGTACAGCAACCACCAATAAATTAAGGTTGTGATAAGTATGATCAACTGCACGCAATTGTAAACGTTCCACGGCATACTGAAGTAAAGTTTCGGCCCTTGTACTAAAATATGATTCACCGCGCGGATTGTAAAGGACACCACGTAAAGGACTAAGATAAGTTTCGAAATCCAACACAGGCTGTCTCCCGTAAACTTAATCTTGTTGAAATTATTTTCATACGTGAGTACCGTCAAAAATACTGAGTACGACGCCAAATAGTTAAGCATCTGATTCACGGGCAACATGTAATGTTGGGTCCACTTAGAATACGGCATGAATATATACAAAAACACTATTAACGGCAATACGAATATCCGCAAGAACACTAAGCAACATTTAAGTTTCAATCCATATCGCCTCCATGCGTACCAGTCGCCGGCCCAAACCGTTTCCAATGTCTGCTGCACGTACGCGTGGGCCACGAACTCCTTTTGTTTTAAATCCACAGCCATCACCAGTCTGTGGTACGGAAATGAACCAAAAATATTACACCCCTCTTGTTGAGTTAATACCAGTTCCACCTCGGTGGACGATCGACACAGGCCAATCATGCGGACGGCAAACATCCTAGTCTGAAAATCCAGCGATTTGTAATCAGACTTGAATACGTGGTCTACGTTGCCGTGTTTCCGGAGCCTATTGCTTAGCTGGAAAGCTGTTAATATTGGGTCTTTCGACGTCAACGAAATATACGTAGGGTCGGTCAGAGCTCGGAACACCGAGAGTTTCAGTTCCGTTGCTCCGAGTCCGTTATTGAGCCGGGTCGACGATTTGCATACCTATATTGTGTTAACAGACAAGAGCCGAGATTACACCATGACAAATTAAATATCGCGCTAGCCCAACCCAAGTTATAACTAACTTCTTTACAAAAGCACTGTGGTTCGTGGGGCGTCGGTATTGTGTGGCCACGTTTCAACAACAGTTCGATGATTTTATAATGCCCACACTGGGCCGCTAGCATGAGTGGCGTGAGGTGTGATGGAAACTCGACGGAATTATCATAACCAAGCTGCGCCTTTTCCTGGTTTTTTGCTTGGAGCACGTCTAACAGCTTGACGACTATTGAATAATTATTTTCACGTATAGCGTACATCAGGGCGTCCCCTGTCTCGAGTCCTGGTTGGGACAGTAAAAAGTCCACCATTTGTTCGCAGTCTACCTGCACGGCCAAATTCAAACCGGTCATTCCTTGGTAGTTTTTGCAATTTAAATCTAAATCGTAATTGCTCTCTATTAAATTTTTAATCGACGAAATATCGCACATTTTAATGAAATGCATAAACTTCCGCTGTATTTCTATAGAATCGTTTGCAGTGGACCAATCACTGGTAGCGTATTCTGACTGATCAGAATCATCCAGATACTCGTTGTTCATATCATTATAACTATCAGACATTTTCCACTTTATGATAAAATATCGTTCAAAACGGTATCCAGAACATGAAATATCTTCGGAATTTTACACTCCACCAATATTTTTAAACTATTTAAATACAGATGAAATTATCGCCATGGAAACTGTGATATTAACGTTGATTATAAATATGCTATACAGGGCGATTTTTTTTATCGTGAACCAACCATTTTCTCAGATTTCAAGTAAATTTGTTTTTTGTTTTTTTTTTTTTTTAATTATTTTGGAACTAGTTAAGCTTTATATTAAAACTATTTTTAATTTTTTGCTGACTCCATATATCTTAAATAAATATATACTTTTATTTTTTAAATAGGAACCCTACTTTTTAAACACAGATTTGAATAGACCTTACTTGTTTAGAAATGTTGGTATGCATAACACTATTATCAGATTTATTGTTTATGAGTTATAGTCTTATAACCGTTTAAAGTTTATATGGAGGATTTGGAAGCAGTTATCAATTTATCATTCAAAAATAGATATGGAATTTATTACCCTTTCTTACTGCTCCACTCTAAACTTTAAACTCATAAGCTGTAAATCTGATAATAGTGTTATGCTCATTAAAATTTTACTCTATTCAAATGTGTTCAAAAAAAAAGGAGAGGGGGTTCCTACTTGAAAAACAAAAGTATATACTTATTTAAGGTACATGGAATAGGGATGAAAAATTAATAATAGTTTTAGAATAAAGATTGACGATCCACAATGACCGATAGGTCGCCGAATGTAGTTTAGTTTGAACGTAATCATGTAGACCATCATTCAAACGTATTAATCAGCCGGTACCAAATTGTTATAGTATACACCGTTATACTAAACTATCGGCCAATAAAACGTTTGTAGTCTGCGGGCCCTCTAAATCAATAATTATGTTGAAAACTAATATTGCACAGATACATGTACCAAATATATTGTATTTTAAATCTGTGATTTAGTTTAATTTAAAAAAATATATATACTTACATTATACTTGTATTGAGTGTATTAATACTCCAGGCAACGCATTTATTTACTTATTTCTGCATATAAATTATTTATTTATACATTTATTTACAAGTATTATTATTTAAAATTTAGTAAAATAAATTATTTAGAATCATTTATTACTCAATATGCTGTCTATGATATAGAATTAAGTTTAAGGTTAATATATGAAAATATATATATTGAAAAATCAGATAAGGACATAGAAATTGGAATCAATATTTAAAATATCAAAGTGTCACATTTCATAAACCATATGTACATAACAATTATTGGATTAATTTAATTTATATAATTTTAACATTTTTGTGTAAGAATTTAAATAAAAATAAGAAAAATAAAATAATAATAAATAATAAAATCTTATAATATAATAAACTAAGAAAAAAAAAACCTGTATTCCGTAGCAGATATTTATAAACGTTAGGTTTAGATTATAAGGAGAAGATAGAGGAAAGGAGGCGATCTTTCTTTAAAAACTTTTATGGTGAAGAAGATTGGGGCAAGTTTTAAAATGTCAAACCTAATTGTTAATGGTATTACTTACATATATATGTTGAAATGTAGACAATAAGTTATAGTATATTTTACAAAAAGTCAACATACACACCAGTTAGATAGTTTATACAGAGAAAAAATTAATAAACAATATTTTATTTTAAACTTTATCTATTTTATAATGCCCATGGGCTAATGTGTGAATATGGTCTTCTAATATAATCCTTTTATCATCATAGTTGTTGAAAGTGAGTTTATTTGCAGATATGGTGTTTAGTTGATGGTGGAACAAGCGAATAGAAACATTCTCTCTATACACATCCAAGTCATTGTCCCCAAACAGGCACTTCTTGTGATCGTTAAATGTCATATGATTTTGATCTTTTCTTTACGATCAATCTTATAAGCATACAATTTGGCATGTAATGCACAAAACTCTGTGATTGTTTTTCATCCGACTCATCTGAGAAAATACCTGGTATTTTCTTCCTCTCTGCAACAAAGCACAGGTGGTCTTTCGATAGATTGGCAGTGTCCGTACACTTCAACAGCTGGGTTATTTCAACAGGTTCGCGTAAAAATCTTTCATCTTAATATAATATACCAACGAATCTGAAAAACAATAATAAAAACATTATAATATGTATAAGAAAAAATAATAATAATAATTTATCTGTATCAATATACACCAAATTGATAGTGTCTTTGAAATGCTTCCTCTTAACATTGTAATGATAGTAGTACATTTTGGTCTTAGAGATGTCCAGCACAGCAAAGCCAATATGGATATCGGTTTGCAAAAATGTATAATCTTGTTCTCCAAGGACAAAGCACAAAGGTTTTCATGGTAGGAAGTACAGTGTTTAAACGTTGTTTTGTTTATAAGTTTCTGCATTCTCTTCTCGCAGGATACTAGTTCGATATCGATTCTCCATTTCATTGATTCCATCATCTTACCTAGAAAATCATAATATAATAACATACAAGTTTTAATAATAATAATAAAAACTTACCAAAAAAGCATTGTTCATAAGTTGGCAGAAATATTTTTCAAAATTATTAGCTGCCTTCTTTCTCATCTCTGTATTTAAACTAATGTATTTTGCAAGCCATGGTGATTGTTCAAACTGTAGGACTCTGTTCACCTATAACATAAATAATACAAAAAATAAAATTAATAAGATAAAAATTAGAGTGTCCTTTTTAAAATACCTTTTTAACAATCAGTCCTTTCACTATCGCTTGCTTCAAATTTCTTTAGTGTATAATATAATTATTCTTCTCTTCCAATGCCGCCATCAACTTCTTCACCTTCGAGCCTGGTGGTACTTCCTTATTCGTAAAAATGGTGGGTCGTTGTGGTCCAAGTATAGGTGTTCCAGGTATGTACCACCTTGTATACCCTATCAGTGACATGACATCCAAATCCTCGAGTCCGTCTAGTATAGGTTCCACCCACTGGAACCTGTACTGTGATATGGCCCACCCTTACAAATTATTACCTAAAACAAACAGTAAAAAATTATAAGTGACTGATATATATATATTTTTTAAATACTATGTATACTTACAATCCTGATATATAATCTATGAATCTTCTTTGTCATAGTCTTTCACCGTATAATTGTTCACCTTCCCGTATCGTTTGCTCGCCTGTACCAAACCACCACGTATACCTATTAAATCAAATTAATATAATAATAGTTAATATGTATAAAATAATATAAAATTTTAATATGTTTAATATTGTACCTATTTTTCTGTTTCCCCATGTTTTTTTCCAGTCATCATTCTTATCATTATTCATTGTAAACTTTGTTCACAACTTTCTTTATTTTTTCAACCTTCTCGTATTTACTCCGAAGAGCTTCGAGTGTTCGGTAACATTCCCTACAAATACTTTTAAATTGCCTTGCCAATTTTTCATAAGACACTGCCTTTAAGTTGTTTGAATTAATGTCTGTTTTTTGCACTCTATCGTTAAAGCATAATTTATAAAAAGATCAAGCAATGTTTTCTCTTCACTGAGCGAAAATTTATTTGATCTCTTTTTAATTTGAGTCATTTTAATAATGAATAGGTAATAGGAAATAAGATGTATTTGTATTTTATTAATTTTAAAATTTAAACAAGTCGGTAATAATAACTGTTACATGTGTAGTGATGACTGATAAAGTGATTATGCACTGATAGCAATACTATTAATGTAGTATAGTTGTCCCAACATTCAAAGAATCTACTGTCCGCTTCAATAAATCTTGTTTAACTACCATTGAACGAAATAGTAAATTTTAAACTCGGTTTAATTTTTAAACCAAGTTTAGAAAATCTTGAGTTTAAACTACACTTGTACAACTGGGCCTTAGACAATCAAAAAATAATCTGGTTGTAAAACCAATAAATTCCTTGCTTCGCTCAGAATCTAAAATCTTTAGACACATATTGTAATATTTTATTATTTATTTTAAACGAATATACAAGATGATTCCCAGGGTACACTCAATATCCCCGAAAATATTTACTTTTTACTATTTTTTTAAAAATTTAGGATATAGCTGCTCTAAAATTTAACATTTTTATTATTTTATGTTACCATAATTTTTGTGGGTGACTTTTTTATATGAACAAAAACTTACATATTTTAATAAAAAAATTCTTCCATTTGGATCAATTCTAATAAAATAACCGGTTAATATAAAATTATGAATTAGATAATGAACTATGTGCAATTAATGTTTTGAATTGACTAATTATATACTACTTATTTTAATATATTAGTTCATGCTCTTACCCATACATAGCATATCAACTGTAACAAAATTTAAATATAGTAAATTGTACTGGAATTAAACTTAGGCATTATGAGGTACACATATTGATATGCCATTAAAAATAAATTATTTTATTTTTATTCCTAGAATAGCACTTAATTGTAATATGTAATTACCTATTAGGAAATATTATTGATTTTATAATAAGCTAACTCAATATTAGTTGTTTATCAGTGTCATAACATTATACTTTAATCGAAAGACATACATCTTCGTCACTCAAAGATTAATTTTGTAAACCAAAACCAAAAACTTGAAATAGTTTATGAAAATAACTTTTAAGTTCCAAATGAAAAAGTTTCCTGTACCAATACTTTTTAAGTATCACCAGTATTGAGGAATTGATGTTGATGTGTAAGATAAACACTAAAATATTTGTTTATGCAACATATAATATGAAATATATTATATTGTATAATTTGCATTTACAAATTATATAAATTATTCTTGACAGAATCAGCTATTTACTATACAATAAAACATTTTTTGTCATTAGCACTTATTATGAGCACAGAAACATATTAAGATAGAAAAAATAATTTATACAAAAAATAGAAGAACATAAATAAATCCAAGGTTATTCTTTAAGAGATGCAAATGGATAAAGGAAGGTAAAGGCGTAAACCCATATGGACTAAAATGAAAACCTCATAACAAATGAAGAGAATGCATTTTAAAATGAACCACAAGAATACAGGGGAAAATGAATATATTGTATATTTTATAGTACAACCGCTCCTCGAAGAACAAAATTGCTACCTGAACCTACTTTAGATGGTGGAATGTACAGAAGTTGAATTAATGGAAAAGTGCAACAGATATAGAAATTTAGTGTGAATGAATATCTTATGAGTCGAGTAGGTAAACCATATTTGAAGGTCTAATGAAATTTTAAAAACACCTCCGGTAGGAAAGATAAGGAGGAAAAAATCTAAACAAAATGCTGGACAGATAGGATCAATGATTTAAATAAGTGGGCTAGGAAGTTACAATAGCGGACAGCATGGATAGTCAAATGGAAGAATGTAGTAGAGGAAACAAGTCCTTCAAAGGATTACAATTTTTAGAAGAAAAAATGCCTACACAAAAAAATAATATAATATAAAATAAAGATACATACATATACATTATTTTCATGCATGAATATATACTTAAATAATACTTTGTTAAGTTAATAAAACAATTTTATGTTTCAAATATAAAATTGGCAAATTCTACAAGTTCCAGATACTAAAAACTGGTATAGTATAACCATGTAGAAACATTAAAAATGCCAAGTGGTTCTATCTAGTTCATATATTTCTTGTAGTAACTCTATTGTTTTAACACCAACTTTATTGGCAATTTCATTTCGTTGTCTAGTATTCATACATGTGACAAACATCCAAACAAGGTCACCATCAATTATTCTCTTAGCTGGGTTTTTCCTATTATGAACTGTAGCCTTGAGAGAGCGATAGGCTTTAGGGTTTAATCCAGCTAGATGTGTAAGATTTTGCACCAACATATTCTGCAAAGTTAATAACCTTTTGTAGCTTTTCTCTTGTATTGGTACAATATAACCAATTGAACCGTCCAATGTAGCATACATAGTTACATGTCGCCTATCAGAGCCAAGAGCTTTTCGTCTTTCAGATGTCAATGTAGATTGTTTACAGCGAAGTCTGAAGAATGAGTTTACATTCGATCCAATATTAATATCACCATGGCGAATTAAACATTGTCCACCATGACTATCACGGTTCATTGGCTGGTAAAGAAAGAGAATTAAATTTTGGTATTTATCAGATGACAAAAAACCTAGTTCTGTATTATCAATAAGAAAATTGATATCATACACTTCGAGAGGTTTAAAATCACGACTTACTAAAGACAATGTGCGGTATTCTTCCTGAAATCGTAGGAGAGTAATGGACTTGAAAATATCAGCGACCAATATCAAACTTTTAATACTCAACATCTGATGAACATAAACTTCAGTATCTATAAACGCTATGCCAATCAAGTCATTGTCTTTAAGTTCCCAAATATAAATTTTTTGACCAACAGCAGTCACTAAAAATCCAACAACATGTGTAATAGCTGTAACAGGACCTTTCTGTTCTTTGGCATATATCATTTTTATTTTATTTTTGGTCAATGGTTTGCCAAGTTCTGGGACAACATCAATAATATCGAATAAGAATATACGTCCTCTACTAGTAATATCTTCTGAATAATTGTAATTTGTGCCCATTGCTATATAACCCTTGAGACCACTACGAGCTCCTTCATAGGTCAAGGCGACATTTTTCAAACAAGTTATAAATTCCCAATCCTCTGTTTGAATACTTGTGTCTGGTATTGGTTCCCAAGACACAGGGGAAAACAGTTCTAATGTAAACAAATCATGATTGGGTAGTGGAAAATTAGGATCACGTTGTTCAGTAGTCAGTTCTTTATCATCTTCTTTGAATTTATAATATGTTGGAGATGGTTTTGTCGAAGAAGTAACTACACAATATGTTTTTGTTTCTAAGTGATAAACTATAAAATGTGGTGTTTTACGAAGTGGAACCTAAACATAAACATTTATTTATTAGTAAAAATTGGAGAGATCAATAATATATAAAATTAATTTATACTGAGTTGTTAATGTTCATTTGATTAGTACATGCTAAGTAATAATACAGCTGGAAATTAAGCATTTTTGTTCTCAGTTTTAGTTTTTTATGGATTAGATTCTAAGTAGAGCAAAGAATTTATCAGTATTACTATTTGTGTGTATTTTTTTTTAGTGAACAACTTTTCTATTATGAGAAGACTTTTTGGTTGCATTTTGAATCTAGTTGATGAAAGAGTAATTCATTTTTCGATTTTAGTTTGATCTAAATAGTTTTATAATATTTGGAAAAAAAAAATATTTTAAAAATGTTATAAAAGTAAAATAAATTACTTGACATCAAAACATTAAACCCAACAAACAGAATTTAAAATAGAAAAAAATTTAAAGAAAATCGTTTTTAATAAAAATCAAACAACAGATAATATTTAAAGTAAATAAATATGTAAATAAAAAAAAAATAAATATATGAATGAATGAATGTGTCCCCTGGAGTCTGATAAGTGTATTATAAGACCAGTTTCATGATATATATATATATAATTTCATATTTAAATGAAGAAATATTAAGTGTATAAAAATAAATATTAAAATAATAAATGGTAAAATAAAATGAATTGAAAATCTTCCTCTAATTCAAATTACAATTAAATTTCCTAAATAAGGAATAGCTGATAAAAGATTTGTAATAACTGTAGCTCCTCAGAATGATATTTGTTCTCAGGGTAATATTAATATAATAATATTCAATAAAAGCAGTTATTATAGTTAACAATACAATTACTACAATTAAACATGTTAGTTCAAAATTAAAAGAATTTGAACAAATTCTTTGTCTAATATGTGTATATATATATAAATAAATATATGTATAAAGAATATTGATGCCCCAACAACATGAAGTGATCAAATTAATCAACCAAAATAAATATTTCGGTTTATATTAATAATTCTTTGAAATGCTAAGTTAATATCTGTTTTTAAAGAAATGCTAAAAATAATCCTGTTCAAATCTGATTTATAAGAAAAATTATTATAAATGATCAAAAAATATCATATAAATCTAATATTAATAGTAGTAATAATATTTTTTTTTTCATTATAATTTTTGTCCTCAAGGTCCTTTTTTATTTTTTTTTTAAAACCAAATAATTATGATTATTATTAAAAATAAAATTAATATTAGATAAATTATTAAATTGTTTGCTAAATAAAAGATATTTAATAGATATTTATACCTCCAAATAAAAAATTATTTTCTTTAATAAATACATTTTTTGTATAATAATTCATAATATAAATTAATATAATTTTAAAAAAAATATTTTTAAATTTTTTATTTATATTTAATTCATTAAATTCAATTTTTGAAATGTATGAAAAAATAATTATTAATCCTCTTGCTCAAAGAATAAAAATTATAAATGAAATTTATGATGTTTTATTAATTAAGTTGGTTATTAAAGTAATTAAAATAGTTTGTAATAAGATAATTATGTTTGATTTAAGAGGTGATTTTGTTAAAATTAATATTATTAAATTTATTATTATTATTTTGATTTAAAATATCAATGTTTTTATTAAACTAATAAATATTTTTAAAGATTAAACATTATATGCGTTAAAAGATCATTAGCATCTTCTATATGAAACATTTTTTTCAGTATTATTATTTACAGTAATAAACCTCTTTTTCTATTAAAAATAAGAATTGATTTAAAATCTATTATTAAGTCAAAATTAATATGTATTATTTTTTACTTTTTTACTTATTTTTATAAGATACATTTATTAAATAATTTTTAAAAGCAAATATTAAATGTTACATATATTATCCTATAGTTTTCAATTTGAGGAACCAAATTTTCATTCATAAACAATAGTTAAAATTAATTTTGTTAGAGATTTTAAAATTTATATTAACTAAAAAAAATATTGATTTATTAATTAATATAATTTAATATTAAAATTGCAGCAAAAGCTTGGATTAAAATATATTTTATTGAAGATTTAAAATTTAAAATTAGTAAAATAGTGAATAAATTTAATTCTAATACCATTCATATTGAAATTCAATTTGAAGAAAACATTGATATTAATGTTCTAAAAATTATTTTTATTAAATATGTAATTTTTGTTAAATTTAAAATTTATTAGAAAAAATAATTTTATTCTATATTTGAAGTATGAATCCAAAAGTTTAATTTTAGCTTATTTTCTTATCATTTACTCTATCAAAGTAATCGTAATCCTTTTTTATGCATTTTATTTTAAATAATTATTTAATTCGTAAGAATAAAAGAATAGTAATATAGTATTAATATTTAATGGCTATTAATATAATTTATAGCTTATTATGTTTCAATATAGTATAATATTTAGAAATATATATAATTAGATTATCTTTAATAATATATCTATACTTTAATAGGTTTAAATTTAATTTAATATACATTTAGAATCTTTAAGTAACCATTATTAGATACAATTTATTTAATTGTATTAAGTCATATTTGTATAGGGATATAAATTGGGGTTTTATTTAAAAAATGTTTTTATTTTTCTAGAACTATTAAATACCAAAAAGATATATATAGATTTTTAATAAAAACCATTTATAGTTTACTATTATTGCATAATTAATAGGTATTCATAAAGTTTATTATGCTGCTTAAATATTTATTTATTATGATTTAATACAATTTTAAATTGTATGAAGAAATTAAAGTAATTTAATGGTTATTTTGACTTATGGTTTATAAGATTTAAATTATTTCAGTGAAAAATAAAAATATAATTCATTACATTTTAAATAACTTCTTTGAAAAAAAATTATAACAATTTTATTTAAAAATATGGTATATTTAAATGTGCTAGTTATAATAGTTGTTGAATATTTTAGGGCAATTGTAAAAATTGTACATTTGCAAAATAAAAAAAGTTATATCTACATTACATTAAAATTGTTCAAACTTCTAGTATGATTAGTATTAATAAAAAAAAAAACTAAAACAATGAAATAAAATATACCTTTCTCAATGGCCAAGGTTCATCATATGATAAATGTGTAGGTAGTATGGAAAATCTTAATTTGTTATCAGAGTTGAGGTATAAGAATCCCTGTGAGCAGTTAACATTATGAAAAGGTGCAAAACAAACAATTGGTCCATCTATGTGTAATGGATGACACCTTAGTTCTCCTCTTATAGTGAGTAATACTAAATGAGGATTTTGACCACATATAAAAACGCCATTATAGCTAGCGATTCTGTTGAAATAATGAAGCAATGAAATGTCTTCCAGACTGTTACTAGATTTTGACTGAAATGTTAACAATGAAGTAAGCTTATGAAATCGCATCTTTAATGTACCTTCTGGGTGCCTGTGTATACCATAAATAACCACCTAAAAAAAAATTAAATTTGTTTATGAAATCAATAAACTATAAAATATTTTATTAATATTTATTTTACCTCATTGTTTAATCTGACAAATAATAAAGGCCTTTTATCTTGATATCCCAGCGGTACAAGCAAAATTTCTTTTATTAATTCAGTACTTTTATTAAAACAACCTTCTTCTAAACTATCTTTAAGAACAGCAGGTGATTCATCTATGTCAGCAGCTTGATATTTTATTTTAAAATCAGGTAATGTATAAATTTCCAAACATCCATTATCTCTTGTCAGAACAACCCAATATGTTGGTGTCGGTTGTTCTATAAACTTTAACCACCACATAAGATTTTTATTTGAGACCAGTTTATGAGGTGTTTCATTGGATGATGAATCTCTTGTATTGCCATACAACATTTCCTCTTCATCTTCCATGGAATCAGTTACAAAAGTAGCATGTTTTAATTTTTGACCTACCACAGGAATTTCGGCTTGGGGCATTGTGCTAGAAAATAAGCCACTTACATCACGATACACAGTCAACGTTTTTGTCGGTGGTACAGTATCAAAGTTGGTGGGTCGCATGAGTACAATTCTTCCTGTTGATTTAATAATCAGCACTATCACCTGTCCATCACAAGTTAACAATACAGCATAGGGACTACTGCAAGATCCATGTATAATCGGAGAACCAAATTCTAAAGGAATGTTTTGAATTTGATCTGACCCCTTGAGCAATCTCACGGAGTATTTTAAAACTTGTATAACATATTTATTCATATTGCACACAAAAACCGTATGCTCTTGCGTTGCAAAACCTGAATAATCTAATTCATTTATTTCTTGTCCAGTTTTTAGTATTAAAGTTGAATCTGAGTTGGTAAATATCATAAAAGAATGAAAATCATTTTCATCATACACTGTCCACATGTTTTTGTAGCCATCCAAATGAAATGTAGCAACAAATTGAGGTTTGATGGAATGATGAAGAACACTTAACGCTCCATTTTTCCCATGACCAGATGTACATAATAGTTCCACATCATGTTCATCATTACTCAATTCGTCTGAAATATAAGCTGGTTCTCCTAAAGACGCTTGACTACATGGCCCAATATTTATTATACTATCACAGACTTCGAAACTGTATTTTTCTAAACAAATAGATGTCTGTACTTCACTACCATATACTTCTAATTCAATGAGATCTTCATCAGTTACATCAGCATTTTTATGTTTAACAGTAGGTACGTCATCATTACTTTGAGACCGTGCATAGTATCTCAAAAGTAGAGAATTACCAAGTCTTGAACCCAGAAACAAATAGGAGTCCAAACATACTGTTATGCATGTAGTTAATACACTAGAAGCACATTTTTCAAAATGAAAACTTCTTACTGCACGCATACTATCAGCGTATAGTGTAATTACGTAGAGATCACCGTTACACAACGATGTCACTAGTTTATTACTAGATATAAAAGTGGCAGTAGCACGGTCCAAAACGAGATTAATTTCTTCTTGTTGTTCTAAAGGAAAGTTGGTCATTGTATTGGTTATAGAATTAAGGGCAACCCCGAAAGGAGGTACACTTTGATTGAGATGTATGAGAGAATTCACTGCCATAATCAGAGCACCACCAATTGGACGAGACACCGGAATGACTTTTTGACAATCATAGGGAAGTGAATCCAATGACCAAATGACTGGATGCACATGTTGTTGAATATTTAATGAAATAGCCACCTATTTAAAAAAAAAATGAATAAAAAAAAAAAAAAAGAAACAATTGTTTGGAATCATATTAGAATTATAATAAGTACCAACATATAATTAAAATGACACTTACCATTGCGCATGTATCTTTCCTAATAACTATACGTCCAGCATTAGTTTGAACCGATTCAAACAGAATTAATAATGTTGGTTCATAATATCCATGTAAGAAATCGAAATCTTTAATATTATTCATCTTGGGATCTATTGTTTTAATTGGTATTGTATAGCTAGGCATGACTTGAGCACTTTTACCGTGATCATCAATAGTACGACCAAACGGTAGAACGAAAAAATAATGTCCATAAACTAGACCAACCACACATCGACCAACTGGATCTACTCTAATTAAAGGAGGAGTCCAATGTTGAGTGGTACCATTTTTAAATTTGTCGTCTTCGAAATAATTCAATGATAACGTACGTAGGTTGTGATTGTCATGATCGTACTGGACCAAACTGAACTTGGCTTCAGAGAAACTGAGTAACAAAGCTTCGGGTGAATTCTGACACAAAGTAACAGACTGTAAGCACATGATATTACCAAATAAAGTGTATTGAGCCAGGCATTCAAACTTGGTTTTGGGCGGCTGACATGTCGTGTCGGTCGGGACTAGCCTGTAGACACGGAGAATGTTGACACCGGCTAACACAAGGCATTTTTCGACGCGATTGAAGAAGTAACAATAAATAGCATGCTCTATGGACGTCGGTATACGGGTTTGTTTGCACATAGAAAACATGATGGTCGGTTTTCAGTTAATTTGCTTCATAGTACACTGTATTAACATTTAAATTAGAAGACTTGGTCGTACGGATGTCACGGATGTACTTAGATGTCACGGCGCCGACGTAAACACAACTTTAATTGATAAAACGCACCATTAGTGTACTGAGTATTGAGTAATAAAGGAATGCCGTATCGTATCTCGGCAAATTCAAATGTTATGAAAATAATTTGGTCATTCAGTCCAGTAAGTTGTGTCACTTTACGATCCAGATTTCTACTAGATGGCGTTATTAAGACCTACGCATGATTGATAAAACAAGTGATATTCTAATGTAAAACGATGACCTATTATTTGTTCGAAAATATTTTGTTGGAAAATAATTTAACAGAAAATATATTTATGAAAATTATTCAAGCAGAAAAATATTTGACTAGAAAAGTATTTTAGTCTAAAAATAATTTATACGAAAATAAAATCCTAAAAAAATATTTTATTGAAAAAGTTCTTTGTCCGAAAATACTGTATACGAAAAAAAATTAATAGTATATTATAATTTGAAATATTAAAATCATCACCTATTATTATAGTTTATTAATAATAATGTCTTTATTTTGGCCCTTGGATAAAATATTATCTAATTATTATTTTGTTTATTTTATCTATTTAGTTCACTGAAAATCATTCATTATTTCAAGTAGTTTTTATGGCATTGGATAGCGTATAAGTTCCACCAAATTGGTTCAAAACGTTAGAATCGATCAAAAATAATTCTGTAATTGTATTTCATAAATTAAATCCATTGAGAAGTAATTACACCATGAGTTAACACATAAAAAAATATATTATATACATTTTTATATTATAAATATATAAAAGGTATCTAATTGAAACCATCGTAAAATAAAATTATTGTTACGGCGCGATTTAGTAAAATATTTAGAAGTCGACGCTAGATAGCACTACCTGTCAGTCAGTTCATATGAGTACACGTCATTAAGTTTAACGCACATCGACAGGCAACCATTCTACCTTAAACCGTGTTTACCAAAATACGGTTTTAACAAAATATTTTTTGTACAAAAACTGTTCTGATAAAATATTTTTCTTCTGAATTACGACGTAAATATTTTTGGGATTATTTATTTTTCGACAGTTTTATTTTTCTGATAAAATATCATTCTAACAAATTATTTTCGTACTTTGTATGCTTCCCCGTGTAAAACTGTGAACAATAAATAAATTATCAATTTAACTATCTTAATAACTAAATATTGCAATTGGAATATCCGTATTATTAATTATTAGTTAAATAAATTAAAATTATAATGCCGAGTTTTATTGTTTGTTTTTAACCATAGATACATTAACAAATGGACAGCGCTTACCTCACCTCTCGTCAATGGTGTTCGTGAGGTAACGCGTAATAATAAATCTAAAAAAAAAATATTACACTTCATAGATAGGTATAAATGTAACTTTTATCTTTTCTTAAATCATTATAAATTTACAAAATATATCGACATTTATATAACAAATATACAAATATATATAACAAATACCTTAATATGTTTATGTTATTTTGTAAAAGACAAAAGTAAACAATAGTTTGGTCCATCGCTATCTGGTTACACTGGAAATAGACCACTTTCGCCTCAATTCAAGATCAAACGGCATCTATTCTCTATATTACTCAGTGGATTAGTGTGACTTCATATTATCTGATAACAATTTTGATCAAGTACGATTGGGTCCAAACAAATAAAACATAAAATATATGATGAAAACTGAAAAGTAACTTAAAATTATTAGTATTATTTTTAAGGAGAAATTTATACCGGTGTAACTCCCTATACTAGACCATGGTAAAATGTGTGCTGTTAATTTCCCTAGCCATGGACCCGCTCTAATAGTGCGCTTTAGCGGTGAAATTTGAATCTCTGTAAATGAGATGCAAATTATACTGTGTTATACCAGTGCAAATTATACTGCAAATAGTGCAAATAAGACCGTAGTGCCAGTGTCGGCCTGGTCATCGAAGATCCTAGGCAGGATTTTTGTTTTAAGGGCCCAATCTGTCTGACCGCTCGCACATTACTGTTTTCATTATTCATATTTATGTCAAGTAGATAAATTAAGTCATCAGATACAATTCATTCAATTTTTATTTTTTAAGAGTTAATACAAATTAAACAAAATTTCACCTTTGGTATAAAAGTAAATATTAAAAAGACGTCCTAAGATAATGGGGACGAGTGTAGATACTATTATGGGTTATTTAATGTATACCTGTTAGCAACGATAAACCATTTTTAACGAAAAAACGATTCTGAGCGTTACATTACTGAGTTTTACTGATTTTCCCGGTTTTCTTACGATTTTCTCATGTTTTTTCTTGGTTTTTCGCATTTTCTGGGCAAACTTTTGGGAAAATGGAAAAGTGACCTTTTTAGAGTACCTCCTCAATGGAATTTCTTTTTAGAAAAATTACACTATACAAGTGTTAATATTACAACAATTATCGTAAATGGAAAAAATGAATAGTGCATGGAATCTACGTGAATATATTATGATATAATCAGTTATATTATGAGAACAGGCAGTTTATTTCCGAACTTTTCTGATTATTGTTAAAATATATTATACTTGCATACCGCCGGGTGATTCTTTGGTGTTTGGTAGGAGGAATTTGTATTATATAGGTGTTATATAGGGTAACGCTGCTTTGTGTATAACCCAGAAGTTAGTCTTACATTGATGTACATCTTAGTTGTGACCTGACACACGACCATAATTAACGTACGTGTGCACAGCATATAGGGTCAGTATTAATTAAAATATAAGTATACTTTGAATACTATGAATTTAAATATAAATAATAATAATGAAAATAATGTTGTTAATAGTGATTCTGAGCATAACTTATTTGATATTTATACTGTAGTATTATCAAATGTAATTGGACAGGAAAAATAGTTCAATGATAAAAATAGTAATAAAGGGTGGTTTGAATATATAAAAATTAATAACTGTATTGTTGAATTTAAGTTAGACACAGGCTCGGACACTGACATTTTGCCTCTAAGTCTTTTTCATAGAGTTCAAAATAACGAAATTACGATAAAATTAATTACAAGGTACAAGCATATGATAGATATGTTCTAAAGCTAGTTGAGACTGTAAAATTGAATCGTATTATTTCTAACAGAAATGTTATACTCAGGTTCATAATTGTAAATGACGAATTACAAAATAAACGTGTTCCTATTATTTCATTAGGATACATGTATAAAACTTAATTTAATCGGTAAAAGAGAAATAAATAGTATTAAAAGGAATGATGATGCAAAAAAAAAAAATAATTGATAAATATAAGGAAGTTTTGAGGGTTTATGAAGTTTCCCAGAAACATATAATAATAAAACTAAAGAAAATAGTGAGGGCTGGATTAATCCGCCAAGAAAAGTTCCAGAGTCTATCAAAATTAAGTTAAAAACATTGGAAGAAATTACTAGAAATAGTGTGATATTATTAGTAGATAGGCCTGGCAAATGGTGCAGAAATATTGTTATAGTTGAGAAATCAAACAAGAAATTGCGTATGTCTGGATCCATTAGAATTGAATAAAATTATTATTAGAGAATATCATTTAATACCTACCATGGATAAGATTAGACCAACTCTAAGTAATAAAGAGTGGTATTCATTATTAGATCTTAAAAATGGATTTTTGAAAATTAAGCTAACAGAGAATTCAAGTAATATTTGTACTTTTAGGACGTCTTTTGGGTACTTTAAATTCATAAGACTTCCATTTAAACTATCCAGTGCCCCTGAAGAGTTCCAAAAACAGAATCAGACATTTTTTGGTGATATTTAAAATGTAAAAATGTATTTTGATGATATATTAATTGCTGCTGAGGATGAGGAATCACATGATGTAACAGTGAGGTTAGTATTGGAAAGAGCTAGAGGTCTTTGGGTATAACATTTAATCCTGAAAAGTTTGTTTTTAAACAGAAAGAAATCATTTATCTGTGAATGATATTTAGTAAAAATCTAATGAAAGTGAACCTTGATAGAGTTGAAGTGATAAATAAATTGAAAGAGCCCAAAAATAAACTATAGTTGCAAAGAATCATTGGAATGTTTAATTATGTCTCAAGAATTATTAAAAAAAAATGTGTATTGAACATGGACTACTGAAACAATAGATAAGCTAAAACATATAGTGACTAACTCACCAGTTTTTAGTAATTTTGATCCAGAGAAGGAAATTAATATTCAATGTAATAGTTCCTGCATAGGATTAAGATGTTGTTTGTTGCAAGAAGGAAAGCTGGTGGCTTTTGTTTATAGAAGTCTAATAGAGTCAGAGAAACAGTACCCGCAGATTTACAAAGAGATGTTAAGCATAGTTTTTTCTTGTTGTAAATTCTATAATTATATATAAGGCTATCATACTAAAGTCTGGATGGATCACTCATCACTAACATCAATTTTCAAAAATAATTTTAATAAAGTTATTAAGTTATAAAGTTATCTAATAGGTTACAAAAGATGAAATTAAAATGTTTGATTTATGATTTAGAAATTAATTATCTGCCAACTAAAGAAATGCATATTGCAGACCCATTATCTAGAAATTTGATTGACTCTAAATTTGAGAATGAAATTGATATTAAAAGTGTAGTTTTCTCAGTTGAATATAAAAAAATTATTTGGCAAAAATAGCACAAGATACAAAAAGTGAACCAGTATCATCTAAAGTTCTAGAGTTCTATATTAAAGATTGGCCTGTAAGTAAAAAGTTAACTAGTGGAGAGGTTCAACATTATTTGAGTCTTTGTAATGATATTGTAGTGGACAATTATGTTATTTATTGCAATAGCAAAATAGTTACACCTCATGCGTTAAAAAATGCAGCTTTGTAACAACTTCATGAGGGCCATAACAGTGTAAATAAAACCTTGTTTAGAGCTAAACAACTAGTTTATTAGCCTGGGCTGAACAATGAATTAAAGCAATTTGTATGAAAATATAATGTATGTGATAGGTTTGAGAGCTCCAACTAAAAGAGCCATTAATTCCAATTTCTTGTCTAAACTACCCTTTGAAGTTATAAGTACAGATATATTCACCTATAGATGATGGGATTATATTGTAATACTTAACCATTACTCTAAGTGGTTAGAACTAATTAGACTCAATAAGAAGACAGCTAGAAAAATTATTTTGCAATTTTGAAGTGTTTTTAGCACATATGGTTATTCAAAAATTATTTATTCTGACAATCAATTATTTAGTTCTAGTGAGTTTAAACGTTTTTGTGATGTGTATAATATAAAACTTATAACGTCTAATTCAAGGTATTAATAGTTAAATAGGGTATCAGAAAGAGCTGTTCTTACTGCTAAACAAATGTTGAGGAAAACAAAATTTACAATCAGTGAGAGTAATTTGAAACCCATGGTACATAATAATATTGACGGTAAGATAACTAATTATCAAAAAACTTATAAAGAATAAAATGATAGGAGAACTAAAATAAAAGATTAATTTGTCGTAGATGATAATTTAGTAGTAAAAGAGGATAATATATGGAAACCCTGTAAAATTGTAGGAAAGATAAAAGGCTGCTCTAAATCATATAAGATAAAGTTACAGAGTGTTATAGTGGTCAGACGAACGTCTTATCATTTGTATCACATAACTAGTCAAAGGTTTAATGAATTCTATGTAGATGATGATGATATTCTGCTTGGACATGATAATGACGAAAATTCGGTGGGGAAAAGTGAAGTTAATGAGAAGAATGATGATGCTGATTAGACACTAAGAAGAACAAGGGTAGGAAGAGTTATTAGAAAACCTATCAAATTTGGTAATTATGATAAAAGTTAATCGTGTTAAAGTGTTTGTTTGTTTCAAATGATAAATTAATATATTGTTGTTGTTTTTTTGTGTAAGATATTAGTTTATATTCTTCGTAAATTTAGTATTATTATTTGATTATTCATTATACACGTAATGTTATTAAAATTATTCTTGCAATTAAATGTATTGTAATTAAATTTAAATTTTTAATGTTTTTTTTTTTTTTCATAAGATTATATGTTAAAACTGTTAAAATGTTAATTTTAAGAGCTAAAAGAGGGGGATGTTATGTAGGGTAACACTGCTTTATGATATAACCTATAAGTTAGTCTTATATTGATATACATCTTAGTTGTTACCTGAAACACGACCATAATTAACGTACGTGTGTACAGCATATAGTGTCAGTGTTAACTAAAATATAAGTATACTTTAAATAAATTAATATAATAAATAAAATAACAGTTTCTTATAAATAAACATAATTTATTATCACAATTAAGTTTATTCAATTGATAAATACCATCCACCTTTAGATTTACTTATTAAATGTCAAAAACGATTAATTAGTGATTACTATGAGTCACCATATATTTTTAATTTAAAAAAATTAATGCTCCATAAACTTAATACCCTGATAGATAATTGTCAACTTGGTTTGCAAATCTTAACTGTGTCCCAGTTTAATTTTGAAGACAATAACTGTTGCATACAAATATTTCTGCGAATTAAAGCAGGCATAAGGAATCCCACTGGTTCATATACAACATATCTACATATTTTTCAAAAATTCGAAAGTGCATGTACGCACATTTTTTCATTTGTCCATTCCTTTAAACTTCTAATAACTAATATAAAATTTCTTACGACAGTATGTCTGTGTCACAGTTCTCGCGATACGACAAGCCGAAAAAAAATGTTTTTCGTAGCGGCACGGGATGAGAGCTGCTACGCCGCAGAACGTGCCGCTACGCTGCAGTTCTCGGGGGGGAGGGGGCAATCCTGCATTTCTCTGTAGAAATCTACCTATTATTTAAAAAAACGAAATTGTCGCTACACGACGTTTTTTCATTTGTCCATTCGTAAAAACATATTAAAACAAACATATAGGTTCCTTATACCTAGTTTACGTTCAGCCGCTGCCATTGTTACTCGCGCTGTCGTATTTACTCCTCAAAATACTTCTGTAACAGCGTCGACGGCAGTGAGTGTTTACATTGCCCTGCTAATTTTAGCAGCACGAGCAGCAATTGACCGGGAGTACGAGCGCGATTGTGTGTTTACATTCAACTCGATCAGTCACATTATGTGGTAATTGAATTCGAACAGAATTTAAACACGTACTCGCGCTCGCATTGCCGATTATGTTGCTGCTCGCGCTGTTCAGTTAACCGCTCTTGACGGGAGCGTCGGGCCACGTCAGTGCGAGGAGCATGATCAGCGCGAGTGACGTGTTTACATACTCGCGCTGCCCATTTTTATGCTCATTTCCCTGCTCAGTCACGGAAGTGGGCTGAATGTAAACTAGGTATTATAACCATTTATCGAAGTATTACGGTTCTTATGAGTAAACTGAGCAGCGCGAGCAGCAACATAACCGGCAATGCGATCAATTCAGTGACTATAATAATCGCAACAATATTAAAATTTGTAGAGGTAGATATAGAACGTCTAACTGATCAAAGAAATAGGTACTAAGCTCATCAAAATACCAATCGGTGACACCTAGACATATGGTCGTAGGGAACCTATTTGGTAGTTTTGAGAATTTTGTAAGAATGGACAAATGATAAAATGTGCGTAGAGAAAATTTCGAATTTTTAAAATTGGTAGAATTCTCCCGGGTAACGCCGGATTGGCACCACCGAGAACGTTAGCGTAGCGATACTATCTGTGGCGTAGCAGCTCTCATCCCTTGTCGCTACGCAAAATATTTTTTTCACCCGGTCGTGTTGCAAAAACCGTGACACTTGGACATATAGCTGTAAGTAACCTAATTTGAGAATTTTATAGAATGGACAAATAAAAAAATGTGAGTAGCGTTCATTTCGAATTTTTAAAATATTGGTAGATTTCTACAGGGAAACGCCGGATTGGACAATTGAGTACAGTAGCATAGTGGCAATAACTGCGGCATAGCAGCTCTAAAACTGTGCCGCTACCCAACACATTGTTTTTCTCCCGGCCGTATCACAAGGACATTGATACTTAGACATAAGGTCGTAAAGAACCTATATGATAGGTTTTAGATATTTTTAAGAATGGACAAATATAAAAAGTGTGTAAAAAGCGTTAATTTAGAATTTTTAAGACATTGGAAGATTTCTCTAGGGAAACGCTGGATTCGCGTTTTTTGAAACACACTCCACAGGATTTATTAGGTAAGTGTAAACCCGACAGTTTCAAAATGATTATAATTTTCTTTGAAAAACTATTGCCTATGGGCTTTAACCCAACAATGTTATTTATTAAATAATACATCCCAATTAAATTAAATAAAGTTTACAATTTTGAAATTTAGATTATAAAAACAGTCATTTTTAAAAAATCTTAATAAAATATATTTTTACAATTTCAAGTTATTTTTAAGTCCAATCATAATATCAAATACTTTTTTCTTTTAACAACGTGTTGATGAAAGAATATTATAATCAAATAAATATATTTTCATAATAATTATCTGTAGTTTTATTAATTATTTTAATATTGTGATACAGTGGCATTTGGCGGAATGGCTAGTTTGTTTCTCGGTTGCAGTCTGATCAGCCTGGTGGAGATCATTCATATCTTTTATAAATCATTGGCCATGCTGAAAAACAACTATTGTACCAAAACCCAAATTCATACCCATACAAGCATTATTTCAAAGCAACAGCAAGTAACACTATGCCGACAAAACCATTCATACCATTCACACAGATCTCTGTACAAGTTTCCCAACAATAACACTTGTCATCAACCAGCTATCTGTTATGAGTAGGGAATATATTATAATAATACGCTCTGAATCTATGTCTTTAAAAATCATAAAATATGCACTTAAAACTCAAAAATGTCGAAAAATGCATTAATTTTATTTTGGATTTTGCTAAATGCAGACTATTTTTAACAAAATGCACCTCGGAATAATCAAATTAGTGTCAAAGTTTCATACAAATAAAATAAGAATATACCACAATATTTGTGAGTATAGTAATATATCAATAATAATGATTATATTATTAAATAAAATAAGATTAACCGACAATTAAAAACTATTATCAATTATGTATTAGACTATAATAATTTTAACACACAGGTAATTTGGCATTGCAGTTTAAGTAATATATATAATATAAATGAAAAAAAAAAAAAAAAAAAAAATTTAATCTTAATATTAATCAAATTTAGTTTTCTGAATGGTCTTCATTGTAATCAGAGTCTTTGAATAAAACAGTTTCAAGAACTATAAAAAAAAAAAAAACTTTAATTAGTATTTAATATGTAAAAATAAACATACATTATTATAAATATTACTGTACAATTCAAATATTAAGTACACGAAAAACAAATCAAATTTTACATATTATATTATGTGTAATAATTTAATCACTTTTCCTAAATGAATAGAAAATATGTGTCACAATATTACAAAATAAGGTCTAGCTGCTTGCTAGGTCACAAGTTATCACATATGATCACATATGTCTCATACAAATAGGGATTATCCTAAGATCAATTGTTATTTGTGCTATGGTCAAAAATATCTCTTAAGCTGAGTTTACATAATGCAAATCTAATGCCACAAGCTGCTTTACCAGACAGCTGTTTTACACAACTGTTGACACGATCTGCATCTGATGCATGAACCCATGCAAAACAGAGCAAGCTGTAATTTTATGGGTATGTTCGCTTTAGATATTGTGTGCCATTCAATTTGACATTTGATATTGCTCAGAATTTAACCATTGAATCAGAGCGCTACATCACCACAAAACAATACATGAAATAGGTAGTATGACAAATGTGTCAGCACATTGAGGTGTAGACAACTGAATAGTGTTCATACTTCAACCTGACACTGATAACAAATAATGATTGAGAAATCAAAAAATTACCTCCTTAAAGCACCACCCTAAGAAAATTTTATTCCATAAATGTGTCTTTTATCATATATACCTGCGCAAGATTTCTGGTAGNAACTTTAGTACCTTGGTGTATAACAAGTTAGCCATCTAGTATTTTATATCTGTGGTAGCTTTGTATAAATAATTTTTCTAATTTCTTGCAACATGAGTTGAAAACATACCATTGCCATATTGCTTTTGTATCACCATGTACACAAATATTGGAAACTGTGGTAACTGTCTAGTGTGAAAACTTCATTTACTTTCAGTTTACTATCAATGACTTACGAACAAAAACAGTACAGAGAAAATGATCATGTACCCTAACTTGTATTAATATAATGTACTCAGCACTCACTGCTGGTGGTTGTGGTAGTTTATGACAATCATCCACAGGTTGATAATGCAAACTTTTCTGTTCCCATGCGTCACTCTCATCATCCTGTGAAAACATATCTGGGCCATGAAAAGATGCTGACCTCAGTACTGGATTACCAGAATATTCAATACTTTTTCTATGAGAAAAAAAACAAAATTAAAAGTTTTCATATAGTAAAAACCGCATTACTTACTAGGTAATAGGTAGGAAATAGGTAGTATGACAAATGTGTCAGACAACTGAATAGTGTTCATACTTTAACCTAACACGGATAATGAATAATGATTGAGAAATCAAAAAATTACCTCCGTAAAGCACCACCCTAAGAAAATTTTATATTATATTCGTGTGATAAAATTATAACCACAATTGAAAAATGTAAATATTGCCCAACACATATATGAAAACTGGCTTCAACTTTAGTACCTTGGTGTATAACAAATTAGCCATCTAGTATTTTGTATCTGTGGTAACTTTGGATCCAAGGTTTTGTATAAATAATTTTTCTAATTTCTAATAAAATAAAATATACTATTTTCGTAGGATTGGCTATTGCAAATTTATTAATAGGTAAATCATATTTAGTTGCATGTAAAGAACTAGAATCCACCAATTATGAAACTATTTGTCAGTTTATTAATTCCTTGTTACAAATAATTCCTGGTATGGAATTATTTGTAATTATTATTCTTATTATTGTAATAATGCTATAAATGAAAATTTAAGCAAGATTTCTGGTAGAAATTGTATACATATCAAAAAAATAATAATAATAATTAACATTATTGTAATACCAATAGATTACTCATTCGCTCAGAATCTAAAAATTGACGCAATTATTCTGATAGTTTTTAAATGTTGTATATGGTTTTATAATAATAACTGAGAAATTCTTGTTAACGAAAATTAAATATTTTAAATTCTATTCATTAAATTTAAAGACTACACAACCCCATGATTATTTTTATGATTTATTTTTTATAAATGTCCCCAGTTCGTTCTCCGCGCTGTTCCTTTCGCATGTATGTTAGTCTATGTACCTATTATATACATTTTACTTAAATGTCTACGTTAAATTAACATAGACAACAGTATGTAGAAAAATATAATATTAACACTAGTTTCTCCTATGTACACTAGTTGTATAAATAACTAAATCAAATTTCTTCATCGCAGACACTTATTCGTCATCAACAGTTCGCGTGCTGTCTTATCGCACACTGCTGTGGCGACTTTATCGCAACAATAATTATGTCTCAATCTTCATCCAAAAATATAAAAGCAAAATTAGCCGCCACCAATATTAAGGACTCTGTCAATATACAGACTGCAAGCCTAAGCAGTATACAGACTGCTAACCTAAATAAAGTGTCAACTTCAGTCAATACGAATCGTTCAGACGGAAACTTAGCCTCTACCAGCATGGATTCTTCTTCATTAGCCAACTGGTCTCAGGTACCAATAAGCAATAGCGCTAAAAGAAACCTCTCCTCCTCTTCTTCTTCTGATCAAAACTCGTCTAAAATACAACAAAACAAAAAAAAATATTTTTTACGTCTAATCGCTTTGAAGTACTCTCACAAGACGAACCAGAGAATACCGATCCATCAGATTCTACTCAGTTGCCTCCTCTTGAGTCAAACCCAGAGGGGAACATCAATGTTGATATCAAGCCAACCCTACCCCCACCAGTTTTTATAAAAGGTGTTATCAGTTTTCCAGCACTCTGCTCAGAACTTATTGAGCAAATTGGTGTAGATAATTTCTCTTGTAAATCCTCAACTGACCGCCTAAAAATTATGACAACTAACCCAACTTCATATAGAACACTGATCCACTTCCTCAAAAATCAAAAAGCTGAATATCACACTTATCAGCTCAAAGAAGACAAACCTACATGAGTTGTCATTCGCAATCTCCACCCGTCCACGTCCAATACACTTATCAAATCCGAACTTGAGCTGCGATTATTTGAAGTCCGTCAAGTTAAAAAACGTATTACATAAAACCAATAAACACCCACTCCCTCTATTTTTTGTGGACCTTGAACCAACATTCCATTCCAACAATATCTATAAGTTGACTTTTCTCATCCACACGAACATAAAAGTTGAAGAACCTTATAAATCCAAAACTATAAGTCAATGTATCAATTGTCAAGAGTACGGAAATACTAAATCCTACTGCGGCTATCCAGCTCGCTGTGTCCGCTGCGGCTCAAACCACTCATCTTCGGCCTGTCCAAACCCACAACGCCAAGATGTGCCCTCTGCTCTGATAATCACCCCTCTAACTACAAAGGCTGCTCTGTTATCATATAATGATAGACAATATAATCTCAGACATATAATTAGTCAGGAATTCTTAATAATATAACTTACTTGGCGAACAAACCATTTTTGAAACAAATTTATTTCGGTGTTTTGGACAGTTGCGCATCTACTGAAAAGCTATGCATCTGAAAAATATTCATAGCATTATAAATTTATAAATTACAATATTATAAAAAACTAACTACTTAGTCACTATTTGAACCTAGAACACAATTATTAGCCCGGGTTCAAACAATCACTATTAAAAAAATCAAAGGAATAAAAAATTGTATTATACCTAAATATAGATAAATTATCAAATAAATAACAATAATAATTATTAATTGATTTGGAGATAAAATTGGCTTACCGGTGAATATTATTAAACCCGGATTATGTACAACAAATGACAGCAACACACACAGCTTGAAATTTTTCGAAATTTCCCAAAAATTGGCTAAAACAATAAGTGTTGATGAAAACCTTATACAAAAGTTTAATCTTACAGTTTTAAAGTTAATTGTTGGATTTTCGTTTGTATTCATTGAAAACTGCTCAATTATATATTCAACTTTATGACTAGTATTATGTGACAGTACTAACAATTTATAATCATGAAATAGAATATTATTAGGAATTACAGTTTGCCTATTGACTAATTGTCTGAAAATGTATAAGGAGTAAGACATAAAGAATTTTGGACAATTCAAAAATACCTATGGCTACCTATTAAATAAATGACTAGAATAGTTGCAAATCAAGATCTAATATACGTACTGCTAATAAATTCACATCCACTTATGTCATCTAATAGAAAACAATAAAATAAATATTTGAATTTATCGAGGAATTAAAAAAAAACATATTAAAACTTAGAACACTGACTGATTATTACAATACTTGAAGATTTCAAAGACAACTTATTACTTACTATAAATTTACTATCAATACATAATTACTATATAAATATATTTTTTTTAAAAACTATTGTGCCATTTTATTTCATTAAATTTAAACTAATAAAATAGGTAATTATAATAGTTTTTTTTTCAAAAATACAATTTTGTTTAGCTAGAAGCATAAACAATTGTAGTAATATTAATAGATAAAAGTTATTTATGAGATATGCTTACCAAAATTATGATCCAATTTATAACATTCGTTGATAGATAAGCATAGATTCAATATTATTTTATCAGATAATAGAGAAATGCTTTCGAGGTATAAATCGGGTTGTATACACATACACTTTTACTCGTTAATTGTATCAATACTTTAGGGACAAATGTTCAGCCTAGAAATAATTATATTTAAATTACTATATATTATAGGTAAAAACCAACAATTCAAAAACTCATCAACTTACACATTTTAACCGATTAACAATAATTATAGGAGCAGCATTTTCCCGTAGTGTTTTATTCCACACATGGCTTGTAAAATCATCTCATTTGAAATATCATGTACATGACTTTATCTTACTTATATCTTTATATTGACTTTTGAAATTATCCTTACCACGTTCCTTAAAAAACTCCATCCACTGTTTTCGGATACCATATTTTTTAGGTATCTAAAACTATAAATATTGAGTTATTAACTAAAAGCTAAATAATTGTATAGATGAAAAATAATGTAAATACTGGTGAAAGATGAACTCTTCCTTTTTACACTGTGTATTTCTTGTACACACAAAACAACTAGACATTGTAAAAAAAACTAAACTTTGTTTTAACCGAAAATTTTCAGCGGAACATCCATCAACTAAGTCAAATATCAAAACAATTATTTATAATTTATGTAATAATAATTAAGTAATTATTTATATTATAAAAAAAAAATAATTATAATAATAACAATATTATCACCCCACTAATAGATACTAATGCTATCAATAATATTTAATACCCAACAACGAAGTATTCAATAACGCTTGCAAAACACGGTATAATTTATTGGAACTGTACGTTATGTTTTTATCCTTTTGTTTGATTCACATTGTAATTGGTACAGCCAAAAGCCAACCCTTGGATAGAAAACGAAATTCGAACGTTAACAATAAAAACATTCATCGTAATCAGTTATCACTTATCGCGGGCATTCCGCTTTGCAAGAAACAAAACAAATTGAATGCCCGCTTTTATTCTACATAGATCTTATCTTGATAATTTATTTCCCTCCCCCCCTATTTTCTTCAGTACACATTTAGTTATATTATTATACTCGACATGTTATTAGCAGTAGTAAATTTAAGAGTTTGGTATTCAAAAATTCGAATTTTTACATAACCAAAATTAAGCCTACCCAATAACCAAAATAAAGTTATAATATAAAGCAATGATAAATATTTCAATGTGACACTATATGATCATCCGTATAGTCGCAAAAGCACTAGTATGTAATCGGAGTAAATCATGTTGACAACGATAAGAAAAATTGTATAGTTTTTATCGTAAATGACGCGGCGTTGTTATGATCGAATGTCAACACGGCACATGTCAATAACGCATTATAATATACCCGCCCCTCGTGAATATTATTTCAGCTTCCTTCTTAATCGTTAAATCGGGTTGAACCTCACACAGAAATATGATTCGCACGAGTTCCTGGATCTGGTGAACATATCATAGGCACCAACTTATCACCGACGACGGAAATTACTATTAAGAGGGGTTCAATCAATTTTTCATATATTAGGGACGGCGCGAACGCAGTCCCAGCTACCAAAAATTATGCGCCCGAGGTATCCACATTAGGGATACTCGCAGGGGTCAACCTACTCTATGTGCAATGAGTAAGTCTCTCCCCGGAGGAACCGCCAAATTTGATCACGGTTGACCTCTACGCCAGGTAAGTATGCCGCAATACCGTTTTCGGGGTCCTTATATACACTGCGAAGTCAGTACGACCTTAGCAATCTGGCCGCTGCCGTTCTCATTTTCCGGATCCTGTTGTCCACATCCTATGTCCGAGACGACAGCTAACATCCATTTCGGTTGCGTCCACGCGCGAATCATCGGTCGGCAATCCGGCTTAACGTTTTTTCACGTCGAACGTCTCATAAAACCGAAAAGCATTCGATGAACGGTACGACGGTTATCGTTTACCGCCATCTACCGGCGTCTTTTGATCTATCATCGAAATTTTATATCATCGTTAAACCGTAATCCGATCGCTAAATACAGATATACACATCGTACATATTTGTAAATCAGTGGTCTGAATAATCTGTTCACGTTCAGAGTGCGTTTCGAGTATAGTAAAACGTGATTTTTCAAATTTATCTTATTACTAATTCTTCGTCAATTGTCATACTTAGTTATGACATTCATTGTTGTTTTGAGATTTTTGTTTGATTTTGATGACTGTTTTTTAAAACTATAACCCGAAAACGGTACCTATTATGATAAAATACGTTTTATAATATTTTGCAAGATTCAATACATACTAATTGATAAAATATAATTGTGTACTGCGGAAAAAAGATTTAAACAGTTTTTTCAGACTTAGTACCATAATATTTGCAATCACCTCGTTTTGATTATAATTTATAAGTACTTACATATTAAAGGGATTAGAAGAATTCAAAAGTTTATTTGCATGTAACTTCTTTACTAGAGGTTGGATATCTAACCGTAAGTGTAGTGTGGTGTAGTTGTGATTTTGTGTTTTTTTTTTTTTTTTAATGATAATTTTTGAAGATTTTACTGATATCAGCATATTGCTGAGTATGATACCTATTTTAATTTTACCTATTTATTAGATGATTGGTATAGTTTTTAATTGGCAGTGTCTCATTTCTATCATTATTTTAATTTTGTCACAAAGAATGATTGTAATTAGTTTAGATAATTAGATTCATAGCGTGCATTAAAATGTTTAATACGTCACAAATTATCTTGGGATGCATTTACTTTAAAATCAAAATAGTCCAGATAAAAGTATAAAATTTTAAAATTTATAATAATTCACAAATTGTATTAAATATACTACAGATTATCAATATGAAGGCAACAAAACGCAAGGTTTTATGATGAATTTTAAATTTTGATAAAACTATTTCGGAGCAGTTGTTTAGCGACCCAATGTAATATCGTAGTTATGTACTGGTGAAATGTAATTGCTCCGAATGTAAGTAACTACGATATTATATATTGGGTAACTATTCTGAAATTGATTTATCGAAATTCCAAATTTATCATTAAACCAATGAGACTCCTTTTCGCTTAATGCGATAGCACAACTATCTGCAGAGGCCGTGATTATAATTTATTAACACTCTAAACTTTTAAACAGTTTTCTGAAAGAAATTATTATTTATAGGTAGTTTGATATCTAGGAGAATCCATGGCCCATATGCCCCCTCCCTAAACGCCGCACCTGCTTCATATTAAGTAATATCCGTTTGTTTCAATATTTTTAAATATTATTCAATACATAGGATATCCTAGATATCTAGGTACCTATTGTATATTTTTTTCAAAATTAATAACCATTAAGAACTATAGCCTAGAAGTTAAAATAACGAATATTATAACCATTTTTGCACACAATTGTTTATATTTATCACCCATAATTATTGAAACCCGAAGTATGAAACCGAGTACATTAATTTAATTCATCAGTAGACGTATCTATGTTAATGAAAACATTCTTACAATAGTCAGTATTATAAAAGTGAAATTATAAACAGCTTCCAGCTCACTCGAAATTAAAATATATATCAATGGAATTCGTGTACCTACGTTTTTATATCGTATTTACAATTTGAACAACCCAAATAACACGTTTTTAACCATGTGTTATTGATTTTTAAAGTTTTTTTGTAACTTCTTTTGGAACAACAATATCAACAAACTATATTTCGAAAATTTTCTTTGAAAAATGTTGATGTTTATAATTATGATACTAAACCCAGAGATGTATAGTCATTTGTGGATGTAATTAAACAGGATATCTTAGATTTATAATGCAGCATTTAGTATATTATTATATGTTTTCACATTTGAAATCAATACGTGCGATGCTCATACAATACACGTTTCGTTCTCCACCGGTAGATGACGCTTTCAGTGAAGTTCGTCTGTAGTCTGTAGTTTTCGACCGTTTGATCTTCTTCTTTGGCGCACACATTCACGTTGCGATGCATCAAATATCACGATCATTAACTCGGTAGATTGTCGTGTGCCAGCTAGACAACGTGGACCAATAATTAACCGGAGCTTTGTTTCGATCGACGCGACACTGCACTGTTGAGGTAAGCTTCCCGGGTTATTTAAGGCGGTATTTGGTGACTGGCGGCATACTTACTTGGTGTAGAGGTCAACCGTGATCACTGTGGCGGTTCCTCCAGGACGAGACTTTCCCATTGCACTTCGGGACGGTTGACCCCTGCGAGTATTCCTAACCGGAATTTCTCGGACACATAATTTTTGGTAGTGGGACTGCGTTCGCGCTGTCCCTGATTATAAATTAATATGAAAACATTTTCTATAGTAGTCATTGTCTGTATTCATTGAAGTCCTGACTACTCAGTATTGTTCCCACTTGCTGGTCATTTTTCGCACGATATCGAATGTTCCAACAAATAAATATATTTTCATAATAATTATCTATAGC